ATGTCTGTTTCACTATTTCATCACAGTAAAATATACATGTATTCTAAAATGGTCAAGGTTGCCTAATGAGTATGGTGGCTGATTAGGGTCATCTCGCTTGCTCGCTCTATCGCTTTCTCGCGCAATAATATCGCTTTCTCGTCTCGTGCTATCGCTTTCTCATCTCGCGTTATCGCTTTCTCGTCTCGTGTTATCGCTTTCTCGTCTCGTGCTATCGCTTTCTCGTCTCGTGTTATCGCTTTGTGTTATCGCTTTCTCGTCTCGTGTTATCGCTTTCTCGTCTCGTCATATCGCTTTCTCGCCTCCGAATTTTAAGGCGAGAAAGCGATTGCCCTAATCAGCCACCATAAATGAGTGTATTTGCATTTAAGTACACACGGAAAGGTCAGCGTGTTGTGTGAACTGGCATGCACACCGTGACTCAGTCTAAGGACCGTCAGGTTTATAGTTGTCAAACTCCGACATCTTGCCTCCTGATTGTGCAATAACTGAATTAATAAACCGCGGTACCGTATCATCAGAAACATACTCCAATCAAAAAGGACATGAGATTTCTGTTCATGAATAAATATTTTGTGACTTATGATCGCCGATTGATACTTTTTCTAATTATTCTTCGGGGATATTGTTTGTTCAAAATCCACAAAAGAAATCTTAAATGAAACTAATCTTTTTATAATTTTGTATTCACTGCTTTTGAGAGAATGCTTTATCAGCTGAATATAATATGTTGACGAAAACTGTGTTATTACATTACGTAGACTAACGGCAAGTCTTTGAAAATGAATAGTGAGTGAGTTTACTTTTACGCCGCTTTTAGCAATATTCCAGCTATATCACGTCGTGGGACACCAACATTGTACCCATGTTTGGAATCGAACCCGGGTCTTCGTAAACTAACGCTTAGTCTCTGAATATATATAATTTTGATTGTAACAAATAAACCCATTTAATTGAAAAGGAGACCAGAGATTCAGAACCTGAAAAAGGGGAGATCTAGACTTGCTTCATTTAGGGCCTTAGCATTGCTGGGAGGGCTAGGTTGTAGGGGAAATGATATGGTTCAGAGCAGGGATACTCTACAACATTAAATACTCTCCCTGTTCAGAGACTGTGAGACAGACGAGGGTCTTCGGTGTGACGAGCGAACGTGAAAATAAATAAGTTTTGATAGAAACCCAAAACTCCATTAAGCCCAAGTGATGTGGACATTCATGGCCTGAAGGGCATCCACACGTGGTTCACTTTAAGACTGTGTTGTTACAGTAGTGTGGTGTGGAAGAGACACCGAGACAAATGGTTAGCGCAGATTCCAGTTATAATATAGGAAAGACAGTGGAAGGGAAGTAACCTCAAAATCCACGTTTCATGCGAACAGGGTATTATAAATAGAAGTTTCGTAAAATGTCTAAATGTTTCCGATTTTTATTTTCTGACAAGAAGGTAAGTTCGTGTCGAGTTGTTGCAATTTTGTATTGCGTTATCGCCATATCGTGTTTAGGTATCGCCATGTCGTGTTGTGATATCGATATTTTGTTTTGGGCTGTGTCGCTATATCGTTATATCGTGTCGCCATATCGTGTTTAGGTATCGCCATGTCGTGTAGTGATATCGCTATTTTGTTTTGGGCTGTGTCGCTATATCGTTATATCGTGTCGCCATATCGTGTTTAGGTATCGCCATGTCGTGTTGTGATATCGCTATTTTGTTTTGGGCTGTGTCACTATATCGTTATAACGTGTCGACATATCGTGTCATACTATCGCTTTGTCGCGATATCGCCTAGCTTTTTCAGGGCGATAAAGCGATGGCCCGAATCAGCCGCCATAGGTAAGCGATTGTAAAAATACTCACCTTCTTGTAACACACCACACGCACCCCTTACAAACTAGTAAAAGTGTTTTGTATTAACAGCTCTCTCAAACCAGACACAATGTCATAACCTATTATTGTCTATGACAAGTTGCAATAAAACAACTCATTCCCATATCACTGGGTGGGAGGACGTTCCAACTATAGAGAAATGTATAAATGACGGATACGAAATAATTCATGTTTTACAGAGGTATGTGTGTATGAATTTAACTTATCTCTACTGAAGAAATGTACTATCACAGAAAATGGTGTTTTTTATCACCGAACCATTTGTTGTGGGATATTATTTCAACAGATAAGTATCATCAAACGAAAAGAGTAAAATTTGTTCATTATGGTTTTCTTCGATATGGCGTCAGTTTCCAATATGGCTGCCGGCGCCAAATTCCAACATAGCCGCCAATGTCACGATTTCAAGTGAAACGTACTAAATATACTGAATATATGTCATAAATGTAGAATACCTGTAACAAAGGTGTTTTACCTGATTTGTAATGCTTTCAGGGCATCAAGTTGATCTCATGACGCACACTAATCTTCTAAGTTTCTATTCTCATAAACATCAGTTGAAAATATTGCTTACAAACCTGAAATTCTCTGAGTGAGTGAGGTTAGTTTTACGCCGTACTCTGTAATTAATCTAGTTTGGACCAGACAATCAGTGATCAACAGCATGAGCATCGGTCTACGCAATTGACATGTGTCAACCAAGTCAGCGAGCCTGACCACCCGATCCCATTAGTCGCCTCTTACAACACACATGGGTCACTGAACATCAATTCTAACCCGGATCTTCACGGTGCCTTAAATTCTCAAGTCGTTATAAGATATGCAGACATAATAGCGTCTTGTCATTTTGTACATAACTCAGTCACCGTCATTGCAGAGATAATCAATTTTATATTTTAATCTGAAACACTAAATAGAAAAGCAATGTACTCACACAAATATATTTATCAAGTTTTGCTTCTTGAAAAACATCTTGTAGTCATTATGTGCTCTTTCGCTCCCTCTGTAAACCTCGCTATTGTAGTGTCGACTCATAAGGCAATGTCCCATGTGAACATTGTGCTGACATCAGTCTGGGGGGCAGGGGTTAGGGCGTGTCACACTCCTCAGACTCGCGCCACAGTCTTGGCGACACCAAGCCTCCAGTGCGATGGGAATGTTTTCTGTTTAACATACGTAAAGAATGCTGAGAATGAAACACTTGACGTTGTAGGAACCGGAGACGACAGTAAACCCGTTTTCAGGCAATTAACTCCGAATCTACAGATCCAAGTATTTATTTTGCATTTGTTGTTGGTTTGCAATCTCATTACAGTCTGTTTGTTTGGCATGACTTCTGGTGTGAGTAGATCTGCCATGTGCGTGTTACCTCTCTTGGTTAAGTCTCCACTTGCAGTTTGCCCGACATGGCGTTTTGAACTAAGCTGGTGTCACCCTATAAAAACTCAGACTGTTTTGACCTCGTGGTGTGTTACAAACCAGCGACAGTGATCAAACTGACTTCCGTTGGAAGCTTGCGTGTAATTAAAGGGAACCCGTGTCTGGAGTAGCAGAAATGTGAAACTTGTTAGTCCGGAAACCTGACTATCTTGACGTCCACTGTTCGGAGTGAGTGAGTGAGTGAGTTTACGCTTCTACGAGTAGTATTCCGGTTCTGTGGCAACGTGTCAGCTGTATGTGGGACTGAAGCCCCCAGTCAGGTCTCATACTTGTATAGTCTGTCATTCAGACCCTCAAGCAAATATATCCAAGAAACCCCACGCAGGTCTAGAAAATGTGGCAAGTAAAGATTTCCTCAGCTTAATGAAGAAAGTCTCTGGGCTCCTTTTCATAATATATATTTTTTTACTATGAGATTTTTTCTGTAAAATATGTTCATTTCAGAGACTAGTTGTTACAACATAAACTACTAACAAACCTAAACACACAATCGGGGCAAAGCGGTATTCGAACCCATGCTCATAGGTTTCTGGTGTCCCCAAGGGACGCAACTCTGCTTATCAAATTTCGAAGCCTTAAACGACTACAGCATCCATGCCCTCAGCACTGTAGATCTTCAGGACGTTGACACAGGTTTGTAGGAACGTTGTTTGTCACCCAGGATAGACTCGTTAATCTGGACCTACTACTGAACGTCCGGGTGGACGACGTTAGGCTGTTTGTGGAGTTCTGGAAGATGACATATACTGGTCTCATAGGGAAAACATCATTCTGAATTCTTACATAAACTTAACGAAACTATACATGTATTTTAGTCAGAGTGCCTGTGGATCCTAAGATTGTCCTAAATCATGAGAAGCTAGTTTGGGGGATTTCCCAATAAATTACTGATCATATTAAATTGGTTAACTCCTCCGACCAATTAGTTTTCCAGGATAGTTTGGTTGAAGGCCAACTAACTGTTTAGAGTAGTGGTTTAACTCACATATAACAGTATCTAGTTATCTTACAAGGTGATGCAGGAAATACTATTGTTTCAACATATCTGATGTTTTTCTCTAACCATAGCACAGTGACTTTTAGGACATAAAATATATCAAGCTAACCGGGATGGGTTTTTTTTGTTGTTGTTTTTTTTGGGGGGAGGGTGTGAAAAGACTGAAACATAATCTTTTCCCAATATTTTCTGGATCTTATCTATTTATCAAAGTAATCCCGAACCCACAAGGATATTGCCCATACTTCATTAACTTGTGTTCAGCGCCTTTAAGACAACCCCGAGAAGTTACCCTTCGTGAACCCACGATACGTGTGTGCAGTTTAACATTGACGAGTAAACCTGCGATATTTGATGAAAGATCTCCACACGACGTACATACCGATGTGAACGTCGCCGGCCATCGTGGCCTCTGCCGGCGTCTCGCGACGTCGCATCCCCTCCCATTGCCACAATCGGCGTTCCCCCCCTCAGCCTTATTAATTGAAAAAAACATGCCAAGCAGTTGTCATACTAGTGTTGATCTAGAGTAGAGCAAGTACAGCGTTTGTTCAAGGGGTGCCGGGACGAGGTGATCCTCCTTCAATCAATTAACAACGACGACGCTTCGTTATTTAACCTTTACATTTTCACGGGTCTTTCATAAAGTCAGTCTCATTCTTGTGTGCGGTTTTGAAAGATGTCCATCGTCCGGTTCAGCCTCGTCCTCGTCGTCGTCGTCGGCTGTGTTGGAGTAGTGAGAGGACAAACAACCAACCTCTACTTCGGAGCAGGTTTGTGTATATGTAGTAACTGGAAACAAATTTTAGCCTAGGTCAAATAAACATATTAAAGTTATAAATTATCATTAAAACCATTATTTGTTGACAAGTTTGCTGTGAAACTATACGTGGCATTTCCAACTGATGTTACCGACTTCTTGCATACTAATGAGTAACAGTAAATGTAACAGTACTGTATGCGTACACAAGAATCATCAGATTCATCTGTTTGTTTAATGAAACCACCGAGAGACGCTGACATGCCGACAATCTTTGTCTACACATTTCCCTTCAGGCCTATAAGCTGAAATTCACGAATTATTACCATATGGAGGGACAGAATGTTACAATGAATTTGAGATTGTTTAAGTTCTTTACCTATCCAAATCACATGGTTGATATGTCGGTAAGGTAGCCTGTATTCTAACATGAGTCTCAATCCCATGTTGTGGTATGAAGGAACAAGGTTCCGCAGACAAAATGTCTCAAGACTCCATGCTACTGTATACGACACACCCTGTGTTTATAGAACTCGGTTTGCTTCGTAATTCCATAGGACATGGACATTATTGTGTGTTCCTACTGCTGTAAATAGCAATGGACAAATCATTCAGACCCGTGGCACTTGTACTGGTGCGATTGCTGCTGTTGATGGCTGCTAGGTTTTCGGGTTTTGTGTAAGGGCCGTGACACGTCAACATGCTTATCTCCCTTGTGTATTTGGTCTCAGGTTTGTGCATCTATCAGAATCTCAAAGAATTTTATGTTTTCCCAGTAGTTGGCATTATTCCACCGTTGTGTGTAGGTAATGGAGGCGGAGGTAGAGACTATTGGCGTTACACAGCTGTATTGTTGGGGGAACATCACCTCACCTTTCGCGAATCCAGTCACTCACAATTGATGATCAGTAATCAATCCTCAAAGATTTTTCTTCAAGCCTCATGCGTACAAAAGGTAAAGCAGAGATTTTCTGTAAAATTTGAATCTTGACAGACGTTATATTTTAAATGTGCTCCTAAGTTCATCAGGCCAAACATCAAGTTCTTCACAATTTGGTATAGGTAAAACAAGTTTATATCTATACATGTTTTCACGTGCTGCGAATTAATTAAGTTCGTGTTTGTAATCCCAGCTGACGGTGTTGGTCTTCTATAGTCGTAGCCTTGTAGTTGCTGCTAAGGCAGTAGAGAAGTTGTAGTAAGGTACTGAAGTTGTTGTAGCTGTCAGGGTAACGTAGTCAAAGTATTGACATTGTTTTGACCATGACCTTGATATTGACGTAGTTGTAGCCGTGACATTGACGTAGTTGTAGCCGTGACATTGACGTAGTTGTAGCCGTGATATTGACGTAGTTGTAGCCGTGACATTGACGTAGTTGTAGCCGTGATACTGACGTAGTTGTAGCCGTGACATTGACGTAGTTGTAGCCGTGACATTAATATAGTTGTAGCCGTGACATTGACGTAGTTGTAGCCATGACGTTGACGTAGTTGTAACCGTGACATTAACGTAGTTGTAGCCGTGGCATTGACGTAGTTGTAGCCGTGACATTGATGTAGTTGTAGCCATGACATTAACGTAGTTGTAGCCATGACGTTGACGTAGTTGTAGCCATGACGTTGACGTAGTTGTAGCCAAGACATTAACGTAGTTGTAGCCGTGACATTGGCGTAGTTGTAGCCTTGACATTGACGTAGTTGTAGCCGTGACATTGACGTAGTTGTAGCCGTGACATTGACGTAGTTGTAGCCGTGACATTGATGTAGTTGTAGCCGTGACATTGACGTAGTTGTAGCCGTGACATTAACGTAGCTGTGACCATGATATTGACGTAGTTGCAGCCGTGACATTACTATAGTTGTAGCCATGACATTGACGTAGTTGTGACCATGATTTTGACGTAGTTGCAGCCGTGACATTGATATAGTTGTAGCCGTGACCCTGTACTTCCCAGATAACACGGAATGCGTGAACAACGCCGGACTGCTGGTGCCCATGCCGGACACAGGTTGTAGGCAGTTCCTGATTTGTGATGACACCGGTCTGGCCTACGGCCCCCAAGACTGTGGCCAGGGCACGCTCTTTGACCAGGAGAAACAGTACTGTGAACACGTGGTCTTTGCCAACTGCCTACAAACCAGGGCCATCCAAGCCTCAGGTAACCATGGAAACAATGACACACAAAATATTAATATAATTAAGTTTCTTGTTTATTTTGCTTTTAGTTCGGCCATTAAACGGTATCGCAAATGCAGATATTTTCTGAAAAAAATCACATACATTTATATCGTATGTGAACGGCAATTATGAAAGGGACAGATTAGCAGGAGAGGAAATTGGTGGTGTTGTCGAATGCCAGGTTACAAGATCACCGATGTATTTATTCCATCGTATCCAAATTCCTACTGCCATTTGAAATGTCGCTTTCGAGATGCAGACATTAAAACGTGAATTCTTAAAGCGTCTCCTGTGTATTAAACAGGTCAAAGCGTTCGCTCGTCCAACCGAAGACCCGAGTTCGATTTCCTACATGCATAGAATCGGTGTTTTTCAGGTGTCACCCGCCGTGATTTGCTGCATTAGTCTTAGAAGCGGCGTAAAACAATATTCACTGACTGTGACTGAAATGGGTGTTTCTCGTCCCCAGATTGTGCGACGGCAGCTGTATTCGGAAACTGCGAGAAGTACACACAGTGTGTGTACGGCATACAGCTGGAGCGGGACTGCGGCAACGGCACCCTCTACTCCAACAGCATTCATGTCTGCGTCCACCCCGAAGACCTCAACGACGATGAGCGGGCTTACTGTTTACTTTGAACTACGCCCGGCACGCTGATGCTAACTGACACACTGTCAATAATTGTTACTACGATAATAACCACCGGTATCCACGGCGTGTATCGCTGAATACTGAGTTATGATATAACCAACTGTATTTTGTGTATTAATAAATTTGTATATTTCATTCCTTTAGTTACGATGGTTCATTAAAGCAGTCAGCTTCATATTGGCAAAACAGTCCCCAATACGCCATGAAGACTTCATGCTTCCCCATGTCCCCCGAACATACAGCATAATGTTATATACCTCATCTGGGGTGGTGGGGTAGCGCAGTAGTTAAAGCGTTCGCTCGTCACTCCGAACACCCGGGTTCGATAAAACCATACTCACTCACTCATATATACCTGATCTGGTGAAGGTGAGGTGAGGTGAAATTGGGTTTTACGTCGTGCTTGAGAATATTTCGCTCATATGACGACGTGCATGCGTGTGTATGTGTATGTGCGGCTGCTTGTACTAGCCCAGACAGAAGCTGGTTTTATAGTGCTAGCCCACTGAGATACCATGCCGCAGTGAAGCATGAATACCCCACTCAGACACATTATTTTGACTCCGAGCCGACCAATCCTTGTTGCACCCATCAATGCCGAGCGCCAGGCAGGGACCAACAAGTACCATATTTTAACGTCTTTTGGTTTGACGCGGTCGGAGGATCCGGTGAGGGAATACACAGGGCAACACGTACTAGTATAACATTGCCAGTAATGAATATAAAATATGTAGCATATTCTCTCAAACTATAAACTGCTTGCTTGGTCCAGTGGATACAGCGGCTGCTCTCGAACTGGAAGGTTCGATCCAATGCAGGACATGTCTCATGGTAAAAGAGGGTACTTGTTGTTTCCCTGGTGCTCGGCATTAAGGGATAGAGCGAGCTAGGGGACTGGGCCGATCAGGGGCATGATACAGTGTCCGAGAGGAACACTTATGTTAAAGTGGAATGTCAGTGGGCTATCTCGCACACGCACACGCACACACGCACGCACTCACGAACGTTTTTATACAAATTCCACTGTTTATGTGTATCATGTACATGGCGATATGGCGAGGTATATATATGGCGAGGTATATATATATAACCAATATTAGTGGATTGGTTGGTCAGGTTTGTGGATTGCATGTCATCCTGGTTCGACGGCGGCTAACATTCATTTCTTTGAATGAATGTTCGGTGAATCCAGTGAATATCCAGGTTAGAACTGGTCTTCAGCAATAGAAGCGACAAAACCTTTTCCAATTTCATAAGAAATCTCTGCTAACAGCAGAGTCGATTATATATAATTGTGACCATATCGTGAGCAGATGTTGGTTTCAGCAGTATTACAGCTATATGATGTTGTTTGTAAACAAATCGAGTCTGAACCAGACAATACAGTGATTGACACCATGCGATACGAAAGCAGAGCACGTGTTTATGAATCACTATGAAACCGTGATGACACCAGGTGTTCAACCCATCTCGTAACAGGCGACTAACGGGATCGGTTGACACATGTCATCGTATCCCAATTGCGTAGATCGATGCTCATGCTGTTTATCAGTGGATTGTCGGGTCCAGACTCGATGTGAGATAACAGATACATGCTCTTCCCAACTTACACGAATACGGATACTTGACAATTCGCACCCACGGAGATTTGTACTCACTAGCTAAGTCGTACCTAACATTCCCGTCAGAAGGGAACCCTTTTCGCACAACTCGCACAGTTTTTGGTCGACTAATACCGCAATTTAGAATGACCCGTAGTGGACTTCATGGGCGCAACCAGGTGCATAGGTACAGACAAAAGACAAAAGATTCATTATTCTTATAATAATGTATTCAGTTCTGTGATAACAATTTATTCTTAGCACTATTCTTTTGCGAAACATTATTCATACATTATACATTTCAAATATTCATTATACATGTCAGTTGTCGCTGGCATCACATGCACTGGTCATGTGATCACTGGATTGCCTGGTCCAGACCCGATTAGTTACAGACCGCCGCAATATAGCTGGAATATTGCAGTGTTAAACAAACCAACAAACAAACAAACACACTGGCAGACCATGCCCTTGCACTAAACGGCACACAACGCCATTTCGATCTTTCAATTTTGAGATGTTATTGATTTTGTCCCGATCGAGGATATAATGAATGACGACTGAACAACCATTCCCTCTTTAATTCACTTGTAAAACAGGATTGAATGAATTCAGTTAAACCAATTAGCCGAGGTGTTATTGTTCTTATACAATAGTATTTACACCTAGGCTTGGAAGTCGGTCAGAAAGGTTTACACCAGTTCGTTGATTGGACTACTCATATATTACAAGAAAAATAAATTATACTCGAAAACATGTTTAATCCGTTTATTCAAGATGTTGTGGTTGACCGGTTACTATTGCATGCAGTGAAATTGCGACTGAAATTATGAAATTACTATTTGAAGCTGATTTACATGTACCCGTCTCAACTGTCATGTCTTGGTCATTGAACATAATAGTTGTCGATAGTTTACTATAATTCCATTCGGAAAATACGGTCTAGAAAGTTCCATATAATGCTTGATTCGCTGTTCTTGAAAATTCCAGATTACTTCGAAAGCATCAAAATAAAGTAACTTCCTCATCATTGCTTAAATTACATATCAACAACTGCTTGACAACTCATTGTTATTGAAATGGTATAACAGTAATACAAATACAGCACCATTTAACAGTAAGTTGCATACAACTATACGATACATGATATCATTTAACGGTAAGTTGCATACAACTATACCATACATGATATCATTTAACAGTAAGTTACATACAACTATACGATACATGATATCATTTAACGGTAAGTTGCATACAACTATACCATACATGATATCATTTAACGGTAAGTTACATGCAACTATACGATACATGATATCATTTAACGGTAAGTTACATACAACTATACGATACATGATATCATTTAACAGTAAGTTGCATACAACTATACCATACATGATATCATTTAACGGTAAGTTGCATACAACTTTACGATACATGATATCATTTAACGGTAAGTGGCATACAACTATACCATACGCGATATCATTTAACAGTAAGTTGCATACAACTATACCATACGCGATATCATTTAACAGTAAGTTGCATACAACTATACGATACATCATATCATTTAACGGTAAGTTGCATACAACTATACCATACATGATATCATTTAACAGTAAGTTGCATACAACTATACCATACATGATATCATTTAACGGTAAGTTGCATGCAACTGTACGATACATGATATCATTTAACAGTAAGTTACATGCAACTATACGATACATGATATCATTTAACAGTAAGTTGCATACAACTATACCATACGCGATATCATTTAACAGTAAGTTGCATACAACTATACGATACATGATATCATTGAACAGTAAGTTGCATACAACTATACCATACATGATATCATTGAACAGTAAGTTGCATACAGCTATACGATACATGATATCATTTAATAGTAAGTTTCATACAGCTATATGATACATGATATCATTTAACAGTAAGTTGCATACAACTATACGATACATGATATCATTTAACAGTAAGTTACATGCAACTATGCGATACATGATATCATTTAACAGTTAGTTGCATACAACTATACCATACATGATATCATTTAACAGTAAGTTGCATACAACTATACCATACATAATATCATTTAACAGTAAGTTGCATACACCTATACATACATGATATCATTTAACAGTAAGTTGCATACAACTATACGATACATGATATCATTTAACGGTAAGTGGCATACAACTATACGATACATGATATCATTTAACAGTAAGTTGCATACAACTATACCATACATGATATCATTGAACAGTAAGTTGCATACAACTATACCATACATGATATCATTTAATAGTAAGTTGCATACAGCTATACGATACATGATATCATTTAACAGTAAGTTGCATACAACTATACGATACATGATATCATTTAACAGTAAGTTGCATACAGCTATACGATACATGATATCATTTAACAGTAAGTTGCATACAACTATACCATACATGATATCATTTAACAGTAAGTTGCATACAGCTATACGATACATGCTATCATTTAACAGTAAATGCATACAACTATACCATACATGATATCATTTAACAGTAAGTTGCATACAGCTATACGATACATGATATCATTTAACAGTAAGTTGCATACAACTATACGATACATGATATCATTTAACAGTAAGTTGCATACAGCTATACGATACATGATATCATTTAACAGTAAGTTGCATACAACTATACCATACATGATATCATTTAACAGTAAGTTGCATACAGCTATACGATACATGCTATCATTTAACAGTAAATGCATACAACTATACCATACATGATATCATTTAACAGTAAGTTGCATACAACTATACGATAAATGATATCATTTAACAGTAAGATGCATACAACTATACCATACATGATATCATTGAACAGTAAGTTGCATACAACTATACCATACATGATATCATTTAACAGTAAGTTGCATACAACTATACGATACATGCTATCATTTAACAGTAAATGCATACAACTATACGATACATGATATCATTGAACAGTAAGTTGCATACAACTATACCATACATGATATCATTTAACAGTAAGTTGCATACAGTTATACGATACATGATATCATTTAACAGTAAGTTGCATACAGCTATACGATACATGCTATCATTTAACAGTAAATGCATACAACTATACGATACATGATATCATTGAACAGTAAGTTGCATACAACAATACGATACATGATATCATTTAACAGTAAGTTGCATACAACTATACTATAAATGATATCATTTAACAGTAAGTTGCATACAACTATACGATACATGATATCATTGAACAGTAAGTTGCATACAACTATACCATACATGATATCATTTAACAGTAAGTTGCATACAGTTATACGATACATGATATCATTTAACAGTAAGTTGCATACAGCTATACGATACATGCTATCATTTAACAGTAAATGCATACAACTATACGATACATGATATCATTGAACAGTAAGTTGCATACAACAATACGATACATGATATCATTTAACAGTAAGTTGCATACAACTATACGATACATGATATCATTTAACAGTAAGTTGCATACAACTATACGATACATGATATCAGATGTACGATATGAGACACATATGAAACGATATATTGTACGATATGGTGAATGATGCCCAGTCGTGCATGCAAAGCTAGAATATTGAAAACAAATGTTTACTGACCTATATCGACCTCTTGTTTTCTCAATCTTGTATCTATCACTCAACAGTCTCTTAAAACAAGTAATATTTGGAGTGGAAGAAGCAAGTTTGCATTTATAAACATGGAACTTTGCTAGTAATAAGTTGGGGTCAAACACCTCATCCGAGACAAAGTTCTCTTTGTAACCAAAAATAACAAGCTCTGAAGTAAAGGTTACGTTACACACATGAGAACATTTTTCAAGGAACAAGTCTGAGAGTGACTTCCAGAAAGTTTGGACATAAGTGCAATCCCAAAATAAATGAACAAGAATGTCAGCACAATCTCTACAAAAGGAGCACTTGTTACTGGACGCCATCTTAATCTTGGCCAAATAGGAATTGGTTGACAACAATCTATGCAGGATTCTTAATTGAAACCACCTAAGCTTTGTGTCTGGTGTTGTCTTTATTGGTTTTAAGAATATCTCTTCCCAGTTTAGGTCTACTACAGTCGTGCCCCGTTTATCCGAACACTTGTGTTTTTCTTGAAATTGTTCGGATAAACGAATTTTCAATATACATGTATGCTTCTACCATTTACATTTAGCCTTGAAGACCTGTTTTGAAGCAGATATGATGTAGTAATACAATGTTGCTCCCTTTTTAACAGTATACTTCTGACAACTGGGTTATCATCCCAAAGTTTATATGAAGCAGGTCGATCAACTGAAAGACTCTTAAAGTATCTTTTGATTGCACAAAGAACACCATGGTATGTCACAAAATTGACCTTTAAATGAAATTTCTTCAAAATCCCTTAGTGACAAATAGCTTCCATCATCATTCATGAAATCTGATATTCTGCCAATGCCTCTGTCAAACCATGAGGATTTAATACTGGGTTATTAGCAACCAAGATATTATTGTTATAACACACTGGTTCTGTAATGAAGTCTTCAAACGATTGTGTAGAAATTGTGCGAGAGTATTCATGAAGTGCTAACAAGATAGTTTTTCCAGAAGGTATTTGTGATTTTATCACTACATGTTTTCGGAAGACAGAAACGAAACTAGAGATATTCATGCAATCAGGAATATAACTGAAAAGCAAAGATTTCATTTTGGAACAGTTTCAACATTAAATATAACCTTTTTCTTATTATCGATGAAAGCGCCTGTAAAATTTCCAGATATATGCGACATTTAGACTTGATTATATTTGGTGAAATAGTTTGTTCTTGGACACTTATTTGTTATACTGACAATTTTATGATATAAAATACGTTTGTATGCATGTTATTGATTTCGCTTTACTTCATTTTATTAACGCGATGTTTTACGACAACGATAACTCATCGCGACCCCTTTACGACATTTAAATATGGCGGCTTCGTTCATGCGGCATGAAAACACTACATGACAAAGATACATTGAATTCCTCGTGCATTTATAGTTTTTTGTTTCATTGAATCACATGAATTCCACCTAAGACAAATAAATCATGTCAGGCGAAAGTCGTAGGTCAACCGCCGCTCAGTTCTTCATTGAGGAGGATGCAGAAGCAGAACAGACAACATCGACATATGAACGGGTAAACTATTATGTTCATAAATACGGAGCGCTGTCATCGACATGAACCAGTTTCGAGGCAATTGACAGCTGTAACCATAGGTTGTTAGGACATACAAAAGTATTTGGCTTGTCCCAATCTGGTCACCAGGGATATACACTTATGATGATGTATTAGTCCAGAGCTCATTTCAAAATAACAACGTCTTTGAGTAGCATTTTAGAAGTTAGGTAGCACAATATTGTCAAAATTTATGGAAATATCGAAATAACAATATTGTATTATGGGTTTTCCGATCAGTAAGAAACAATCAGCGTTGTGCAGTGGAATTGAAAACTAAACTAACTAAATATGAAGTTTCGAAATGTGACTCTCTTTCAACAAATGCAAATGAAAGTTAATGTGATACCTTAAAGTCTATTATCTACAGTATCTAGCTCAATTGCTGATAGCTATTTGGAATGTTCTATTTTTATGAACTATTAAATTTTGGTGATCAGTCTATCTATGTCCTACTTGGATGAGCTATCAAACGATTTGTGACAAGATGACAACCTAATTCAAGTAAGACTTGAACACATGTAAAACATCTAACTTATAAAAGATAACGTTTGAGTCCCATGTGGGATTTGAACCCACACCCTCAGAGTCAGGCACCAAATCACCAGCACACAAAGTCAGCCGTCTAACCCGCTCAGCCATCACGAGTTCCACAAAAATGGAAGTCGGACAACTGGTAGTCTAGACTGCGGACTTTGTGTACCCCTCCGATAAGTGTAAATTGGCATGGCTCCCACGGCTGAAAGCTATGATTACACAATGACATTTAGAAAGTGGTCAAATGCAACATATGTTATATTTGGGATTACACTTTCTTAGTAAAGTACAAATTCTAGTACTTTTTTTTCTTTTTTCAATACTTCGCTGACTTTGTGTGCTGGCGATTTGGTGCCTGACTCTGAGGGTGTGGGTTCGAATCCCGAATGGGACTCAACCCCCACCAAAAGTACTAGAATTTGTACTTTACTAAGAAAGTGTTATCCCAAATATAACATATGTTGCATTTGACCACTTTCTAAATGGCCGTGTGTAATCATCACTATTTTATGTCTGAAACTTTCCTGAAAGTTATGCTCACTAGTCATGTTTCATTGTTCTGTAATCTTAATTGTGATCAGCATTATCACAATCTTGCTGATGTTATATTATTCCTGTTTTGTTTTAAATATGGGTGATAATTTCCAGGTGGTGGAGCTCCTGAATCAGGCTTCCTTAGCCCAGAGAGATGCCCAAAAGATCAGCAATCTCAGACAGGTAAGTGCGTTGATGGATCGTGGTGATAACATTGTGCTCCAGGTCTTTTCTATTGAGTGAGGCTGAAGCAATCGTGATGGCAGCTCTTGTATGTGTCTGGCTTTTCAGAATATTCACAACACGTTAAACTGTTGTAAAATATAACGCTATAACATAAGTCACTGTCTATATTCTGTCCAAAATGATGCCAAAAATAGTTTGGGTTGTCATGGTTATTGGGAACTTATTGCAAGATGGCAGCTTTAGCCATGAGTATCTGATGTATTAGTAGTCATGACACTGGATGTATGACATGTAAAACCTTTAATACATTGTCATGATTCATATCTATTTTCCAGGTTCAAGAGCTGATTGTTCATAAAGATCCAACACTTCTTGATAATTTCTTAGATGTGAGTATACTTTGGCCTTGTGTTTTTTTTGCTGAGTATACTTAGGCCTAATGTTTACATGTACTTAACTCTAGTTATAGTCTATTATTACTGTGAAAAGAATGCTGTTTGATAAGAAAGTCAGTATGTTTGTGATGAACATCATTTAAGGACATTATCAATTGAACCAGTGTTTTTATTCCCAATATTGTTAGATTGAGTCCTTTTGTTATTTCTAGTGATCTCAAGATATTCATTTCGTTATAGGGCAGTGGTGTAGCCTTGTGGTTAAAGCGTTTGCTCTCATGCCGAAGACCCGGGTTCGATTCCCCACATGTGTACAATGTGTGAATCCCATTTCTGATGTCCCCTCTGTTATATTGCACTAAGCGGCGTAAAACCAAACTCACTCACTCATTTGCTCACTCACTCACATTTCCATTCCATATCCTGGGTCCATTCCTGTGGTTTTCCAGATCTGTTTTCATTAACATTTTCTCAACCAATGACATGCTGAGATAAGGAAAAAGGAAATGGATGTAATTTTTAAACTTATCCTATCTCATGTATTGTACTCTCTCTCTTTAATTTGACGAATAAGTGGAAACGAAAAAACTTGTGAACTTATCTCGGCCTGCGGTCCAAGCACCCGCCCTCCATGTTGTACTCCTGCCTGGACATCTCGCTATCACTCGCGAGAGGCATGCGTCACACTCAACTGCCTAGTCACATGACCATTCCTTAGTGATTATTCTCCCGCTAATTTGTGAACTAACATTTTTCCAACAAGAATATGGGAAAGAAAGAAACATATTCCTCTAGAAAGAGGAAACTTTGTGATAAATGTAGAACTATCTTTTCTGTTGCTGATCCCCATACATCATGTGTGTATTGTGTGGGTTTTTACTTCTGGGATAACCATTGTTCCTATTGTAAACCTTTGACTTTTACTGAATATAAGAAAGTTGGGCACCGGGCGCATGGACAGAGACTGGGAGTTTTAAGAAGAGCATGGCCCATCTTCCATTGAAAGTAGATAGCAAAAGGAGATCCCACGCACCATCGTCCAAACCTAGGGATGATTTTCTGGATGCTTCTTCAGACTATTGTGAATCTTCGCCTTATATTGGGGAATGAAGATTTTTTTTCGTCGCATCGATCATCTAAATCTTCGAGAGTCTTGGTCATAGATAAGACAGACCAGACGGGAACTTCAGGCGTGTCGAACCTATGTTCGACGTTGTCACGATTACCTACAACATCGGGAGCAAAGAACCTACCTATCAGTGATCCTACAACGCATCAATCAGTTGATCTATCTCATCTCATACCGACAGTGCCGAGTGATGCGTTGAATCTTTCACCACTTGTTCCATCGATCGCTTCAGTAGTTTCGGTAGTGCCACCAGTTACTTCAGTCGGACATCGACAATCAACTAGCCATCATTCATCGAGAGATTGATCGCTATCATCAGGCAGGAGTTCTCACAATTCCTCATCATCGAAGTCGCATTCGAAGGGTTTTTCATCTATGGAGGATCGTCGAATGTCTCCTATTCGTTCAGATTCGAGCCATGACCATTCATCGAATTCACATCATTCGGACTCACGTCATGCAAACGCTCATGTGACGAACCGCCGATGATCTTCCAGTACAGTTTCGAGAGCACCTCAGATTGCGGTTCGAATCCTCACGGCGATTCGGTGAATATTGTACCTCAGCCTAGGAATATGGATTCGGGTAGTCATAGTGAGATACCACTTCAGCAAAACATACTTTGCCTACGTCATTGGTAACTACGGGGAATGTCATCTCCAATCAACAACCTAATTTTGAGATGTTGTAGCGAGCATTCACTACTGCCTTGTCAACTGTGCAGCAGCCGGCAACTACGATACCTCCTGTACCTACGATGTCTATCCAGATACCAGTACCCACAGCTGCTCTACCGACTATTACTCCATTACGTCCACACGAGACTTTGTCACCGAATCATTCGGACGAAATATCTGGATCTGATGGGAGTTTTGATATCACCGAACCAGGCCAGGTTTTAGCATGGATTGTGGAGAAATTGAACTTATCAAGAAGCACTTCAGCAGAAGATAGTATTTCATCGTATTGCATGAAGGGACAGGATTTGTCATCCATTACTTTACCACCAAGAGACTGTATCACTCACATGACAGGATCATTAGATTTGGACTTCAAGAATCTTAAGCGTGTTTGAGATGGGTTCTCTGCACCAAGATTCTCAACCAGTGCGGCACATGTACATGGACTGATAGTCTTGCCATGGCTCCTACAATGGATGAAGATATTAATGCACTATGCCCGAAGAAGAATATTTCTCCGTTCTTGGTTGAAGATAGAGAACTAGCGCACCTGGAAACATCCATTCAATTAACTCTTCCAGCTTTGAACTGTATTTTATCCTCTATTGATGCAGTGAGTGAGACATTACTACATGCAGTATCTAACCAGGATGCTTACATCAGAGGTGCGATGAACGTGATTATTGAACAGTTGTCTACTGTTTTCGACCAGATATGTCAGTTTTGGGGTTATGTGCTAGCCATGAGATACCCTCATGGGAGGAGACAACCATGGTCCCCGAGGTATCGTTTAAATGGGAGAGAGAAAACCAGTTCCAGGTTTCGGTGGATCTTGTGCAACTTCAGAAAACCCAGTTGCAGGAAGCTCTTCTTACTTCACTCCATCTAACCCGGACTTAAGTCATTCCGGGGAACCTCATCCTGTCGTACCCCTAGGACCTCCAGGACTGGAGACTGCTCGGGACAACAGTGACTCAAGGACATCATCGCACGACTAGGACCTCCAGTCGTGCCGATTGTATATACCTCTGTAGGCGGAAGACAGGGACTATTCGCACCCAACTGGAAAATATTGAGCGATCCGTTTGTCATGAATACCCCAGTGACAGGATACAGACTACCACTAATCAGTATGCCGCCTCTCACTACCAGCCCGTTGCATCGAACCTATCCAACCAGCCAGCTTAAAGTTCTATGTACCAGGATAGGTACGTTGCTAGAGAAATTAGCAATCCAGTCGCTCGGTCCAGGCTATATTCTCCATTATTTCTTGTCCCAAAGAAAGACTCCGACAAACTGCGATTCATTTTCAAAATGAAAATGTTCAACGCTCACTACCTTCCACTTCCGCCCCACTTCGGATGGTTTCAATCAATTTGCTCGGGACTATCCCGAAGAAGGGGGAACTATCTCATCAGTTTAGATCTCCAAGATGCCTACCTACATGTGCCGATTTATCCCAATCATCGCAGATATCTACGGTTCGTCTGTAAAGGCATACATTACCAATACCAATGGAAAGTCCTGCCGTTTGGAATTTACGGCACCGTGGCTTTTCACTCGGATAACCAAGCCCATCTCTGGATTCCTCCACTGTCGAGGGATCACGTTTGAATCTTTATCGACGACTGTATCCAGGCGTAACAAAACCAGTCGACCCTGCTTCAACATCTTCAGTTCACCACTCAACTACTTCGTCATTTGGGATGGTTAGTGAACGAAAAGAAGTTGGAACTAACACCGACCAAGAGACTACAGTTTATAGGAGCAATATTCGACACAAAGCAGGGCAAATTGTTTGTACCCCAGGACAGATGGTTGAAGATACAACGATGGGTTCCCCATGCCTTATCTCAAGGGAGATCTGACCGCCTCCGTGGTGTAATGGTTAGAGCGTCCACCCGGAGAGCGGAAGGTCGTGGGTTCGATCCCCGGCCGCGTCATACCAAAAGACATTAAAATATGGTACTTGTTGGTCCCTGCCTGGCGCTCGGCATTAATGGGTACAACAAGGACTGGTCGGCTCGGAGTCAGTATAATGTGTCTGAGTGGGGTATTCATGCTTCACTGCGGCATGGTATCTCAGTGGGCTAGCACTATAAAACCAGCTGAAGTCTGGGCTAGTACAAGCAGCCGCACATACACACGCATGCACGTCGTCATATGAGCGAAATATTTTCAAGCACGACGTTACTCCCAATTTCACCTCACCTCACCTCAAGGGAGATCTCTTTGCCAATGGCAGGAGCTGCTGGGCTTTCTCACGTCAGCTCAGGCACACACTTACAGGATTCAACGTTTTCTACGGCCGTACCTACATGCTCAAGATACCAATGTATTGATTCAACTTCCACCATGACTCCACCCTTACCTGCAGTGGTGCCTCAAAGAACAGAATGTTTGAGGAGGAGTCTCTTTGCAGCCTTTCATTCCGACGCATCACCTATTCGTAGATGCCTCCCAACTAGGTTGGGGAGCACATCTGGGCGATCATCAGGTGGCAGGGCAGTGGTCATTCGTAGAACAGACCTGGCACATCAACGAGCTAGAATTCAAAGCAGTTCTAGCAATAGAACATTGGTCGAATCATCTACAGTCCACCAATCACCTGATTCAGTCGGACAATGCCACAGTGGTCTTTTACATCAACCATCTGGGATCAACAGTCTCATCACATCTCGATTGGGCGCTACGGTTCTATGAACTAATAGACTCCCACAACATCGTCGTAAGGGCGAGACACATTCCGGGTATCAAGAATGTCAATGCAGACGCTCTATCCCGGTCAAGTCAACCATCCCCCACAGAATGGAAGTTGCTCCCATCAATATTCCAGACGATGTGTTACCCGTTAACCAGACCACAGGTGGACTTATTCGCAACGAGATTCAACCATTAACTTCCAAAGTTTGTATCTCCCATTCCGGACGAATGGGATCAGGATGCACTAGCAATCTCGTGGGAAGGTCTAAATGCCTATGCCTTCCCTCCAACAGCTCTTCTACCCACTAGCAATCTCGTGGGGAGGTCTAAACGCCTATGCCTTCCCTCCAACAGCTCTTCTACCCAGAGTGTTACAGAAGGTACTGACAACCAAACAGATAACACTGATTTTGGTCGTGCCCTACTGGCCAGCGAGAAGTTGGTTCATCAAGTTACTTCATCTTGGTGAACCAAATCCATCCTGCCCACCCAATTGAAATGACCTATTACTTCATCCTCACACAGAGTCACGCATCACTGCAAACGCTAAATCTTCATGTATGGTCCATCTTCAGAAATCTCTCTTAGCTAAGGGATATTCGCAGAGAGTTGCTTCGGCTATTGAACGCATATCATTCAAGACCTTCTTCCTGGTTGCCTTGGCAACCGGCACTCGTATATCAGAGCACCATGCACTGGATGTTTCTCAGTTATTTTGTTTCCACTCATTTGTTGCATTAAAGGAGAGAGAGTACAATACGTGAGATAGGATAAGTATATAAATATAGACTTTATGGTTAAAATTTTCAATTACACGTAATGCTTGGTAGAAAAGGAACATGCAGTTTTAATGCACATGGAGGCATCCTTTCAATGGAAAATGTTTTATAGGGTTTTAATGAGCATGTTAGACAGTTTATCAATGTTGCACCATTACGACTGGCCACCTTGACAATGATATCACCAACCCAACATTGACGTTGGTATGTTACTCACATCTGTATTGAATCTACTGTGTTGTTGTCTATCAATGCAAGGCACCTAAATACTAGTGAATGTGACAGTGATTGTCTGTACTAAAGGGTTATTCTTTCCTTTTAGGAAATTTTGGCTTTCCAAAGTGACCGAGCAGTGGATGTGAAGAGATTCGTGATTGGCTTCATGGAAGAAGCATGGTAATGATTGGTTCTCTAGCCACCTGTGCTTGACATAGAAGGCAACCATGGTGGTGGGTTGACCCTGGACTGTGTGACATGTCAACATGGGTTGATGGCATGTCATCGTAACCTTTGGTGTGGGTCATTGCTTACAATTTTTACTGGATTATTTCTCTCTGATATCATATAGCTGGGATATTGATTAGTATGGCTATAAATAAACATCTGTTGATATTGTTTTAACCACCTTAGTTTATGTTTTTGTGTTGCTTGTTTCAACGTCTTTATTTGACCCGTGAAGATCTGGGTTAGAATTGGTCTTCAGCAGCACTTGCTTGTTGTAAGATGTATCCCATGATTCTCAATTGTGTAGATTGATGCTCATGCTGTTGATCATTGGTCAATTTACAGACCAATCATCATATCTAAATACACAACAAATAAACAAATAACAGAGGGCATTGTTTCCAGTATATAAGTTTTCTAAACCCAGATTTGATCAATCAATCAAATCTAAATATACATAACAGGCATTATCCAGTTTGAACTACCCAAATGCACTTGGAACACAAGTATCTGTGATGGAGAATCTCGTGGTTACTTCTACTCAGCTTCTGTTTTGATTGGAGCTGGACGGTGGAACACACATAAAGACCTCTTTTCCCAAGGAGAGACCTTTATCTACATATGGGTAAATTCATGGAACTTCCTATTTGTATGTTATAACAAGCATGAGCACAGCTGTTTTACTTTGTTTCCTCTCAGCAAAAAAGACCCAGAAATCCTCTCCAAGGTTCTTCCTAGCCTGAACATGCTCTTGGCAGACGAGAACGTCAATGTCCAGAAAAAGGTCATTCTGTCATCCATCCAAATGTTCAAGTGTACGGTACAGGTAGGTGTATATCAAGTGTAAAATGCACCCTATTTAGATAATTATTTTTAAGGTGTTCTGAAACAAACTTCATATTTTTCCTTATCCTGACTCATGCTAATTATGCTTGTCTCCTTCCTCTTGCGAATGATAGTGGAACACTTGAAATCCCTTGAAGTTCCCTTTAAAAAAGCGGACGTAATATCACTCACCCAAGAGTAGCGTCCCTTTCCTCCCTTTGGTGCCCAAATGGTCACATGATCGGCCATATTTGTCACTCTCTCCTTCGCCCTTGAGGACCGTTGTGAGAGCACCTGGGTCCCTATACGGCACGTATCCTTTTATATTTTCGGACCGTACATCAAAATTATTGCTGTATACGGTTTTTAGGATTATATTCTACATTACGGTGGAATTTGATTTAAATTTTCCGTTGTTTGACATGTGTTTTCTTCATGTTTACATTTGATGAAAACTTGTATTTGTTGTAGGTACCGAGTGTCTGCGGCTGACCCTAATTTATTATGTCCTAATTGCACTGTTTCATGTTCTTTCAGCTCTCGCTGTAAGTCTTGTGTAAATTTAAATTCGGTTGAATTTATTTACCTTTACTCCATCAGTAGACGTGCTAAGGACTGGGTACGTAGGTATTCACAAGTCATGTCGAAATCGAGTGATTGCGCTGATATCTGTGTGTTAACCACTGCTGCAGATATTCATAATTTTTAGTGAATTGCTGAACGTTTCTCAGGAGCAGGTCAATGTACCAGGGGTGAACGCCGGAGGCCATAAGAGATCATCGTCTACTGAGCTGACCTCATCGCAGATGAAGAAGGCCAAATCTTCATCTTCGCAGAAGAAGAAGGCAACTACCATGAAGACTTCAGCGAAGTCTAAGATCAGCTCTACACAGAAGACGAGGTCTTTCTCAGCCGAGATTGTTCCTCCGGAAGAAGTAGATGTTTATCATGATCCACCCATCCTCATACCTGAAGTCACCATCGTCAGTAGGAAGACGAAGCCTGCTTCTACAGTTACATCGGCATTGGTATCAGCGCAGACTTTGACAGAAGACCTACTATCAACGCAGACATCGGGTACCAGAGATAGCAGCAGCGTCAACTCTTCACGAGTGCAGCGAGCCTTAGATGACGTCTCTTCAGTATCAGATGCATCATCCCTGCAGCAGTCTCTTCAGACAACGCAGAACTTCAACCCGGGACTGTTCATGCAACAGTTTACAGACCAGATGATGTCGATGATGGAACGTCGCTTTGCTCAAGAGAAGGCTGCTATGAAGACCGCTACAACGTCTACTAGCCTGCGTGAAGGCTCTACAGTCTCCCCACCACATCTGGATGAAGAGGGAAGCCTGCGCGAAGGCTCACGGACATGACGATCTTCCCCATCTGAAGTAGACGCCCCAGAGAGTGCTGCTAAGAAGTCTCCACGCAGGAAGGAATCGAGGCGTTCTCCCGAACCCTACAGACGTCGCAGATATGAGTCGTCATCTCCATCGGACTCTGACGCCCATCAAGAGCCTGCGAGAAGGCACTCCTACAGAGGGGAAGCTACGCCCAGGAATCCACCTTCGCGAAGGCCTAGAGAATTATCTCAAACCTCCAGGAAGGATTCAAGATCACATCGGGATCGATCGCCTGCGCGAAGCTCATCTTATAGATCATCCTATAGAGACTCAAGTCGTCGTGCATCCTTAGAGCGAGAGATGTCTAAATCAGAGGATGAAGGTGAAGGCGTATTCTCCGATACGGAAATTAACTCCTGGATCGCCAATGGCTTGGACTTATCATCACCTTCTAAGGACACAGATGAGGCGTTTACCTACAAGATGTCCAAAGATGATTTCGACACACTCACCTTTCCACCGACCAACCCGATCTCTCAAGTACCAGACAACCTCAATGCAGCTTTTGATAAAGCCACCAAGTCGCAGAGTCAGCACATCCCGACATTCAACGCCAGGAAATTCCCTCTACATAGGATGGAACCCTTCCTGAAGGCTCCAGAGGTTGATGATGACTATAAGATTATCACTGACTCCCGTCAAAGAACTTACAAGATTGAGGATAAGAAGTTAGCGCAGCTGGATACAACCACCAGACGTACTTTCTTCGGATTAGCCAGATCGAGGGCTATCAACGAAACACTCATCTCGAAGTTCAAGAATTCCTCGGCCGAAGAAGACCGGATGATATACTCCGCTCTACTAATGCAGAAGAGAGACCATCAATTTATGTCGGAGCACCTAGCATCCACCTCAGCGGGCTTGACTCTCCTGAGAAGACAAGGGTTATTGTCAGCATGCACTTGGAGTGAACGCTTCACCAAGTCTTTATACAGAGCCCCATGGTCAGCATCTTACATCTTCGGAGGAGGAATTGAAGAAGTCGCCAGAGAAGTCTCTCACGACTCCAGGGAAGTTATGATGATTAAATCCATTGACACTTTGGCTAACGTGATACATCAGACGTCCCAGCGCTACTCCAACAAATCTAAGTTTGCAGGAGTCCAGAGAGCCAGAGAAAAGAAGTATTCCAGCATGAAAGGAGGAAGAGGCTCCTTTCGTCGCCCAACCGGAGCTCCTAGAGGTAACCCCGGAAGAGGCCGAGCAACCAGGGGTGCAAGAGGAATCAAGCATTGAAGGCCAGGTTCGGAACGACTGGAGTCTTCCACCCCCAGCCGTTCCTGTACAACCTTCGACAGTGGGTGGACGTCTTCAACGGTACTGGGAAAATTGGGGAATACTACAGGACGACTACATATCCCAGATACTGCGCAGAGGGTACAAGATACAGTTGGAAGCCACTCCGCCGCTCACAAGCAACCCGATGGCCTTCAACTATGCAGCCGACCAGATAGAGAAACTGGACGATGCTATCAAGACGCTACTTAACAAAGAGGCAGTAGAAGAGATAGATCAAGATCTCATCACGCCCGGGTTTTACTCCCCAAGTTTCCTGGTACCGAAGAAGAATTCCAAGGAGAAATTTCGGCTCATCTACAACATGAGGAAGTTCAACCGGGAGTATCTACGCAGACCAGCAAAATTCAAGATGATACATCTTCCTCAGCTCCGACATCTCGTTCGTCCAGCAGACTACCTCGCCAGCATAGATCTGCAAGATGCGTACCTCCACATCCCGATACATCCAGACTCAAGGAAATACCTACGTTTCCTTTTCAACGGATAGCTTTTCCAGTGGAAGGTTCTACTGTTTGGAATATCATCGGCCCCCTGGTTGTTTACTCGAGTGACCAAGCCCATCGTCACATATCTACATCGTCGAGGTCTACGCAGTGCTTTCTACCTGGATGACGGGATTCAAGCTCATCAAGATCCCAGTCAACTCAGACTGCAACTAGACTTCACCATCAGGCTGCTCACTCAACTAGGATGGCTAGTGAATCTCCTCAAGTCGGAACTGGAGCCAAAACAAGACCTGCAATTCCTAGGAATTCGACTCATCACACCAGTGAATCGTATAGTCGTTCCAGAGGATCGTTGGGTCAAAATACAACAAATGATATCTCAAGCATTGCTCTCTCCGTTGACACTACGTGCTTGGCAAAGCATGCTCGGTCTACTCACCTCAGCTCAAGACATGACTCACAGAGGGAGATTACAGTTGCGCCCACTACAAGTATTTGTGAACGCCCACCTAGACAGCCTAGATCCGTTAATACTACCGGACAGCCTGAAACCATATCTCCTATGGTGGACTCGGAAGTCGAACGTTTGCGGAGGGACCTTTTGTCAGAGCCGGTTTGCAACACTCATCTCTACGTGGATGCCTCCCTACAAGGATGGGGTGCGCACTTCAACAACGAAGTGGCAGCAGGGAAGTGGTCGAGTCAGGATCAGAAGTCACACATCAATCTGTTGGAGATGAAAGCAGTAATCAACGCTTTACAACATTGGTCCAGCGTACTAAAGAACGCACGACTCATGGTACACACGGACAACTCCACAGTGGCGTTTTACATCAACAAACAAGGGTCAACAAGATCAACAAGTCTGCTACAACTCAGCTTTCTCCTGTTCAGCATAGTCGATGACCTGAACATCTACAAGAAGGCATGCCACATTCCGGGAGCAAAGAATGTCATAGCAGACGCCCTATCTCGTCCACTACAACCATCTCCGACGGAATGGATGTTGCATCCAGAAGCATTCCAGTTCATCAGACAAACTATATGATCCCCACTAATAGACCTGTTTGCAACAAAGTTCAACAAACAGCTACCAACGTTCGTCTCACCGATTCCAGATCCTCAGGCATGGGCAACAGATGCTCTAAGCATCTCATGGGAAGGACTAAACGCTTACGCGTTTCCGCCTCCTGCACTGCTACCACAAGTAATACAGTAAATCAAGCAGACGACTATCTTGCAACTGATTTTGGTCGCCCTACTGGCCAGCGAGGGTATGGTTTCCCATCCTCATACAAGAACTCGGAAGTCCAACCCTGAAACTACCAGAGTGGTCGAACCTACTCGTCCATCCACACACCAAGCAAGCTCACGGGAACCCGACACTGTTCCAGCTACACGCGTGGAGCGTATTAAAGCTTGCCTGAAGACTAGAGGGTACTCCGCCAGAGCAGCGAAAGCAGTAACACTAGCTCTACGCAGATCAACTCGCAACTTGTACGACGACAAGTGGCAGAGATTTGAACAATATGCAAAGAGGAAAGGCTTTACAGCGGTGAAAGCAACACATCCTCAAGTGGCGGAATACTTATGTCATCTACGACAGACGAGACACTTAAAAGGTTCAACACTCTCAACTTACTTAGCTGCCCTCAGTACAGTTATCACCATGAAAACGGGTATCAAGCTGACCAAAGTACCAGAGATTCTGGCACTACTACGCTCGTTCAAGTTGGAAGACCAACAAAAGAAATTTAAGGCTCCTGCCTGGGATCTCAACATAGTTTTACAACATCTCACCAGTGATGCCTACGAGCCTCTAGAACGGACATCCTTTGAACTACTAACTCAGAAAACGCTGTTCCTGATCGCCCTAGCAACAGCTGCAAGGATGTCAGAAATACATGCTCTGGACTTTGAACGAACACGCATTTGAATCAAGACATCCTGACATCGTACATCTTGGACTGAGATGGGATTTTATCGCCAAGAACCAACTGCCTGGTCAGCCTGACAGACAGTTCCACATCCCAGCACTATCTACAGTCCTTGGGCCACAGGATACGCAGGATCTATCCTTATGCCCAGTCAGAGCACTTAAAGTCTACTTACAAAGAACTAAAACAAGGAGACGAAAATTCAAGCGCCTATTCATCCCCTTATCCACTGAGACGCCCACGGAAGTCTCTAGGACAACGATATCGATCTGGATGAGAGCCGTTATACTAAGGGCCTATAAAGCAGCAGGACTTGAGCCTCCACGAGCCTCCAATCCACATGAAGTCAGAGCCCTGGCGTCAACACTTGCTCTGCATGGAAACTGCTCGATTACAACTATAATGGAGGGCTGCTTTTGGAGATCGAACACGGTGTTTGCCAACCACTACCTCAGAGACATTGCCACTGAAGACGTCTCAGGCATTCACCAGTTTGGGCCACTTGTTGTAGCACAACAACTAACGGTTCCACAAAGACGCTGAGTAAATCTCACCCCTTTATCACGTGACTTGTGAAAACCAACGCTCTGGAGAGCAATGGCTATAAGTCCATGCACACGTCTAGGACAGACTAGCATGAGTGATAGACCCTGTACTTGTATAGGACATACTCGTACATGAAGAAGGGTCGCATCTCCACTTGATGCGCGCATCAAGAGATGGAGTTGCAATAGATAACTAATGGAATATTAGTATATCTAAAATCCACACGAAAATGTCAGGAGAAGTTTCTGAAGAAATCTGACAAGTTGTGGTCCCCCCAGACTCATCAGAGAGAAGTTGAAAGAATCTTCAACAGTGCCGTCATAAGTTCCCAAGGGGGGTAGTACAGGACGTAAATCTACAACCAGTGAATCCAGAAAGTGGCTTGACCCACCACCATTTCCGACGGATTCTGCAAGCATAATTAGCATGAGTCAGGATAAGGAAAAATATGTAATTTTCTGACTAAAATTGATATTTTATACTTATCCTGACTCATGAGGTTAGCCCTCCCAACCTCCCCTCTTATGGCACTCTGGATTTCCCTGTAAATCCGGGTGTCGGGCTTACATACGGAGAGAGTGACAAATATGGCTGATCATGTGACCATTTGGGCGCCAAAGGGAGGAAAGGGACGCTACTCTTGGGTGAGTGATTTTATGTCCGCCTTTTTAAAGGGAACTTCAAGGGATTTCAAGTGTTCCACTATCATTTGCAAGAGGAAGGAGACAAGCATAATTAGCATGAGTCAGGATAAGTATAAAATATCAATTTTAGTCAGAAAATTACATTTTCAAATTAATACAAATGTTAGTAGACGGATGCTAATATTTCCCTTCCTTGCAGTGGCTGAGCAAGGCCAAGACCGCGACTGCAGAGAAGACGGCATCGTGGGAACAGATGCACACACTCAAATCTCGCCTCTTTGAAATGCTGGACTCGGAAAATGATGGGTAAGGGTTTTTTGTCAGCAAGATTAAACCAGTTTTTCAACTTTAGTGTTACTCAATGTCATTTGTTTATATTATCCATTGAGTGTAACTGAATAAGTAATGTTTCTCATGGTGAATGGTTTTGATTTCCAGAATCCGAACTCATGTTGTGAAGTTCCTGGAGACTGTCGTCCTTGTTCTCTCCAAGAGATCTGCAGTAAGTCATCACACAGGCAACATGTTTGTCTTTCTCATGTCAACCACGCTGGGTGGAAACACGTCATGATACATGTATTGGGGCATCAGTGATTATTATTGATGATGGTGTTGACCATTTCTGATTAAGATAGGGTAGTTAGAATCAGTAAATCATGTCTTGCCTATGTGTGATGACCATATTATTGATCTTTGTGCCCAGGACTGGGTGTGTGATGTTCATGTGTTGAGCCTTGTGTCCAGGACTGGGTGTGTGATGATCGTGTGTTGATCTTTGTGCCCAGGACTGGGTGTGTGATGATGTGTTGAGGCTTGTGTCCAGGACTGGGTGTGTGATGATCATGTGTTGAGGCTTGTGTCCAGGACTGGGTGTGTGATGATCATGTGTTGAGGCTTGTGTCGAGGACTGGGTGTGTGATGATCATGTGTTGAGCTTTGTGTCCAGGACTGGGTGTGTGATGATCATGTGTTGATCTTTGTGTCAGGACTGGGTGTGTGGTGATCATGTGTTGAGGCTTGTGTCCAGGACTGGGTGTGTGATGATCATGTGTTGAGGCTTTGTGTCCAGGACTGGGTGTGTGATGATCGTGGTGTGTTGATCTTTGTGCAGGACTAGGTGGGTGTGTGATGATCATGTGTTGAGGCTTGTGTCCAGGACTGGGTGTGTGATGATCGTGTGTTGAGGCTTGTGTTGAGGACTGGGTGTGTGATGATCATGTGTTGAGGCTTGTTGAGGACTGGGTGTGTGATGATCATGTGTTGAGGCTTGTGTCCAGGACTGGGTGTGTGATGATCATGTGTTGAGGCTTGTGCCCAGGACTGGGTGTGTGATGATCGGTCGGGTGTTGAGGCTTGTGTCCAGGACTGGTGTGTGATGATGATGTGTGTTGAGGCTTGTGTCCAGGACTGGGTGTGTGATGATCATGTGTTGAGGCTTGTGCCCAGGACTGGGTGTGTGATGATCGTGTGTTGAGGCTTGTGTCCAGGACTGAGTGTGTGATGATCGTGTGTTGAGGCTTGTGTCCAGGACTGGGTGTGTGATGATCATGTGTTGAGGCTTGTGTCCAGGACTGAGTGTGTGATGATCATGTGTTGAGCCTTGTGTCCAGGACTGGGTGGGTGATGATCATGTGTTGAGTCTTGTGTCGAGGACTGGGTGGGTGATGATCATGTGTTGAGGCTTGTGTCCAGGACTGGGTGTGTGATGATCATGTGTTGAGCCTTGTGTCCAGGACTGGGTGTGTGATGATCATGTGTTGAGTCTTGTGTCCAGGACTGAGTGTGTGATGATCGTGTGTTGATCTTTGTGCCCAGGACTGGGTGTGTGATGATCGTGTGTTGAGGCTTGTGTCCAGGACTGAGTGTGTGATGATCATGTGTTGAGCCTTGTATCGCAGACTGGGTGTGTGATGTTCATGTGTTGATCTTTGTGCCCAGGACTGGGTGTGTGATGATCGCGTGTTGAGTCTTGTGTCGAGGACTGGGTGGGTGATGATCATGTGTTGAGTCTTGTGTCGAGGACTGGGTGTGTGATGTTCATGTGTTGATTTTTGTGTCCAGGACTGGGTGGGTGATGATCATGTGTTGAGCCTTGTGTCCAGGACTGGGTGTGTGATGATCATGTGTTGAGCCTTGTGTCCAGGACTGGGTGTGTGATGATCGTGTGTTGAGGCTTGTGTCCAGGACTGGGTGTGTGATGATCGTGTGTTGATCTTTGTGTCCAGGACTGGGTGTGTGATGATCATGTGTTGAGGCTTGTGTCCAGGACTGAGTGTGTGATGATCGTGTGTTCAGCTTTGTGTCCAAGGACTGGGTGTGTGATGATCATGTGTTGAGGCTTGTGTCCAGGACTGAGTGTGTGATGATCGTGTGTTGAGGCTTGTGTCGCGGACTGGGTGTGTGATGATCATGTGTTGAGGCTTGTGTCCAGGACTGGGTGTGTGATGATCATGTGTTGAGTCTTGTGTCGAGGACTGAGTGTGTGATGATCATGTGTTGAGGCTTGTGTCCAGGACTTAGTGTGTGATGATCGTGTGTTGAGGCTTGTGTCCAGGACTGGGTGTGTGATGATCATGTGTTGAGGCTTGTGTCCAGGACTGAGTGTGTGATGATCGTGTGTTGAGCCTTGTGTCCAGGACTGGGTGTGATGATCATGTGTTGAGGCTTGTGTCCAGGACTGAGTGTGTGATGATCATGTGTTGAGGCTTGTGTCCAGGACTGAGTGTGTGATGATCTCGTGTGTTGAGGCTTGTGTCAAGGACTGGGTGTGTGATGATCGTGTGTTGAGGCTTGTGTCCAGGACTGGGTGTGTGATGATCATGTGTTGAGGCTTGTGTCCAGGACTGGGTGTGTGATGATCATGTGTTGAGGCTTGTGTCCAGGACTGGGTGTGTGTTGATCATGTGTTGAGGCTTGTGTCCAGGACTGAGTGTGTGATGATCGTGTGTTGAGGCTTGTGTCGAGGACTGGGTGTGTGATGATCGTGTTGAGGCTTGTGTCAAGGACTGAGTGTGTGATGATCATGTGTTGAGCCTTGTGTCCAGGACTGGGTGTGTGATGTTCATGTGTTGATCTTTGTGCCCAGGACTGGGTGTGTGATGTTCATGTGTTGATCTTTGTGCCCAGGACTGGGTGTGTGATGATCGTGTGTTGAGGCTTGTGTCGAGGACTGAGTGTGTGATGATCATGTGTCGAGGCTTGTGTCCAGGACTGGGTGTGTGATGATCATGTGTTGAGGCTTGTGTCCAGGAATGGGTGTGTGATGATCATGTGTTGATCTTTGTGCCCAGGACTGGGTGTGTGATGATCGTGTGTTGAGGCTTGTGTCCAGGACTGGGTGTGTGATGATCGTGTGTTGATCTTTGTGCCCAGGACTCAGTGTGTGATGATCGTGTGTTGAGGCTTGTGTCGAGGACTGAGTGTGTGATGATCATGTGTTGAGTCTTGTGTCGAGGACTGGGTGTGTGATGAGCATGTGTTGATCTTTGTGCCCAGGACTGGGTGTGTGATGATCATATGTTAAGCTTTGTGTCCAGGACTGGGTGTGTGATGATCATGTGTTGATCTTTGTGTCCAGGACTGGGTGGGTGATGTTCATGTGTTGAGGCTTGTGTCCAGGACTGGGTGTGTGATGATCATGTGTTGATCTTTGTGCCCAGGACTGGGTGTGTGATGATCATGTGTTGATCTTTGTGCCCAGGACTGGGTGGGTGATGTTCATGTGTTGAGCCTTGTGTCCAGGACTGGGTGTGTGATGATCGCGTGTTGAGGGTTGTGTCCAGGACTGGGTGTGTGATGATCGCGTGTTGAGGCTTGTGCCCAGGACTGGGTGTGTGATGATCATATGTTAAGCTTTGTGTCCAGGACTGGGTGTGTGATGATCATGTGTTGATCTTTGTGCCCAGGACTGGGTGGGTGATGTTCATGTGTTGAGCCTTGTGTCCAGGACTGGGTGTGTGATGATCGCTGTTGAGGGTTGTGTCCAGGACTGGGTGTGTGATGATCGTGTTGAGGCTTGTGCCCAGGACTGGGTGTGTGATGATCATATGTTAAGCTTTGTGTCCAGGACTGGGTGGGTGATGTTCATGTGTTGAGGCTTGTGTCAAGGACTGGGTGTGTGATGATCGTGATGCGTGTTGAGGCTTGTGCCCAGGACTGAGTGTGTGATGATCATGTGTTGATCTTTGTGTCCAGGACTGGGTGTGTGATGATCATGTGTTGATCTTTGTGTCCAGGACTGGGTGGGTGATGATCATGTGTTGAGGCTTGTGTCCAGGACTGGGTGGGTGATGATCATGTGTTGAGGCTTGTGTCCAGGACTGGGTGTGTGATGATCATGTGTTGATCTCTGTGTCCAGGACTGGGTGTGTGATGATCATGTGTTGATCTTTGTGTCCAGGACTGGGTGTGTGATGATCATGTGTTGAGGCTTGTGTCCAGGACTGGGTGTGTGATGATCGTGTGTTGAGGCTTGTGTCCAGGACTGGGTGTGTGATGATCATGTGTTGATCTCTGTGTCCAGGACTGGGTGTGTGATGATCATGTGTTGATCTTTGTGTCCAGGACTGGGTGGGTGATGTTCATGTGTTGAGGCTTGTGTCAAGGACTGGGTGTGTGATGATCTTGTGTTGAGCCTTGTGTCCAGGACTGGGTGTGTGATGATCGTGTTTTGAGCCTTGTGTCGCGGACTGGGTGTGTGATGATCATATGTTAAGCTTTGTGTCCAGGACTGGGTGTGTGATGATCATGTGTTGATGCTTGTGTCCAGGACTGGGTGTGTGATGATCGTGTGTTGAGGCTTGTGTCCAGGACTAGGTGTGTGATGATCGTGTGTTGAGCCTTGTGTCGCGGACTGGGTGTGTGATGATCATATGTTAAGCTTTGTGTCCAGGACTGGGTGTGTGATGATCATGTGTTGAGGCTTGTGTCCAGGACTGGGTGTGTGATGATCGTGTGTTGAGGCTTGTGTCCAGGACTAGGTGTGTGATGATCATGTGTTGATCTTTGTGCCCAGGACTGGGTGTGTGATGATCATGTGTTGATCTTTGTGCCCAGGACTCTGATGCCCAGAAGCAGAAGGAGGGGGACGTGTCCCTAGATATGATTCCTGATGGTCGCCATTACCTCAAACAGAAGAAGCTAGAAGACCAGGGCTTGAAAACATTTGAGATGATGCTTCATTTCCTTGGTTCCCCTCACATCTCCAGGTAAGGCCAACAGGCTCTCCTCACGGGAATCACTTCCAGGTATAACACAATGCCCTGCATCTGACCAACTGGTCCCTTTCTCAGGTTGCTGGAGAACCTTTCTGACCCGGAATCTTCAAACAGCTTCGTGTTTTGTGCAGACACCTTATCCTAATAGGAACCCTCATGCTGTTGATCACTGAATTGTCTGGTCCAGACTCGATCATTTACAGACCGTCGCCATATAACTGGAATATTGCTGAGTGTGGCATTAAACAACAAACCAACCAACCAAATCCTGGAAGGAACCTTGTAGCCAGTAGAGGTGGCAGCTGCTTGTTGTAAGGGATGATTGTCATGGGGATCTGATCATTATATTTTATTTAGAAAGATCATGAACATGAGTGTCCTACATTCTTAGGCTCCAGTATTTTCTTTATCTCAATAGAACCAGTTGTGTTTATATGTGTATCTTAACATAAATATTCTTACTTACGCCCTTTCACATTTGCTTTGCCAGTATCAACCTGATGACTGTGATGGGAGCGTTAACAAACGTAGCTCGACAGAGACCGCTGTTCTTCGACCAGGTTGTCCAGGCTTTTGAAGCCCTCCATGGTAGGTTACAACATTTCACAACATTCCCATAACTTACTGTCCTCACACATGAGGACATGGTTGTACAATCCCCACACTGGATGTTTCACCAAGATTCTCCACACCTAATGACTTGTGTTGTTTGTATGTCTTGTGTCTGCCTTGACGATCCTGCAAGAACTGGTCTTCAGAATTCCATACTTGTCATGATAAGCTACCAACAAGATTGGATGATGTCATTGTATCCAAGTTGCATTAATCACTGGATCTCCTGGCCAGGTAGATTATGTGCAGATCGCTGCAAGTAGCCTGAATGTGGCAGTGGTACATGACAGCTTCATCTCGCACCTTCCGCCACCGCTCACACACAAACTTCAGTTATGTTTAATGTTTTCCACAGTGAACCTGCCGCCAACTCTGGCCAAGTCTCAAGTAGCCAGTGTGAGGAAGAACCTAAAGATGCACATGATGAGTCTCCTAAAGCACCCCGCTTCTGTCGACCATGTCACCCAGATCACAACACTGCTCACTGACCTTGGAGCCAGCCAGTCAGAGGTAAAAATTATGGGTTCTAAGTGGATCAATATTCATCTTAGCATTTCAGTTAAAAAAATAAACCTGTGAAATACAATTAATGTTGTTAGCAAATGTGTCGAGTAACCATCCATTATAATGTTTTCTTAGCTCGATAATACAAATACTTTCAATAAATACCTTCAAATCTAGACTTGCAGTAATGGTTGATTATTGTATAATATTTCCACATATTTTTGTTGCATGTTTACTGCATGATAGTCAATTGTTGTGCCTCTTGTTACATTGACCCCAAACAGCCATCACTTGGTCATATATACTCAGCAATATCACAGCTTCTTGATGAACTTGGGTAGACTCAGAATAGTTCTCCTGTATCCATGGCATCAGGACATGGCTGAAATATGGCGATACACCTGTGAATTCTCCCACCACTACAGACAACCAGGAACCAGCTTCTACACTTGAGACAATCACATTGATTTGTACATTTCAGGTGTATGAGTTTGAATCATAATGACTGTTCTGTGTCACATGATATGTCTTTGTCTGCACATTCAGGTGAGCAAGTATCTGCCGAAAGTTGACGAAAGTCGGAAGAGAAAGAATGATGAGCCATCGACATCTAGCAAGAAAGCCAAGGTGGAGGGTGGGTCCCCAAGGTCAAGGTCTTCCCCAGTCTTTAGTCCCAGATGGGTCTACCTTGTAAAGATTCTCACAGTGTCAATCACTGGATTGTCTTGTCCAGACTTGATTATTTACAGTGCCATGTTATGTGTGTGGAATATTGCCGCTTAAAACAAACACAACATAGGATGCTGTCACAGTTTCAGTTGGTTACAGATAACAGTTGTTGATTAAATTAATCTGGATATTGTGTTGTTTAAGTTATCGTTTAATCATCAGCCAGAAATATTGGAAGACAAACAAGTACTGTTTCAACTCAGTTTTCTATAACTCCGGTTCATCAAAAAGGTTAAGTGAGTGAATTGGGACTGTGTTTTCAAATTAGAGGTGGTAAAATGGATTTATAATATCCCTAAAATTAATTTGAAACAATAAACCTAGAAACTTTATTGTGGCAACACCCCCGATTTGTGTCGGAAGGATCCCACTTGGCACATTAACCACAGCACCAGTGATGACTGGACCCAGCCATGACAATATATATATTGATTTATGTGTATATCAGTCTTATGTGATGTTTACAGGAGGATGCTGCCGATGAAGAAGACGATGACATTGGTATGACACCATGGTCAAGTCGTAATGAGTCCAACCGACCAACCGGTGCGAGTCGTCAGACTGCCATCGATATAACAGCTGATGATCTCTGTCCTCGTCTGTCTCCACAGAATGTTGCAGACCTTGTCCTTCTCAGTATGGTATGTTGATGATCTCGTCCTTCTCAGTATGGTATGTCGATGACCTTGTCCTCAGTATGGTATGTCGATGACCTTGTCCTCAGTATGGTATGTCGATGATCTTGTCTTTCTGCGTATGGTATATCGATGGTTTATGGAGAGTTGCCCTGTAAGTAACCTTGTCCTGTATGGTAGAAGGGTTACACTGAGAGTAACTTTGTCCATTCTCTTCACTTCCTGTAATCATTTCAGGTGATGCTCCCCGACACAGCCCCTGCCCAGTTCCAGGCCACCTACACCCCCATTGCCGCTGCTGGTACCGAGACACAGATCAGACATATAGCCCGTCTCCTAGCAACACAACTGACCATGGCAGGCATGGGCAAGGGACTTGGGGAACTCCAGAGAACAGTCAGTACCAAACTAATGTTCGGTGTAGAATTCATATCCTTCGTCCTGTATAGGGATACAAAGAGTCCTTTCCTGTCACTGATTCAATGATGTTTATGTCGCAGGCCATGGAGCAGGGCATATCCGGAGATGGAGATACATCACCTTCCTCTCCTAGTAACTTTGAACCAACATCACCCAAACAGCTCATCCAAACACTAGTTGGTAAGTGTGTTTACATGTGACTTCAGAACCAGGTTGTCGTGTCAACGGTAAAACTCAAAACTCACATAATGAATATGGAATTCTCACATACTGAATGTTCTGCTGAAAGATCTTATGCTCGCTGTGCATATAAATGTTTCACTGTTTCACTCTGCCTTTCACACTTGTCGCCCTGCTGGGAATCTCTGTATGCAGACTGATTATAAGCATGGACTGTCAACATTGTCTAGCTGTGAACATGATCTAACTGTAAATATGGACTGACTGTAACCGTGGTCTAACTGAAGACTATAATCATTGTCCAGCTGTGAACGTGATCTAACTGTAAATATGGACTGACTGTAACCGTGGTCTAACTGAAGACTATAATCATTGTCCAGCTGTGAACGTGATCTAACTGTAAATATGGACAGACTGTAACCGTGGTCTAACTGAAGACTATAATCATTGTCCAGCTGTGAACGTGATCTAACTGTAAATATGGACCTACTGTAACCGTGGTCTAACTGAAGACTATAATCATTGTCCAGCTGTGAACATGATCTAACTGTAAATATGGACAGACTGGAACCGTGGTCTAACTGAAGACTATAATCATTTTCCAGCTGTGAACGTGATCTAACTGTAAATATGGACGGACTGGAACCGTGGTCTAACTGAAGACTATAATCATTGTCTTACTGTGAATGTGATCTAACTGTAAATATGGACTGACTGTTACCGTGGTCTAACTGAAGACTATAATCATTGTCTTACTGTGAATGTGATCTAACTGTAAATATGGACCTACTGTAACCGTGGTCTAACTGAAGACTATAATCATTGTCCAGCTGTGAACGTGATCTAACTGTAAATATGGACGGACTGTAACTGTGGTCTAACTGAAGACTATAATCATTGTCTTACTGTGAATGTGATCTAACTGTAAATATGGATGGACTGGAACCGTGGTCTAACTGAACACTGTCATCATTGTCTAGCTGTGAACGTGATCTAACTGTAAATATGGACGGACTGGAACTGTAGTCTAACTGAAGACTTTCATCATTAACTAAGTGTGACTTGATCTAGCTGTAACTTCAATTGACTGACTGTGACTGTGTTCGCACTGAAGACTGTCATCATTAGCTAACTGTGAACGTGATCTAACTGTAAATATGGACAGACGGTAACTGTGATCTAACTGTAAATACGGATGGACTGTAACCGTGGTCTAACTGAATACTGTCATCATTGTCTAGCTGTGAACGTGATCTAACTGTAAATATGGACGGACTGTAACTGTGGTCTAACTGAAGACTATAATCATTGTCTAACTGTGAACGTGATCTAACTGTAAATATGGATGGACTGTAACCGTGGTCTAACTGAATACTGTCATCATTGTCGAGCTGTACCATGATCTAGCCATAAATAAGGACTGACTGTAACCATGGTATAACTGTGTAGCCATGCACTGACTGTAACCATGGTTTAGCTGTAACCATAGATTGACTGTAACTGTGGTATAGCTGTAACCATGGACTGACTAATCATGGTATGACTAACCATTCAATGTAACCATGGACTGACTGTAACTATGGTTTAACTGTAACCAAGGATTGACTAACTGTGGTATAGCTGTAGCCATGGATTGACTGTAACTGTGGTATAACTGTAACCATGGACTAACTGTAGCCATGGTATAACTGTAAAATGGACTGACTGTAGCCATGGTATAACTGTAAGCATGGATTGACTGTAGCCATGGTATAACTGTAAAAGTGGGCTGACTGTAGCCATGGTATAACTGTAAGCATGGATTGACTAACTGTGGTATAACTGTAAAAGTGGATTGAAGCTAGCCATGGTATAACTGTAAAAATGGACTGACTGTAGCCATGGTATAACTGTAAAAATGGACTGACTGTAGCCATGGTATAACTGTAAGGATGGATTGACTGTAACTGTGGTATAACTGCAACCATGGACTGACTGTAGCCATGGTATAACTGTAAAAATGGACTGACTGTAGCCATGGTATAACTGTAAAAATGGACTGACTGTAGCCATGGTATAACTGTAACCATGGACTGACTGTAGCCATGGTATAACTGTAAAAATGGACTGACTGTAGCCATGGTATAACTGTAAGCATGGAGTGACTGTAACTGTGGTATAACTTCAACCATGGACTGACTGTAACTATGGTATGACTGTAACTATGCATGAACTGCTGGTGTTCTGTTTCAGGGGGGCACAGTTAGTATTTCTGATCAAGAAGAGTTCAAGAAGCCGGAACCAATCACTGCCCCAGTTGTGAGTCTCATGAATGACAGCACTCTGTCTGCTGCTTACTGAAAGATTTTACAGTAATATAACAAACAGCTCAATAGTAATGTACCATATTCAATTTCAAATCAAATTTTGATTTGTATTTAAAAATGCAATGTTGGAGACATGTGTAAATGTACTAGTGGTACACCAATCAACCATCTGATCAATATTTTGTATGCTAAGATTCTGTTTTCAATCACATAATCACTGCTGGTGAATCTTGACGATTGATTGGTTGGTTGCTGATGTAACTTAGCAACCATAATGTCAGAAGGTTCCCACCAATCAACACACTCGGCTTCAGGTGCAGCCCAGGAAGGGGGTGATCCGCCAGTTCAAGCTGTCCTCCGTTACACACCCGCTGGACTCCGAGAAGCTGGACTCCATGACGCTGGCCACTGTCAAGAGAGTCTTCAACACCGAGAGTGAGTTGACAGACTTGGTGTACATTAGTTCCCCTACATCCATACAATGACTTCCTGTAATTGTGGGCTTAAGTCCCAGATTCAACTTGTATGTGATCCTTCATTTATCAACACCACCCCCGATATGGGTTTCACCCAGGTGGTGGGGCATTGGGGTAGCCTAGTGGTTAAAGCGTTCTCTCATCACGCTGAATGTTCACTTCCCCACATGGGTACAATGTGTGAAACCCATTTCTGGTGTCCCCCGCCGTGATATTGCGGGAATATTGCTAAAAGCGGCGTAAAATCCAACCCACTCACTCACCCAGGTGGTAAATGTAAAAAATCTACATCAGTTCATACTTTGTTCCCATGAGAATCTGGCATGATACGATAGGGTCTGAAAAGCTGACAGTTTTGAAATGCTGTTTAAACTGACAAACCCACTTACACATCTTACAGAGATTGCCATCCAAGCCCATGTGCCAGCTGCTCGCACCAAGATCCTGGCCTGTCTGACTGCAGCTTTTGGGGGAGAGCTTAAAGATGGTTAGTTGATGCCAAGATTCAAACTAAAACAGAGAAACATCTGCAATGGTATATCTAGACCCACTTCTAATATGTATGGAGAGTAGCGAGTTATAAACTTGGTATCTCGATCTGATAGATTACAAGTGCTTCTATGCATGATGACAAGACAGGACTGTAGGTTATGTAGCACTATATGCTGATGAATTTCGGTTGTTCACTCAAAAGTTGTTTTCATTAATGATTTATACAGCTGCTTCAGGAGTGAAAGACATTCGAAGAATGGCATGTGATAAAGGGATGATTATTATTTGTTTCCATGTCTTACATATCATATCTCAGGAATGAAAGATATGTATGATGCTGATCAAGTAATGAATTTATGTTCCTGATGATTTGTACATGAATTGTACGATACTGAGACCTTCTGCTAAATGTGCACCTCATTATCATTGAATGTAAAGTCCAATACATTTAAAAGAGAGATTCCTTATTTGATGCTTTCAGTGATGCAGACGTTCATATTTGAGGACCTGCGTAACCGTGCCGACCTGGCGTTTGCATGGCTGTTCCAGGAGTATGCCAACTGCCAGGGTTTCAGTGTGTCAGCCCCACTGGGGGAGAGACCCACTCTGCACAGCTACGACGAGTGTCTCACACGGCTGCTCACAGGCCTCCTGGAGGCTCAGGACCAGAAGGACGGGTGAGGACATATGTCCGTCATCATGATGACATACAGGGGCAATGATATTACATAATGGGGTGCATGGTATATTTTATGAAAGAAATAGACTGTCCCTAATTATTCATGAAATAATCCTTGGTACTTCCCCACATGGGTACAATGTGTGAAGCCCATTTCTGATGGCCCCCAACCTAAAAGCAGCATAAAACACTTACTCACTCACTCACTCACTCACAGATAAAAATTCTGTTACTGTTTATATTGCATCTAAAACCCAGCTCCCAGCAACCACCATTAGACTCAGGTTATGTCAGGCTTGTCAATCCTGAGGTAAAAGTGTTCACTTTATACCAAAATATCTGTTTGATTTCTCCCTTTGATAAGTGTGTTAAGCTATTCTCATATCCCCTGCATATAGTGTGGTAGCCCAGTGGGTTTAGAGTTCGCTCTGGGCACTGAAATCCCTGTTGATTCCCACCTGTATGAAGCCCAGTTTGGTACCAAGCTGTACAGTCCGTTTGAGACAAAATGATACCGATGAATTGCAATCTAACACAAAAACAAATAGACATAAAAGAATCAAACCAACGCGGACTGCAATAAAAACAACAGAAACTGTCATCATTTATTTGTGCGTTTTCCTAGTTTGTTACAAGGGCGTAGTGCCAACTAAAGGAACAGCGCGAAAAGCTCTCGTTTTTTCTCAAACGGACCGTAGTAAGAGTTTGATAATGCAGGATGGTTGAAACCCAACCGAGTCAGTCAGACTTGTTCTCAGCCATACCTACAGTAGTGATACATGAACCTACTCCCTGCTCCGACCGCCTCCGTGGTGTAGTGGTTAGAACGTCCGCCTGGAGAGCGGAAGGTCACAGGTTCGATCCCCGAGCGCGTCATACCAAAAGACGTTAAAATATGGTACTTGTTGGTCCCTGCCTGGTGCTCGACATTAATGGGTACAACAAGGATTGGTGGGCTCGGAGTCAGTTTAATGTGTCTGAGTGGGGTATTCATGCTTCACTGCGGCATGGTATCTCAGTGGGCTAGCACTATAAAACCAGCTTAAGTCTGGGCAAGTACAAGCAGCGGCACATACACATACACACGCATGCACGTCGTCATATGAGCGAAATATTCTCAAGCATGACGTTAAACCCATTTTCACCTCACCTCACCTCACCTCACCTCACCTCACCTCGCCTCACCTCACCTCACCTCACCTCACCTCACCTCACCTCACCTCACCTCACCTACTCCCTGCTCCTGTGGATATGCAGTTGAGGAAGAGCTTCAGGATTCTTATGGACAGAATTTATGATGAAGATACGTAAGCTAAGGACTGTTAAAGTCTCAGTATTGTGGAAGAGTTAGTCCTGCCATTGTCAATCTGAAGGCCATGTGTTGTGTTTCCAGATTGTTTGGTCGTCTCATGATGGAAGCCCCGGTGATCACAGACAATGCCACTCACATCCTCAAGCGATACTGCCAAGACCCGGTAGGTCATCACACACGCCGCTATACACCTGCTGTGGTGCAGGAAATTGATCAGCAGAGGTTCCGCCATGTGACTAATATCTGTACACTCAGCATCAGAGCTACTACAACAAGTAGAAGACTATGGGTGTACAGTGATTTTGTATGGCTTGAGAGTTCAAGAAGTGTTTCAAAGTTTCAGGGCCGACTAGATTCATGAATGACACTGTGTACTTTTTCAATCTTTCAGGGTCGACTAGACGTAGGGATGGCAGTGTTGAAAGACCTGATTCTGATGCGGCCATCCCAGAGGCTCAGGTTCCTAGATGTCCTGCTGGATCTGACATCACACTACGAGGCCGATGTGAGTATATCCTCCTATAGTTTGGCATGAAATGCATGTGGACCCGTTTTTTGTAAATACCTCTTTATCCAATGACCCAATCGATCTCAAACTGTGCAAGTGGATGTGTTGTCAGACAACCTAATCACATTGTAAATCGATTTTATGCATTTGTATTAAAGAATCTGTCTACGTAACTGTCAACAAAATAAACAGCAGAACGCAGAATGCTTGCAGAGGGAGGGAGCCAATGACCTGTAACAGTGGCAGTGTTGGGTCATAAAGGTCAGCAGAACGCAGAATGCTTGCGGAGGGAGGGAGCCAATGACCTGTAACAGTGGCAGTGTTGGGTCATAAAGGTCAATGCACGTGCAGTTCATGATAGTTACTTGTGCACTGCACAGTGATAGACCGTTTGGATCATTAACATTGACTACTTCTAGCCATCATCATGAAAGCTTATTCAGATGATGCTAAACATTTAATTAGAAATGTGTTGAATTTTTAAAAAAAAGAGAGCAAACGTAGCAAACCGATTTATAAGGTGTGGGATTACATAAAGCGTGCAACTTCTTGTACAAAAGGTAGGCATCCAAAGTTAGATTCTTTGACATCAGAGTCATCAGCATAGCTGACCTACATTGACGAACGTTGTTTATTTTGTTGACAGTTACATAGACAGATTCTTTAATACAAATGCATAAAATCGGTGATTTACAATGTGATTAGGTTGTCTGACAAAACATCCACTTGCACAGTTTGAGATCGATTGGGTCAGTGGATGAAACAGAACCAGTTGGCTCTGAATCAGTATAAAAGTCTGAGTGTAAACTGTCTCTAGTTTCGGACTAGTACCCTTAGTTTGTTACCATGCATGTATAGAACTGATCGTTGACTCATTCTATCCTGTTTTAATGAACATGCTGAACCATGTTAATCCCAGGTGATGTCTCACTGGACTCATATTTTTATAAGAATCCAAATCCTGCACAGCTTGTCTCTCCCATTAATACTTCCTACTTATACTGTTTGTTGTGGTTTAACGTGGAACTCAGCAATATTCCAGCTATATGGTGGGAGTCTGTATATAAACAAGTCTGGACTAGGCAATCCAGTGATCAACAGCATGAGCAACGGTCATTGAGATACTATTACACATGTCAACCAAGTCGATGAGCCTCACCACCCAATCCTGTTAGTCGCCTCTTATGACAAGCATGGGTTGCTAGAGACCAGTTCTGACCTGGCTCTTCACGGGTCCTCCTTATCTTACTATCATGGCTGATGTAGCTGTTGCCATGGTTACTTTGCCCAACACCCAGACAGACACTCTCTTGAAAATGTCTTTTATGCTAATGTAAGATAAATTTGCTGTCCTTTTGCTTCAGGTACGGAACATGGCAATTGAGACAACCAAAGAGTTATATAATAAACCCAGCATGCAGTTTCCAGTAGAGGTATGTAGATACTATGGTGTGTTTATCAGGGAGACTGTGATATAGGTGTGTGTGGCTGAACTGTATATGGGATGGTATGTGTGGTATGTTCTCCAGGAGAACTGTAAACTGTCAGTATAGACATGGTATGTTGTGATTTCCCTTTATTGTTTGACTGTTTATGTATTCCAGAAATACGCTCTAGTTCACCTGAAGAAATTGTTGCTACCACGACCACCATCAGACTCCAATCAAACCATCCGTGTCCTCCGCTCTACACTCTCAGGTAGGGAAATACACTTAATGTACCTTGTACCAGTGTATGAAATAAGCCAAAAACCCAGCCAGACACCAGGCTGGTAACTGCAAAATGTTACCAGCCCAAAATGGATTTAACCAGACCAGACACCAAGATATGGTGCTTTTGCTCAGATGTATGGAATATCTTTTACTCAGATGTATGGAATATCTATATCTGTCTATACCAGACCATCAGGCTGGCCAGTAGTAATCCATTTATGCTGTCTGTCTAGGTCGAGAAATACACTGCTTATACCTGTAGTATCAATCCATTATGCTGTAGACATGATTTCAGTAGGTTTCAGATGGGCCGTATTTCATACACTGCTTATACCTGTAGTAGTAATCCATTATGCTGTAGACATGATTTCAGTACACAGGTGATGTTTAAGGCTGCTATATACTTATGTATGTGAAATATGTCTAATGAATATGTCTCCCACAGTGGACATCATAGAACACTGGACAGAGGATGTGATAAAATCTCACCTGTACCTCTACCTGGGACTCCTACCAGCAAACCACAGACTCATACACGAGAAAGTCTCACCACAGACTCATACATGAGTAAGTCTCACCACAGACTATACATGAGTAATTCTCACCACAGACTCATACACGAGTAAGTCTCACTCGATACTCATACATGAGTAAGTCTCACTCGATACTCATACATGAGTAAGTCTCACCACAGACTATACATGAGTAATTCTCACCACAGACTCATACATGAATAAATCTCACCACAGACTCATACATCTGTAAGCCCCACCCCATACTAAGACATCTGAAAGTCCCACCCCATACTAAGACATCAGTAAGTCCCACCCCATACTAAGACATCAGTAAGTCCCACCCCATACTAAGACATCAGTAAGTCCCACCCCATACTAAGACATCTGTAATCGTCCCACCCCATACTAAGACATCTGTAAGTCCCACCCCATACTAAGACATCTGTAAGTCCCACCCCATACTAAGACATCTGTAAGTCCCACCCACCCCATACTAAGACATCTGTAAGTCCCACCCCATACTAAGACATCTGTAAGTCCCACCCCATACTAAGACATCAGAAAGTCCCACCCCATACTAAGACATCTACTAAGACAAGTAAGTCCCACCCCATACTAAGACATCTGTAAGCCCCACCCCATACTAAGACATCTGTAAGTCCCCATACTAAGACATCTGTAAGTCCCACCCCATACTAAGACATCAGTAAGTCCCACCCCATACTAAGACATCAGTCCCACCCCATAAGTCCCACCCCATACTAAGACATCACAGTCAGTAAGTCCCACCCCATCTAAGACATCAGTAAGTCCCACCCCATACTAAGACATCAGTAAGTCCCACCCCATACTAAGACATCTGTAAGCCCCACCCCATACTAAGACATCTGTAAGCCCCACCCCATACTAAGACATCTGTGCCCCAAAAACCCCATACCCCACCCCATACTAAGACATCAGTAAGTCCCCACCCCATACTAAGACATCTGTAAGCCCCACCCCATACTAAGACATCTGTAAGCCCCACCCCATACTAAGACATCAGTAAGTCCCACCCCATACTAAGACATCAGTAAAGTCCCACCCCATACTAAGACATCTGTAAGTCCCACCCCATACTAAGACATCAGTAAGTCCCACCCCATACTAAGACATCAGTAAGTCCCACCCCATACTAAGACATCAGTAAGTCCCACCCCATACTAAGACATCTGTAAGCCCCACCCCATACTAAGACATCTGTAAGCCCCACCCCATACTAAGACATCAGAAAGTCCCACCCCATACTAAGACATCAGTAAGTCCCACCCCATACTAAGACATCTGTAAGCCCCACCCCATACTAAGACATCAGTAAGTCCCACCCCATACTAAGACATCAGTAAGTCCCACCCCACCCCATACTAAGACATCAGTGAAAGTCCCACCCCATACTAAGACATCAGTAAGTCCCACCCCATACTAAGACATCAGTAAGTCCCACCCCATACTAAGACATCAGTAAGTCCCACCCCATACTAAGACATCAGTAAGCCCCACCCCATACTAAGACATCTGAAAGTCCCACCCCCATACTAAGACATCAGTAAGTCCCACCCCATACTAAGACATCTGAAAGTCCCACCCCATACTAAGACAAGTCCCACCCCCATACTAAGACATCAGTAAGTCCCACCCCATACTAAGACATCAGTAAGTCCCACCCCATACTAAGACATCAGTAAGTCCCACCCCATACTAAGACATCTGAAAGCCCCACCCTAAGACATACTAAGACATCTGTAAGCCCCACCCCATACTAAGACATCAGTAAGTCCCACCCCATACTAAGACATCAGTAAGTCCCACCCCATACTAAGACATCAGTAAGTCCCACCCCATACTAAGACATCAGTAAGTCCCACCCCATACTAAGACATCAGTAAGTCCCACCCCATACTAAGACATCTGTAAGCCCCACCCCATACTAAGACATCTGTAAGTCCCACCCCATACTAAGACATCAGTAAGTCCCACCCCATACTAAGACATCAGTAAGTCCCACCCCATACTAAGACATCTGTAAGTCCCACCCCATACTAAGACATCTGTAAGCCCCACCCCATACTAAGACATCAGTAAGTCCCACCCCATACTAAGACATCAGTAAGTCCCACCCCATACTAAGACATCAGTAAGTCCCACCCCATACTAAGACATCAGTAAGTCCCACCCCATACTAAGACATCAGTAAGTCCCACCCCATACTAAGACATCTGAAAGTCCCACCCCATACTAAGACATCTGTAAGTCCCACCCCATACTAAGACATCTGTAAGTCCCACCCCATACTAAGACATCAGTAATCCCACCCCCATACTCCCACCCCATAAGACATCTGTAAGTCCCACCCCATACTAAGACATCACCCCAAGTCCCACCCCATACTAAGACATCAGTAAGTCCCACCCATACTAAGACACTAAGACATCAGTAAGTCCCACCCCATACTAAGACATCAGTAAGTCCCACCCCATACTAAGACATCTGTAAGTCCCACCCCATACTAAGACATCAGTAAGTCCCACCCCATACTAAGACATCAGTAAGTCCCACCCCATACTAAGACATCTGTAAGCCCCACCCCAGGCTACTAATCTCGGCTGAGACACATGTCATCCCCATCGACTAAGACATCAGTAAGTCCCACCCCATACTAAGACATCAGTAAGTCCCACCCCATACTAAGACATCAGTAAGTCCCACCCCATACTAAGACATCTGTAAGCCCCACCCAATACTAAGACATCTGAAAGTCCCACCCCATACTAAGACATCTGAAAGTCCCACCCAATACTAAGACATCTGTAAGTCCCACCCCATACTAAGACATCTGAAAGTAAGTCCCACCCCATACTAAGACATCAGTAAGTCCCACCCCATACTAAGACATCTGAAAGTCCCACCCCATACTAAGACATCTGTAAGTCCCACCCCATACTAAGACATCAGTAAGTCCCACCCCATACTAAGACATCAGTAAGTCCCACCCCATACTAAGACATCAGTACGCCCCACCCCATACTAAGACATCTGAAAGCCCCACCCCCATACTAAGACACCCCATACTAAGACATCTGCAAGTCCCACCCCATACTAAGACATCTGTAAGTCCCACCCCATACTAAGACATCTGTAAGCCCCACCCCATACTCACACATCTGTAAGCCCCACCCTATACTCACACATCAGTCTCACCACAGACACACCTACCAGTATGTACCTACCTCCACTAGTGAGTCCGACCACAAGCTGTGGATGTTGTAGGAAAGCCACTGTGTACTGACTTCTGTGTGTATTATAGGTTGGCCAACGTGTACACCGCCACTTCCGCCGATATCAAGCGAACCATCCTGCGAGTATTGGAGATACCAGTAAGTTGTCGCTGTCTTCCTACTGCTTCTGGACATTTAGTTTGTCTGTGATGTGTCTCATGATGATGATGATGATGATGATGATGGTGATGGTTATTTTCTCACAATGATGAACTGGCTGTTTTGAAAAAAACCATTTTGTTCCAGAAACTGTTGGAGAAGAAAATTTACTTCAGATTGTTTCCACCAAATGGAAAAATTAGTGGTTTACATTGGTGATTATTTTCTCGATTACCCTGTATATCACTGGATTGTCTGGTCCAGATTGGTTACAGACCGCTGCCATGTAGCTTTAATATTGCTGAGTGTAGTGAAACACACCAAACAAACAAACAAACAAACAAACCAATGAGGGTTAGAGTAGATCCCCAGCACTCCTCACCAGCCCTACTCACCAGCCCTACTATAGATGTGAGTGTTGTAGATGGAGGGGCACCAGCCTTACTATTGATGTGACTGTGTTGTAGGTGAAGGGTATGGGGATGCAGTCACCGGAGCTGCTGACCATGGTAGAGAACTGCCCCAAAGGAGCTGAGACGCTGGTGATGAGAGTCATCCACATCCTCACAGACAAGAGTAAGTTGACCTTTAGATATGTCTCATTACCCTTTCAATACCTGGACATGAACTATTTCAAGTCGATAAACTCCCACACCTTGACATAGACATACGGTGGTCGTAGCACTAAGGTGATCGTAAGTCCCACACCTTAACGTGGAGTTACGGTTGCTTCAGCACTGAGGTGAGTGTACCTCCCACACCGTATCATAGACTTACGTTGGTCTTAGTGCTAAGGTGATCGTAACTCCCACACATTAACATGGACTTTTGGGAAGGTGTAGCGCTAAGGTGATCGTAACTCACACACGTTAACATGGACTTACGGTAGTCGTAGTGCTAAGGTGATTGTAACTCCCACGCCTTAACATGGACTTACGATAGTCGTAGCACTACAATGATCCTAACTCTGACACCTTAACATGGACTTGCAGTAGTCATAGCGCTAAGGTGATCGTAACTCCTACACCATGACATGGACTTACGGTAGTCATAGCACTGACAATGGCTCCCATTTCCCCAGCAACCTGTGAGGTTGTGAGAGGTGACCAGATGGATCCAGTGGTCAGATAGGGTGACTTGGTTGATTGTCCCCTGCCGCAACAGGGGACGGGATACTATGTATTCAGCGGCATCCGTACGTACGTCCTGATTCTTGTTAACGCGATATCTCAGGAACTATGGTACCCAATGTCTTCAAGTTTGGTGACTGCCTACATTGGGGAATTACCCAGACAGCAGTTGATTTGGGTGACCTTGACCGCATCTTCCAGGTCACCGCAATACTTTGACCACTTTTCAAACTCTTGTTAATGCGAAATCTCATGGACATACCCTGACAGTATGGATTGATTGTCAACATACCCTGACAGTGTGGATTGATTGTCAACATACCCTGACAGTGTGGATTGATTGTCAACATACCCTGACAGTGTGGATTGATTGTCAACATACCCTGACAGTGTGGATTGATTGTCAACATACCCTGACAGTGTGGATTGATTGTCAACATACCCAGTGTGGATTGATTGTGTGCCCTGACAGTGTGGATTGATTGTCAACATACCCTGACAGTGTATGTCAACATACCCTGACATTGATTGTCAACATACCCTGACAGTGTGGATTGATTGTCAACATACCCTGACAGTGTGGATTGATTGTCAACATACCCTGTGGATTGATTGTCAACATACCCTGACAGTGTGGATTGATTGTCAACATACCCTGACAGTGTGGATTGATTGTCAACATACCCTGACAGTGTGGATTGATTGTCACCATTCCCTGACAGTGTGGATTGATTGTCAACATACCCTGACAGTGTGGATTGATTGTCAACATACCCTGACAGTGTGGATTGATTGTCAACATACCCTGACAGTGTGGATTGATTGTCAACATACCCTGACAGTGTGGATTGATTGTCAACATACCCTGACAGTGTGGATTGATTGTCAACATACCCTGACAGTGTGGATTGATTGTCAACATACCCTGACAGTGTGGATTGATTGTCACCATACACTGACAGTGTGGATTGATTATCAACATTCCCTGACAGTGTGAATTTGTTGTCAACATACACTGACAGTAGGGATTGATTGTCAACATACCCTGACAGTGTGAATTTGTTGTCAACATACACTGACAGTGTGATTGTCAACATACCCTGACAGTGTGGATTGATTATCAACATACCCTGACAGTGTGGATTGATTGTCAACATACCCTGACAGTGTGGATTGATTGTCAACATACCCTGACAGTGTGGATTGATTGTCACCATTCCCTCACAGTGTGGATTGTAGCTCACAATATCAGTTGCAGAGAGTTGTGTCCCTTTGGCACACCAGAAACCTAGGATGGGTTTGAATCCTGGTTATCTGTCTAGGTAAGTCAGCAAACCAAACCTCTGTTCATGGGTTTAACCACAATCACAATGTTTGGGACACGCATTACTTTGGCCTGCCTTGGCACATAAGCTGAAATGCCATAATGTAACCAGAATACTGTTCAGAGTATAATATTTTATATAATAGCCTGTGGCGGCTACTGTTGGACTACTACTACCGCAGGAATGTTTCCCGTTGTTCCTCACATGCTAGAATTACACTTACACTCCGGATCATGGTTTAGAAGGACTTCACATAAGATGCAATCAGCAAGTATTCCATCTTGGACAGACCGAAATAATTACTGAATGTTAACATTTAGAGATTGTGGACTGTGACACAGAGACTACTCTCCCCTTCATTCACTCTTTTTGTTAGAAGATAAATGTTCACTTTGCTGAGGAGTGTTTATTTCATGCCTGACATTTCATTTCACAGAATGTTGGAGATAGATTACCCCAAGAGGTAAGCAGCAAGTCCCATGTGTGCCATAGAACTAAGCATTGCTGTCTTCTGTTTGACAGCTTTGCCGTCCTCGGAGTTAGTGGAGAGAATTCGAGACCTGTACCAGAAACGAGTGCCCGACGTCCGCTTCCTGATCCCAGTACTTACCGGTCTCACCAAGGTGGGCAGACGGCAGATTTGATTTTCATTACATATTATCATGTAGCAATAATCTTATGGCTTCCCTGTGATGTCATAGTTAATTCTTCTGTGCTATTGCATTATCAGTATGATTTCAATAGCCACATAGTATGTGGTAAAATTTGACCAATTATATTGTTTGATCTCTGACCAGGAAGTAATTATAATGTTTATTTTCAGGTTGAGGTGATCAGTGCCCTGCCCAAACTTATCAAGCTGAATCCAATGGTGGTGAAAGAAGTCTTTCACCGGCTCATGGGCGGTTATGGTATGTATGACAGTTTGATATGGTATGTATGACAGTGGGATACGGTGTGTATCACAGGGGGGATATGGTATGTATGACAGTTTGATATGGTATGTATGACAGTGGGATACGGTGTGTATCACAGGGGGGATATGGTATGTATGACAGTTTGATATGGTATGTATGACAGTCAACGGTGTGTATCACAGGGGATATGGTATGTATGACAGTTTGATATGGTATGTATGACAGTGGGATACGGTGTGTATCACAGGGAGGTTATGCTATGTATGACAGTTTGATATGGTATGTATGACAGTTTGATATGGTATGTATGACAGTGGGATACGGTGTGTATCACAGGGGGATATGGTATGTATGACAGCCGATATGGTATGTATGACAGTGGGAAAACTGTATCAGAGGGATATGGTATGTATGACAGTTTGATATGGTATGCTGACAGTGGGTACAGGTGTACACTAGGATATGGTATGTATGACATTTCCCCGTATGTATGAAAGTACAGTGTGATCATGTGGTGTTATGGTACAGGTGGATATGATATGTATGTATGACAGTTTGATATGATATGTATGACAGTGGGATGTGTGTGTATGGGTGATATGTGTGTGTGTGTGTGATGTGATGTGTGTGTGTGATGGGATGTGGGTGTACGGTATGTACACTATCATGTGGACATGGAGGAAGGTGGGATATGGTAGAATATATGCATCCTGAACTGTTCGTAAATGGTGTCTAAAGATTCCTAATTTGTTCATTATCCAAGCTGTAGGGTATAAAGAAATAAAACCCATCCAACAGCATCATCAGCTAATCAGGGGACAGTTAACCATTAGCAGGCATTACCCAAGTTCTTTGTGGTTTATGGAGACAAATACCAAAGTATTTGCTTGGGATCACTTAGATGTATTTGTATTTGCTGATAAATTGAATATTTCTGAGGTTTGGTTTCTTCCCCCCAGGTGACAGCACAGCCAGTTACACCTCCCCCCTCACACCAGCGGAGTTGTTGGTAGCTCTTCACAACATCGACCCCGCCAAGTGTGACATGAAGACAATCATCAAAGGTAGGTTTAAACATGGAGTTGCTTCAGTGACGACAGCAGACCTCTGGTGATGTGGAGGTGGAGAAGAACATGATCAATCCAAGAATGTGATATGTAACGACATACTGTAAGAGTTACTTCCCTTGATGGTTGTAGTGTGGACAGATATAGTGATTCACTTCCTCTGTTCCAGCGGCCAACCTGTGCTTCAGTGAGAAGATGATCTACACACAGGAAGTGTTGGCTATCGTCATGCAGCAGCTGATGGAGCAGACGCCGCTGCCAACGTTGCTGATGAGAACAGTACTGCAGTCATTATCCATGTACCCACGACTCATCGGCTTTGTGATGAACATCCTACAGAGACTCATCATTAAACAGGTAGGGAGGCAGTGGAACTCTTTGTGATGAACATCCTACAGAGGCTCATCATCAAACAGGTAGGGAGGCAGTGGATCTTTGTGATGAACATCCTACAGAGGCTCATCATCAAACAGGTAGGGAGGCAGTGGAACTCTTTGTGATGAACATCCTACAGAGACACATCATTAAACAGGTAGGGAGGCAGTGGAACTCTTTGTGATGAACATCCTACAGAGACTCATCATCAAACAGGTAGGGAGGCAGTGGAACTCTTTGTGATGAACATCCTACAGGGACTCATCATCAAACAGGTAGGGAGGCAGTGGAACTCTTTGTGATGAACATCCTGCAGAGACTCATCATCAAACAGGTAGGGAGGCAGTGGAACTCTTTGTGATGAACATCCTACAGAGACTCATCATCAAACAGGTAGGGAAGCAGTGGTAGGGAGGCAGTGGAACTCTTTGTGATGAACATCCTACAGAGACTCATCATCAAACAGGTAGGGAGGCAGTGGAACTCTTTGTGATGAACATCCTACAGAGACTCATCATTAAACAGGTAGGGAAGCAGGTAGGGAGGCAGTGGAACTCTTTGTGATGAACATCCTACAGAGACTCATCATTAAACAGGTAGGGAGGCAGTAGGGAGGAGGCAGTGGAACTCTTTGTGATGAACATCCTACAGAGACACATCATCAAACAGGTAAAGCAGTGGTAGGGAGGCAGTGGAACTCTTTGTGATGAACATCCTACAGAGACTCATCATCAAACAGGTAGGGAGGCAGTGGAACTCTTTGTGATGAACATCCTACAGAGACTTCATTCATCAGGGAACAGTGGTAGGGAGGCAGTGGAACTCTTTGTGATGAACATCCTACAGAGACTCATAAACAGGTAGGGAACAGTGGTAGGGAGGCAGTGGAACTCTTTGTGATGAACATCCTACAGAGACTCATCATTAAACAGGTAGGGAAGCAGTGGTAGGGAGGCAGTGGAACTCTTTGTGATGAACATCCTACAGAGACACATCATTAAACAGGTAGGGAAGCAGTGGTAGGGAGGCAGTGGAACTCTTTGTGATGAACATCCTACAGAGACTCATTATCAAACAGGTAGGGAGGCAGTGGAACTCTTTGTGATGAACATCCTACAGAGACACATCATTAAACAGGTAGGGAGGCAGTGGAACTCTTTGTGATGAACATCCTACAGAGACACATCATTAAACAGGTAGGGAGGCAGTGGAACTCTTTGTGATGAACATCCTACAGAGACTCATCATTATACAGGTAGGGAAGCAGTGGTAGGGAGGCAGTGGAACTCTTTGTGATGAACATCCTACAGAGACTCATCATTAAACAGGTAGGGAGGCAGTGGTAGGGAGGCAGTGGAACTCTTTGTGATGAACATCCTACAGAGACACATCATTAAACAGGTAGGGAGGCAGTGGAACTCTTTGTGATGAACATCCTACAGAGACACATCATTAAACAGGTAGGGAGGCAGTGGAACTCTTTGTGATGAACATCCTACAGAGACTCATCATTAAACAGGTAGGGAAGCAGTGGTAGGGAGGCAGTGGAACTCTTTGTGATGAACATCCTGCAGAGACACATCATCAAACAGGTAGGGAAGCAGTGGTAGGGAGGCAGTGGAACTCTTTGTGATGAACATCCTACAGAGACTCATCATTAAACAGGTAGGGAAGCAGTGGTAGGGAGGCAGTGGAACTCTTTGTGATGAACATCCTACAGAGACACATCATTAAACAGGTAGGGAGGCAGTGGAACTCTTTGTGATGAACATCCTACAGAGGCTCATCATCAAACAGGTAGGGAGGCAGTGGAACTCTTTGTGATGAACATCCTACAGAGGCTCATCATCAAACAGGTAGGGAGGCAGTGGAACTCTTTGTGATGAACATCCTACAGAGACACATCATTAAACAGGTAGGGAGGCAGTGGAACTCTTTGTGATGAACATCCTACAGAGACTCATCATCAAACAGGTGGAACTCTTTGTGCTCACATAGCCAGTACATTGTGGGCATTATATTCAACTTTTGATAGCAGTGTATACATTTGGTGATGGCCACTTTTTATTATTTGAGTGATTCTTTCTATTATTTGAGCTTATTGGACAAAAAATGACAGACGCATCATCAGTACTTCACTGATTTCTAGACCCTACATCCTCCATCACCTTAGAACACCATGGCCTCTTCTGCAGCGAATACAATATAAGGCTGACATGGAAGTCCAATGAGTGACTCTGCACATCACTGTGAACATCCGACCTGAAACACTGTCAAGCACACATGGTCGCAAGGACTGTGGCACATGTTGCTCCAGAAGTATTGCTGTGTGAAGTAATCTGTCTGCTCGCTCGTTTCCTTCAGTCACTAACCAATGAAGGTCCGAGTTAGAATTGATCTTCAGTAACCCATGCTTGTCATAAGAGGCGATTAACAGGATCGGGTTGTCAGGCTTGCTGACTGGGTTGACACATGTCGTCGTATCCCAGTTGCGCTGATTGATGTTCATGCTGTTGATCCCTGGATTGTCTGGTCCAGACTTGATTATTTACAGACCGCCGCCATATAGCTGGAATATTGCTGAGTTTGGTGTAAAACTAAACTCACTCACTCACTCACTCACTCCTTCAACTCACTGGTTTGCCTAGACGTGATGACTCACTTTTTGACAGGGATAATCAGATATGTCATACTGTTGAATGTACACTTGTGACAGTACATGTATTAATCTTTCTGTGCGTTATGGAAAGATAAATAAGTGTCTTATTCTTGTATATTTAACACGACCGCCTTTATATAGCTGTGAGATTGCTGACTACAACAATATAAACACCATCACTCACTCCATCACTCTCAATCACGCCATCCATCAGTCAATCACTCTCAATCACTCCAACAATCACTGACTGGCTCACTCACCTTCTCACCCCATCTCTCACTCATCATTCTCATTCACTCACTCACTGAGAGTCCCAACCCAGCCACCCACCCCATCACTGAGTCCCTATTCTGTCTGTATCTAGGTGTGGAAACAGAAGAAGGTGTGGGAAGGGTTTGTCAAGTGCTGCCAGCGCACCAAGCCCCAGTCCTACCAGGTGCTCCTGCAGCTCCCGTCCTCCCAGCTGAAGAACGCCTTTGAGATCTGCCCCGACATCCGCGAGCCGCTTCTTTGTCACGTGAAAGCATTCACTTCTCAGCAGGTATGACAGGAAACTTTCACCAGATATGTCAGACTTGTGCTTAGCAAAGTTGTCCTCTTCAGCAGCTGTGACTGAAACTTGTCAGTTTCTGTTTCAGTTGAAGTATCGCATGGGAATATCATAACTGGGATATAAACTCTTCAGTTAGGTCATAACTGGGATATAAACCCTTCAGTTAGGTCATAACTGGGATATAAACCCTTCAGTTAGGTCATAACTGGGATATAAACCCTTCAGTTAGGTCATAACTGGGATATAAACCTTCAGTTAGGTCATTACTGGGATATAAACCCTTAAGTTAGGTCATTACTGGGATATAACCTTTCAGTTACTGGGATACTGGGATATAAAACCCTTCAGTTAGGTCATAACTGGGATATAAACCCTTCAGTTAGGTCATTACTGGGATATGAACCCTTCAGTTAGGTCATTACTGGGATATAAACCCTTCAGTTAGTTCATTACTGGGATATAAACCCTTTAGTTAGTTCATTACTGGGATATAAACCCTTCAGTTAGTTCATTACTGGGATATACCCTTTAGTTAGGTCATTACTGGGATATAAACCCTTTAATTAGGTCATAACTTGGTTAACCCTTTGTTATATCATAACTGGGATATAAACCCCCTTGCGATGTTATAATGGAGATATGCTCCCCTATTGTGAGGTCATAACTGGGATATAAACCCTTCAGTTAGGTCATAACTGGGATATAAACCCTTCAGTTAGGTCATAAAACATTTCAGTTAAGAATTGTAAATGGTCGAGTGAGTTGTGATCGTGATGTGGGTAATTTCACGTTTTGTGGGTGCCAGGGTGAAAGTACTATTGATTATTTTTTGTCAACAATTGATATGTTTCCTTTGATTAGTTATTTTGAAATTGGACAGTTATCAGAACATTCAGATCATCGCTGTCTCCATGTAAAGTTAAAACTGGACAGTTATTACCAAGAATGTAAACCTACAGGCTTAATATAGAGATCGATATAAATGGAGGGACAGTAAATGTGATGACTACCACAATTACCTCAAGGATGATCATACAAAATGTGCCTTACAGAGCCTAAAAACACTCTCGATAAAGTAAATATTGACAAGGTTGATATTGACAACTGTGTTAAGGTCAATCACTGAGGTTATGTTACGCGTGCGGCAGTGATCAGTGGCTAAGCCAGCAGCCGCATGCACCACGTGATAAGTATTGGTTTGATGATGAGTGTCGGTCTTTGAGGGCAAAGTTCAAGGAGTCGGAGGCAAGATTTACCAAATCTGGGAGTGATATTGACAGGGTTGATATGGTACACTGCGCTCTGTTTATCGGAGATGTTGTAGAAACAAGGTTAAATCTTATAAGAAGAAGGCAGCAGCTGATCTGTCACTTCTGAGTAAAACAAATATTAAACAATTTTGGAAGAAAGTTAAAGGTCATAAAAAAAGTCAAGTAGTATCAGCAATTGTAATTTTGAGGACCATTTTAAGAATTTGTTTAATCCTGAGATACTCCCGAAACCGATAATGATACTCTCAGAGAAATAGATCTTGATGATGTACAAGTGTGGATAGAGGAATTAGATGTCGATATTAGTGAAAAACGAGGTATCCACTGCTGTTAAAATGTTGAAGTTGGGTAAGTCAGCTGGTTATGACGGTATTATCAATGAGTTTTTGGTTCATGGCTCATCAATATTGATTCCCGTGAATGACCTAAATTGTTCAATGCTATTTTTAGAACAGGGTATTTCCCATCAGGATGGACTGAAGGAGTTATCGTTCCTATACATAAGAAGGGTAGCAAGGTAATACCGGATAATTATAGAGGCGCCACATTACTGTCATGTTTCAGCAAGTTATTTACTCGCATTATTTTGAACTTGAGGATTTCTTCTTGGTGTGAAAAATATAGTGTAATTATTGAAGAACAGGCCGGTTTCGAGAAAATTACAGCACTGTTGACTGTATATTTGTTCTACATGGATTAATTAATATTGCAATTAAAAATAAAGTTAAATTATATTGTGCATTCATTGACTATCGAAAAGCATTTGACTATGTAAATAGACATGCACTTTGGTGTAAATTATATAAGCTTGGGATAAGTTCAAAACTTCTAACTCTAGTTCAAGTATGTATGAGGGGGTTAAGTCTTGTGTGAGGCTGTCCAGTAATATTCATTCAAACTTTTCATGTCGCCTATTGGTGTCAGGCAAGGAGAAAATCTGTCACGATTTTGTTTTCATTATTTATTAATGATATAGTAGAAGAACTTTCTTCTATTGATGACTTGGGAGTTGTTATTTCTTATGTACGTTTACTTCTGTTGATATTTGCTGATGATATGGTGCTCTTTAGCAATAGTGTTAAAGGTTTACAAGACGGTTTGGATAGGATGTTTACTTACTGCACGAAATGGGGCTTGACCATAAATACCGAAAAAAACTAAGGTTGTTATTTTTCGTAAAGGGGGTAGACAAGGCAAGGCTGAAAAATGGTCCTATAATGGTTCACCCCTTGAGGTAATCAATAATTTTAAATATCTAGGTTTAATATTTTCAACAGGTGGCAGTTTTTCACAAGCTCAGAAAATCTTATCAGAACAAGGTTTGAAGGCACTTGGTTCATTGTACAATATATTCAATGATAATGCGTACATTACTCCAGATATTCAGTATCAGTTATTCCAATCAGTTGTTTCTCCTATTCTCTCATATGGTTGCGAGGTTTGGGGCTTTATGGAAGCTAATGCTATTGAAAAGGTACACTTGAAATTTATGAAACACATATTATATGTCAAAATGTCAACTCCATCAACTTTCTTATATGGAGAATTGGGTACATTCCCTTTAAAAGTTATTAAGTCTTGTCAGGATTATCAAATATTGGCTTAAGATTTTGAGAAGTAAACCAGATAGATATATAGTTTTGATGTATAATTCATTATTGAATAGTTCAAATGAGAACCCTGATGTTGAAAACTGGGCAAGTTTACTGAGATACGCTCTTCAGGTTTGGTTTTGGCTATATTTGGGTTGCCCAATATGTTCCTGAAAGTTGTGATTTTGTGAGAGAATTTACGCAAAGGGTTAAGGACATTTATTCTCAAATGTGGAAACATCAATTATCAACTTTAAGTGAAACTAGATTGTATCTTCATATTAAGGAAACTCTGTGCATCGAGAAATATTTAACTAATATTGATGTTAGGAAGTACCTAAGTGCGTTTACGCTTCCTCGACTTAGATCACATATGCTTATGATTGAAAAAGGAAGATGGAGTGTGCCTAAAATCCCATTTGCCAATAGATTATGTCCCTTTTGTACTAACGAAATAGAAGATGAGTACCACGTACTTTGATTTGTCCAAAATATCGAGAAATACATGTAAACAGCATTTAAGTAATACTTTATTGGAAAATATAAGTATGTTTAAGTTTATCAAATTGTTAAAAGGTGAAAACAGTTTTGAAGTACTGAAAGCTGCAAAGTGTATTTATCATATCTTAAATGAAAGAAACAAAGTTGAATTTTTGTAAATCGTCCATACATATCCTCACTCTTGGGCTATAATGATAATAACAATGTGATTGCTCTCTTTATATACGTACATCGCCATGTGCACAGGCAAATATTCAATATATATATATTGTATTGGTCTTTGACCTAATAAAAATCTTGTCTTGTCTTGTCTTGATATAAACCCTTCAGTTAGGTCATTACTGGGATAAAAACCCTACAGTTAGGTCATAACTGGGATATAAACCCTTCAGTTAGGTCATTACTGGGATATAAACCCTTTAGCTAGGTCATAACTGGGATATAAACCCTTCAGATAGGTCATAACTGGGATATAAACCCTTTAGCTAGGTCATAACTGGGATATAAACCCTACAGTTAGGTCATTACTGGGATATGAACCCTTCAGTTAGGTCATTACTGGGATATGAACCCTTCAGTTAGTTCATTACTGGGATATAAACCCTTTAGTTAGTTCCTTACTGGGATATAAACCCTTCAGTTCATTACTGGGATATACCCTTGAGTTAGGTCATTACTGGGATATAAACCCTTTAATTAGGTCGTAACTTGGTTAACCCTTTGTTATATCATAACTGGGATATAAACCCCCTTGCGATGTTATAATGGAGATATGCTCCCCTATTGTGAGGTCATAACTGGGATAGAAACCGCTGTCATAACTGGAAAATAACCCTCTTTGTGATGTCATGATTGGAATATAAACCCATTCACTGGTGACATGATATTCAAAATATTGGCTGGGTGAAACTGAAGGCCAAGGTTACAAGTGTGTGTACATGAGAATTAGGGTATATATTGTTGGAATTTACTGGGTAACAGTTTATGTGATATCAAAGGTAGGATTGTTTTCTCATCATGACATCCATATCAGGTAGAGGTCACTATAGATCAAGTTATGAAATATGAAACCGGAAGTGATATCACATAACCGAATTGCATACAACTGTCTTTTAGACTTCTCTAGTATGCTATGTGATTTTGGTGCTTGTTTCTTCAGCAAGCCCACATCCCAAAGGGCATCATGACAGTGTTGGAGACAGATCCGCTAGAGGAACAGCGTAAAGCAGAAGCAGCACGTATTGAGGCAGAGAAAAAGGCCAAGCAGAAAGAGGAAGAGGAGACGTTTGCCAGGGTGGAAGCTGAGCGACTAGCTCGGGAAAAGGTGGAGAAAGAAAAAAGCGAAAAGGAGAGAGCAGATAGGGAATTGCGGGAAAAGGAGAAATTGGAAAAAGAGAAACAGAAGGCTGAAAAAGACAAACTGGAGAGAGAAAGGAAAGAAAAGTTAGACCTGGAGAAGAAGCAACAGTTGGAGAAAGAACAGAGGGAGAAGGAGGACCAGGAGAAGGCTATAAAGAAGGAGAAACAAGATGAGGAAGAAAAGCAGAGGCAAGAAAAAGAAAAGGAAGAAGTAAGGAAAAAGAAAGAAAGGGAAGAAAAATGGCATTAGGAAAAAGCAGAAAAAGACAGATTAGAACAAGAAAGAACTGAAATGGAGAGGTTGAAGAAAGAGAAGGAGAGACAAGCCAAAATTGAGGAGGAGAAAAAAGAAAAAGAGAGACAAGATAAGATTGAGAAGGAAAGAAAAGAAAAGGAAAGGCAAGAAAAAGAAGCTAAGGAGAGACAAGAGAAGGAAGAAAAGCAAGTGAAGGAAGAGACAGTGAAAGAGGAGCCAGCTGATGAAGGGATGAATGTGTTGGAGGAAGCCAGAGATGCAGCAGAAGAACCCAAGTCAGAGGTGAGGAAGATGTAGTGACATGGGTTAAGGTTTTCTGGCTGTGGGTAACCTCTGGGGCAAGAGTTGTGTTTCTTTTCATCTTGATCGTGCTTGTCTTGAGTTTTCTTAGATTGACCTGTTAGAAATGATGAAATACTGGTTTGTTTCTGCCTAAATGGGTTATATAACTGATGATATGGTTGACGTGTCATCTGTGTGCAGGTGTCAGAGGAGGGTGGGGCCAGTACAGAGACAGAGGCCATGGAAACTGCGGAGAGCTCCCTGGACATGGGGGAGCAGACTGGAGGCAGTCCAGAGGAGACCATGGACACGCTAGACGAGGAGGAACAGGTGGGTGCAGCAGTTGGGGGCAGGAGGTGGCCTAGCAAGTTTGGGTATCGTGATGCTAGTAGCTGGAGGGGTAGGAGGTGGCCGAGCAAGTTTGGGTATTGTGATGCTAGTAGCTGGAGTGGTAGGGGAGAAGCAGAAGTGAGTACTGCAGGCAAACGTGAGTAATAGGAGCTGGTAAATGGAGTCTCTGGAGGTGGTAACTTTGCATCAGGGGTTGAGTATCTGGTAACATCTGGAGCCAAAAACATCTGGATCTGGTTAGGGGTATGAGGTTGTCACAGCTGGAGGTGGTAGCTGGTGTGTTAGGGGTGGGGTATGAGGTTGTCACAGCTGGAGGTGGTAGTTGGTGTGTTAGGGGTGGGGTATCAGGTTGTCACAGCTGGAGGTGGTAGCTGGTGTGTTAGGGGTGGGGTATCAGGTTGTCACAGCTGGAGGTGGTAGCTGGTGGTTAGGGTGTTAGGTTGTCACAGTGTGGTATCAGGTTATCAGGTTGTCACAGCTGGAGGTGGTAGCTGGTGTGTTAGGGGTGTGGTATCAGGTTGTCACAGCTGAGGTGGTAGCTGGGTAGGGGTGGTGGTATCAGGTTGTCACAGCTGGAGGTGGTAGCTGGTGTGTTAGGGGTCAGGTTGTCACAGCTGGAGGTGGTAGCTGGTGTGTTGTTAGGGGTGTGGTATCAGGTTGTCACAGCTGGAGGTGGTAGCTGGTGTGTTAGGGGTGTGGTATCAGGTTGTCACAGCTGGAGGTGGTAGCTGGTGTGTTAGGGGTGTGGTATCAGGTTGTCACAGCTGGAGGTGGTAGCTGGTGTGTTAGGGGTGTGGTATCTGGTTGTCACAGCTGTGGTAGCTGGTGAAGCTGGTGTGTTAGGGGTGTGGTATCAGGTTGTCACACAGCTGGAGGTGGTAGCTGGTGTGTTAGGGTGGGGTATCAGGTTGAGACAGGTATCAAGGTTGACACAGCTGGAGGTGGTAGCTGGTGTGTTAGGGGTGGATCAAGGTTGTCACAGCTGGAGTAGCTGGTGGTTGGGGACTGGTAAGGTTGTCACAGCTAAGGAAGTAGCTGGTGTGTTAGGAATGGATGGTATCAGGTTGTCACACATGGAGGAAATGTTAGGGGTGTGGTATCAGGTTGACAATGGAGAAGGAGCTAGTGTGTTGGGATGTTAAGGTATCAGGTTGTCAAGCTGGAAGTAGCTGGTGTGTTAGGGATGGTATCAGGAAGTAAAAGTGTGTGTCACAATTGAGGGTACAGGTTGGAGCTGGAGGTGGTAGCTGATGGAAATTGTGGTATCAAGTTGTCACAGCAGGTGGCTGGTGTGTGTTAGGGGTGTGGTAGAAGGACCTGGGAACTGGTGTGTTAGGGGTGTGTGAGAGCATCAGGTTGTCACAACTGGGATCCAGGCACAGCTGGAGGTGGTGCTGGTGGTTAGGGTGGAGACACAAGAGGTGGTACTGGTGTTGTTAGAAGGTATCAGGTTGACAGCTGGAGGTGGTAGCTGGTGTGTTAGGGTGTGGTATCAGGTTGACCACAGCACAGGGGACTAATTGTGTTAAGGGATGTGTTAAATGGTATCAGGAAGGCAGGTAGTAACTGGTGTGTTAGGGGTGGAGGTTGTCACAGCTGGAGAGTGGTAGCAAGAAATGGAAGGGTCACAACTGGAGGTGAAATGTGAGGTGGGAGTATCAGGTTGTCCACAGCAGGTGGTAAGGAAGAAGGTGGTACAGTGTGAAGGAGGTTGGAAAATGGAGGGAGTGTGGTAAGGTTGTCAACAAGTGTTGGAGTGAAAGAATGAAACTGGTGGGAAATGGAGGACAGCTGGATGGAGGTGGTAAGTGTAAATGGAGGGATGTGGAAGGAGCTAGCAATGTGTTAGGGGAATGGAAAGGTTGTCACACTGGAGGTGGTAGCTGGTGTGTTAGGGGTGGGGGAGTATCAGGGTCACAGCTGAAGGTGGTAGCTGGTGTGAAATGGAAGGAAGCTGGAGGTGGTAGCTGTTAAACAAGAGCTGGAAATGGAAAGGGTGGAAGTGTGGAACAATGGAGCTGATGGAAGGACATAGGAAATGGAGGGATGTGAACACACAGCTGGAATGGAGGAAGGAATGAGGTGGTAGGGATGGAAATATCAGGTTGAAGGAAAGGAGTATCAAGGTTGAAATGGAAATGGAAGGAAGAAGGAAGATGGAAGGAATGGAAGGAAGGAAGAAGATCAGGAGGAAGGTAATGGTGTGGAAGGAAATGGAAATGGAGCTGGTGTGTTATGGAAGGAGGTTGAAATGGAAAGTGGAGGAGGTGTGGTATCACATGAGGTGGTAGCTAGTGTGTGTTAAGAATGAGGGTTGAACTGAGAGGTGAAATGCTTCAAGGTGGAGAGGGGTGAATCAAGTTGTCTGAATGGAGCTGGTGTGAGGGGTGGTATCACAAGAAGCTGGTGGAGGATGTGTTAGGGATGTGTGGTATCAGGTTGAGCTGAGAGATGGTAGCTGGTGTGTTAAGGGAGTGTGGTATCAGGTTGTCACAGCTGAAGGAGCTGGTGTGTTAAGGAAGTCACAACAATGGAGGGTGTGGTATCAGGTTGTCACAGCTGGAGGTGGTAGCTAGGGGGTGTGTTAGGTGGTAGCTGGTGTGTTGGTATCAGGTTGTCACAGCTGGAGGTGGTAGCTGGTGTGGTGTAGGGTATGGGGTATCAGGTTGTCACAGCTGGAGGTGGTAGCTGGTGTGTTAGGGGTGTGGTATCAGGTTGTCACAGCTGGAGGTGGTAGCTGGTGTGTTAGGGGTGTGGTATCAGGTTGTCACAGCTGGAGGTGGTAGCTGGTGTGTTAGGGGTGGGGTATCAGGTTGTCACAGCTGGAGGTGGTAGCTGGTGTGTTAGGGATGTGTTGGGGATGTGGTATCAGGTTGTCACAGCTGGAGGTGGTAGCTGGTGTGTTAGGGGTGGGTGTGGTATCAGGTTGTCACAGCTGCAGGTGGTAGCTGGTGTGTTAGGGGTGTGGTATCAGGTTGTCACAGCTGGAGGTGGTAGCTGGTGTGTTAGGGGTGTGGTATCAGGTTGTCACAGCTGGAGGTGGTAGCTGGTGTGTTAGGGGTGTGGTATCTGGTTGTCACAGCTGGAGGTGGTAGCTGGTGTGTTAGTATCAGGGTGTGGTATCAGGTTGTCACAGCTGCTGAGGTGGTAGCTGGTGTGGGCTGTGGTATCAGGTTGTCACAGTGGATGACTGGTGTGTTAGGGAGTGTGGTATCAACCTGGTCACAGCCACTTTATATGTATTTCATGATGATTTTTGAGGTTTGAGAAAACATTGACTTGTCACCTTGAACATTGTTCTATACATGCTGGTTTTCTGACCTCCAGAGGCTTATAGGATTTGTGAGTTGGGCATGGCTTTACTGTTTTCTACATCCCATTGTTTCAGTTTATTTGACTTCCTTCAATGCTCTTTACACAGGTACCAGCAGAGAAGAAAGTGGGTCGAAGTCGAAGAAGTCGTGGCGGGAAGGCTGCACCAAAAACATCACCAGTCACACGGCGTAGCTCCCGCACAAAAAAGTCATGATACCCAGAATATTAATGATTACCACAGAACAGTGTATATATACTTGGTCATTGTTTGATGGAACAGTGAGGTCTGATGGTACAACTGTGGGGCTCTGTTGATGGGACAGTGAGGTCTGATGGTACAACTGTGGGGCTCTGTTGATGGGACAGAAGTCCTGTTGATCGAACAGACAGGCTTTGTTTCCTGGAGTTTTGGCGCCATGGCGCTCTCTCAGCAGAATGGACTGTCTTTACTGATGTAACAGTTAGTCCCTGGTCATGTACCAGAGTGGCTTTTCTGGTGGATGTGTGGAAGTTTGGTGATTTAACAGCAACGGTCTGTTGATGGAACATGGGGTCAGTTTCACTGTGTACAGAGCAGTCAGTGGCAAGTTGTTGTACAAAGAATGGGTGATGATGATGATGATGATGATGATGATTCATGATTTTTCTTTCCTAATTATGTGAGGTGGTTGCTGAGCAAAAACTGATGAATGAAAACCTTCAGTGCTATTGACAGTAGATTCCAGAACACACCCTGTCTATCAAGAAGATGATCCAAGAGTTAAGAGTAGAATCAAAGATACATATTTTCTTGTTTGTGTTTCCTGTTTCATTTCTTCATTGAAAATCATGGTGATCATTCCAGCACATTCTGTTTGACGTCATGTTGTTCCTAGATTCCATTGCTGTCATGTTATCGACACAGATGCATGCATCTCCATGACACAGTGTATGATGGCACCAACCCCAGGAATCGGCTCACTACTGAATTTGTCTTGGCATCCAGCTTACAGACTCTAAGTCATATCAGGGGCTGTGGGGTAGCCTAGTGGTTAATGCATTCGCTTGTCACGCTGAAGACCTGGGTTCGAATCCCCACATGGGTACAATGTGTGAAGCCCATTTCTGGTGCCCCTCGCCCTGATATTGCGGGAATGTTGCTCAAAGCGGCGTAAAACCCAACCCACTCACTCACCCAGGTGGTAAATGTCAAAGATCTACATCATTTCATACTTTGTTCCCACATGAATCTGACATGATGTGGTAGGGTCTGAAAATCTGACAGTTTGAAATGCTGTTTAAACTGACAAACCCACTTACACATTGTGTGATATTGCTGGAATATTGCTAAAAGTGGCATAAAACCCAACTTACTCACTCACTAAGTCATATCAGCGTATATAACTGTACCAGGATATACTTTAGACTTTCAATAGAATGTAGGATCTTGTGTGCTCATAAGCTTGGGGCTAAATATTGATTGGTTTGTCTCTCTTTGCCCCAAAAACAGAAACTAAAACAATTATTTCATCATTGAAATAATAGCATCAGTATACCAGATAAACGTTTCATATCATCCAGAATACCAACTAACATCTTTTGCAGCTGAAGGGTTTGAATGAAACATATTTTATTCATTCAAGAAAAGGATTGGGCACAAGTTATCCAACGTAGAAAAGCCCTCTCCCAGTAATTACACAATTCATCTTACAACAATGTACACAAGTGACAGACACAGGCTAAGATATGTACAACGTATGTTAACTGAGAAATGTTTTGTTTGAGAGATCAAGATATGTACATATTTGAAAACATTCAGTAATTGAGAGGCCTGCATTGCCATGTAAGACAAGATGGAGGGTTGGCATCATCCTGTATCTGTCACTAAGATGGCTGCTGCTGGCAATATTTGCTGTTATTGTCATGTACTGGTAATACGGCTGTTATACACTGCCCACAAGACGAAAGGGATCTAATGAGATGATAGTGAAGGTGTTAAAATGATAAATATCCTTAACATTCAGTTAGGAAGTTGAGATAAATATCTGGTGTGGTGGGTGATGCACAGCACCTACAAGTTGATTAAGGGACCGTTCATAATTTATGGCTGGGGGTTGGGGAATGGGTGTGGGTGTTTGTGATGATGATTTTAAGGGGGGTCAACCATTTTGTTCTGGGGAGGTAGGTGGGGGTCACCAATTTTGTACACATGTATTAGTGGGGTAAGGTATTTTGTACATGAAATATTAAAAATTATGTGAAGGGGGAGGGTGGGTCATTGATTTTGTACATATGTAAAGGGGGGTCACTTACTTTGTACATAAATTTTAGGGGTGTGTGTGTGTTCCACTCACATTGTACATGCTTCTGCATAAAAATCATCATCATCATCACCCCCCACCACCACCCCCCCCCCCTTGCCATGAATTATGAACAGACCCTTACTTGTACCTAACTTCCTTTAGTATAGCTTGACATTCCACCTGATGTGTTGTGGTAGGCTGTGTCTTGTTGGTGGGTGCCATTCTGGTACTGTACACATTACTCTGCTGATAACAGGATGAGATTTGAATGTATTAGGTACTCAATGTAATGTGATGATCTTGTTTAGGTGTCCATATTTCAAACAAAGGTTATTTGCAACACCACTCATTTCACAGTACTTCTACTCTCAAAACCAGGGGCTGATCTTGGGGGGTAATTTCCCTGAGGAGCATTTCCCTAACCTTTGGACTTCACGATTTATGTACACCTCCCTTTCTCAAATATTCAGGATTCGCCCCTGAAAACCATCTGCCAAACATTAAGGTAAATCTGGAAATTGACACTCCCATCCATCGTTCCCAGTTTTCGTCATATTGTCTGTATATTTAGATACTCTCTCGGAGACAGTTTTACCCTTGGCTTCTGTAAATCACATGCTGTTTATACATCACGTGGAATGTCAGTGGTGTTCAGATGCAATGCCAAGGTTTTGTAAATGTACACCTCAATCATAGCTTCATTCAAATCATGATTATTTCTGGTCACTAGGATATCCACAACTGTTGTATGATATATGTCCATCTCATGTTCCTGTGGCGATGGACAGTCTGTTATGTATGGATCAACATACAGTGAATAAAATAAAGAAATGTGGAACATGTGTTGCATATGGGATGCCAAGTGTATGTCTTTTGTGATTTCTGTGTCACAGTGACACCCCCCCAACATATACTGAACAGCAAAAGAAACGCTAGTTTCGAAAAAATTAAATCTCATAAAAGTAAGCATTCATGTTTATGGAACGTTCATGGTAAAGTGATGTAATGATCATAGATGAGATGATGTCATGAAATTTGACGTCCATACGAAACATTTGCACAAACACACCCACAGTGCAGCAAAACCATAATTTTAGCATGTGCATTGGTGGTTCTGGATGGAAAGCATGTATTTCACTCTGAGGTATCCTTTATAAAGGTTTGTGTCAAAAACAGTTCAGTATTGACGCTAGGAGGTGTACACACCACACAAACGATGCCGAGACTAACGACTGAGCAGGTATGATCATTGGAAAGTTGCACGGAGGTAACTCTGCAATCGCTGTAGCTAGACAATTGGGCTGTCATCTTACCACCATTACACGACTTGCTCAACCTCATCAGCAAACTGGGGTTACTGCTGATCGTCCCATACCAGACGGCCATGAGTAACAACTCGTGCGCAAGATCGGTTCATCCAGGTCACTCATCTAAGGAACTGAACTCGGCAGCAACAGTAAGAGCAGCTTTAGTTCATGGGTCAAGGGAAGCAGTGTCCAGCAATACAATTAAGCGTCGTTTTCGGGCTGCTGGAATCCACTGCTGACGGCCATATGTGGGGCCAATTTTGACACGTCAACAACGCCAGCGATGTTTACAGCCCTCACACAGCAAGAGGGTCAATGGATTACCTGGCTCAGAACACCATTAACATTCTTTCATGGCATCTCTTTCCCTGGATATGGCTCCCATTGAACATTCTGGGACGACATTGGACGTAGGATTGCTGCAGGTAGACAGACACTCACACTTGCACAATTTGAATAGAGATCGGTGTTTGAGCAGAACCACTTGCCTCAGGCATTCCTTCAGACTCGAGTGAACTCAATGAGGTGACATTGCACGGCCTGTGTGCAAGCTCAAGGTGGCTATATGCACTACTAAAGAGACTCTCACTTTTCGTGTTCAGGGGTATCTCCATTTGACGGACTGTGATCAATTTGAACTTATTGCAATTCAATGTCAACAGCAACTGTCAGTTGTTAAATTGACAGTGTTTCCAGTAGAATAAATGATTACCCGGTAGACATAATTTTGGTTGTCTTCTATTTAAAAACTTGACAAAAGCCAGACTTGCGTTTCTTTTGCTGTTGAGTATATGTTCAACATGTCTGACATGGAAGGTGAAGGTCATGGATGATATGAACATTAATTTGTTTTCAGGATGACTTCAGAGGTTTTACCTGAGAATTCAACCAAACATCTGATATAATCTTGGGTGACTTCAGTTTAAGGTCATCAACACAAGTACTTGTTTTTTAAACATTGGTGCTAACCTCAGGAATATTTCTTTTTGTTCATGAGACAACCCTGCCAGAATGGACAGGTATTTAATTGGCCCAGATCTAAAGGTCAGTGTCACAATCCATGAAGATTCTGGGTTACAATAGTCCCCAGGCTAATAGTGCTTTTTGGACTAAATGGATCAGGTGATCAGACTGCTTATCACAATGTCATGGAATGACTGAGAAATTGCTCAGAATATCAACCTCTCTGTCTGGCCCAGATTGGAGTATTTATACAAGCAAACAACCACAGACAGTCAATGGGTACTAGTTTGTCAGAAACATGGCTTCGGTTTTGAAACAGGTTATCATCAATCTTAACAGACATGGTATCTGCTTGCCATGGTGGTTCTCTGGTGGAAGATGCTAACCATTTCTTTTAAAATGTCAAAAATTTGTCAGCTGCCGTTTTGATCTGAAGCAAGACTTTGAACTATCAAAAGTTCACTTAGACATTGATATCATTCTTTTACGGCAACCCTGCTCTGCCAAATATTATTAATGAAATATCTTTAGACATGTGCATAAATACATTGTATGAAGTGAGAGCTTCGATTAATGAATAAGGTGTCTTAATATTATTATGACCATTCATTATTGTTCATGTTTCTGATGGGAGGGCGGTTATAAGTTAGATAACTTGTGCCCAATCCATTTCAACATTGAATAAGAAAATATATTCAAACAAACAAACAAAACAGACATGGTCTTGAAGGAGTAGGCTCCCTTGAGAAACAAGGATCCGATCCTTGACAGCAATTAGGCTTTCCCATCCCTGGTAGACAGCATGTATGAAACGTATTAATTCCACCTCCAGGTGTCAACACAAACATGGGGAACGCAGGTGAACCAGTCACAGTCCACTTACCAGACATTCTAGTGACATCCAGTGAACCAGGGGAGAACTAAGCGCCTTTGAGCAGCTGAGCAGAGCTGGATATCGGTGCTATACAAATGTTAGAATGTAATGTAACATGCTGGCATTTGGCACTATGATCGTTGGTTCGAACCGGTCCGCCGATAATGTCAGTAGGTTTGCCAGCACTATATGGTGCGTGCGGGATTCACCCAGGCGGTAAATGTCTGAGACGTAGGTGTAACCCACGGGAAGCTGACTGTCCACGATATATGAGTTTGAGTATGGTTTTACGCTGCTTTTAGCAATATTCCAGCAATATCACGGCGGGGACGCTGGAAATGGGCTTCACACATTGTACCCATGTGTCTGGAGTCTTCAGCGTGACGAGTGGACGCATAAACCATAGGCACCGCTCCGGATATAACTGGAGTATTGGGCAAGGCAGCGTTCAAACTCACTCACTCTCTCTGTAACAGCACCAAACACTAGAACATCAACGCACATTGGCGACTTTGGCTTATCGCTGCATTGAAAACCCACCTAAATGGTCCAGTAGGCAGTGGGTCTACCGGAGGGCGAAACGTCGGTGGTTTTACCCGGGGCTGCGTTATACTTAAAGGGGTTAAAATTGTACGGAACAAATAATCCCATTTTGATTGAAAAGGAGACCCAGTGAGACGGGAGATTCAGAACCCGGGGAAATCTAGACTTGCTTCATTAAGGGCTTTAGCATTGCAGGGAGGGCGAGGTAGTAGGGAAGATAATGTGGTTCGGGGACTGTGAGACGGACCACTAAGACCGCTTTGTGGGGTGGACCCAGCTGATCTTGTTGAGGTCGGCATGTCTGACTTTAAGGGTACATTTCAAATCCCTACTTGACTATATGTTGAGTTATGAGGTATCGCATTCTGCTAAAATATAAAAAACACAAACGCCAGCTTGGGTCGCAGTGTACATTATGGCTTAACTGGCGTGTCTGTTTGACAAGGAGGACCTTAACGACCGACTAGCGACTAGAAGAGAAGATTATGTTTCGAACAAACATTGTTCATACATCGTAAAACATCAGCAAATGCGCTCAAATACGTGTAAATAAGTTGTGTGTGACTTGAAGAAATAGCATGTGCAATGATGCATTCTCCACTGGCATTCACTGAGTGAGTATGGTTTTACGCCGCTTTTAGCAATATTCCAGCCATATCACGGCGGGGAACGCCTGAAATGGGCTTGACGCATTGTATCCATGTGGGGAATCGAACCCGGGTCTTCGACGTGACGAGCTAACGACATCTACTGAAATATGTTCTGAAACGTAAGAAACTTAAACTATAATTTTAAACATTAAACACTACCCATGTGGAGAATAAAACCAGGGCCTTAGGCGTGACGAGCGAACGCCTCAACCACTAAGCTACAACTGCTGCAACTCAAGCCCTTGTTCGAGCTCTTGTTACATCGAGGCTTGACTACTGTAACAGCATCCTTTCAGGCCTCAGTTCTAACCTCCTTGATAAGCTTCAGAAGATCCAAAACACTTCCGTCTGCATCATCAGTAAGACTAATAAACGGTCCCGTATTACACCCGTGTTGAAAGAACTGCTACCGGTTAGGGCCAAAATCGACTTTAGGATCCTCTGTCTGACATACAGGTGCCTTCATGGTTTGGCTCCCTCCTACTTGTTTTTACTCCTACATACGTATGTCCCCGCACGCAACTTGCGCTCAAACACACAAAATCTGCTGGTCATCCCATCCTACAAACTGCAATCCTTAATGTGGATACTCTTACTCTCAAACTGTGCCTGGAACTCTCTCCCTTGTGCCATTAAAAGCTCTGACACAATTGACATTTGTAAGTCCAGACTGAAAACCCACCTTTTCTCAGCATATTACTTATAATTTCAACTGTAAATACTCCAGTGTAAATATTCTGTAGCGCTTTGAGCATGCCTTAGGGTGTGGAATAGGCGCATTATAAATATGCGTTTTATTTATTATTATTCATTTTACCCCCACGCCCTTGATAACTGAAGAAATCATGGGTTATGTTACCTTTCCTTAAACGCTGACGCATCACACGCTGCTGAAAACACCGATCGCAGTCAGCTGACTGCCGGGCATAAAGATGTGCATGGATAACAAAGTGGTTGTTTCTTGAAACGAGTTTGTGCCTTCGGTGCAACATTCCCTATTCACGGAATGGCTCTTTTTCCCGGTATACAAATCATCAGATATTCAGTTCTCTTCGTGATTTAATATTAGCGATTGTTCGTGATTTTGTTTCAAGTGGTGAAGACTACAAACACAAAATATTCAACCAGAGACCATATAATAGATCTATTATATGGTCTCTGATTCAACACATTTTGTTCAATCAAATATCTGTATGATGTGTCTCTTTCAGATGAAGGAAAAAGGCTGGAGTGGGATAAGTGCAGATGAATGTGTTCGCGGGAAGATGCACGTACGCCTTTTTTACGAACGTGCATGTTTACACATTTGCATTTCCCACCATGCTCCAGTTTTGACCCGTATGGACAGTCAATGAGCGGTTAAATAAAATATAGTTATACGGTTAATCGTGATCACTAAGTTTAAGGTTGGAGTTAAGGTGAGCTTATAGTCTCCAGAAACGCCCGTTTCACAAAGCAACAGCATCTCGATCGATCGTAATGCGGTGTCTTAGCGTTTAAAAGGCGATCGCCTGTTAAAACCATTATTCGATCAGGTATTAAAACACGGAATTTTAGAATTTATTTTTTCGTTTCTTTCACAATATCTGAGTGCCAATGTTGAAACAAATTTACTCAACCCCCAGACGTGTATTATCTAAACACACGGAACTCTCTGTTACAAATATGGAGTCTTGTCCAAGGAAGCAGGAGCCCCGGATATGTTGGAGGTGGGGGTTCCACCTCAGAAACAAGGTATGTCCCTTCACAGGAATTTAAAAAAATATACTATAGTTTAATTAAGGGTTTTGACCGTTTATTCGTTTTCCTTGCAATCTATCATTATTTGGCACCCATACATTTGCCTCTAAAACAATGTGCAGTACAAAAATAGCTTACTAATGTATTCATAACCGCTACTGAACCCGTCTGGGTGCCCTCATTCTCTGGTGACACTGCAGACTGAACAGCCCAAATCATGATCATGTAAACATTTCCTGGTATAATGCAACATGACTAACTACACTAAACAAATGAAGCTATATATGTGTGTGCGTGCGTGCGTGCGTGCGTGCGTGTGTAGAACGTATGTCAGCTCAAAGACAGGGGGATATGAAGTTTAATCAGTGTATGAAATAAGGCCCGTCCGACCGCCCGAGACGAGCTAGATTGCTGCCGGACGGTCTAATTTTACAGCTAGCCAGCCCAAGTTTTTGAAGTTACTAGCCCAGATGTCTGGCTGGGTTTTTGGCTTATTTCATACACTGGTTTAATATGATGGTACAAAGAGATAATTAGAAATATATTATTAGTGAGGATCGAGTCTCATCCTACCGATCTTACCACTGATCAATAATATGGATTCAGGGTCACCTGCCAGGATACTCATGCTGTCAATCACTGGATTGTTTTAGCCAGATTAGATTATTTACAGATTGTCGTCATAAAGCTAGAATATTACTGGGTGCGGCGTTAAACAACAAACAAGCAACCACAATATTCTGATATACCCTGCCCCCCACAATGAAATTTCTTTCTATGTGCCTCTTTGTTTGGGGGACGGTTATATTCAAAACGTCCACTGTACCTACATATGTCAATTACCACAATGTTCTACATTTACGAGTGAAACTTAATATATAATGCGTAGATGTTTGGATATCGAAGTCAGTGGTGATTATCAGAGACCATATACCGGTATATGGTCTCTGTGATTATAAACACTTATACTATGTCGACCTTGACCTACCCTTGATATTGACCTTCGTCTTGATCGCCTCGGTACATGTTTCATAGCAGACGGTTTTTGCTGAGAGAATTGTGCTGTGTGTTGTGTGGCGGGTGTATCATTCCGCCTCTCTACCCACGTGTGTCATGTCGGTACCCGCGGTTGGAGGGACTGACCCCGAGGGGTCACAGGGGTGAGATATTATTTATATCATGCCAAGATATGCTGTGCGTATATCGTATGTCGTATATTAGCATTACCCGTGCGTTACAAATAGGATTGAGACAAAATCCAGTTATTTTTAACTCTAGGTGTCTTCTCACCACACTGCCAATGAGCGCCAGTTATAAATGTCTAGATTCCTTCAGAAATCGTAAAAATTATCAGCGAGTGATTCAACCACTTGTTTTAAAAGTTGTAACTATCTATTTACAGAATGCGAACGGAAAGAAAATATGCATTATTGTCAGTTTTGTTCCACCCCATTCTTTAAATTCTTGCATGCCGCAGTTGGTGAGGCTAGTGTAAACAAGACGGCCAAGTATTGAGACAAACATCCAGCATGGTATTTCCCAGTGTTGATACAACCAGGGTGATATCATCGGTTAACTTTCAAAGTTGGGAAGACATTCCCTGCATGCAACAGTATCCGCGACAGCTTGGTCGGCCTCAGGTCATTGAAACAGTTGCAGTCAGTCGACGAACGCCGTCATTAAATCGTTAGTCTCAAGATTTCATGTCTGGAAACAAAAAAGTCCTTCTGTACCCATGCAGCTAGACTAACATCTAGTCTCTGAAATGAACATTTTGTACAGAAAAAAACAGTTCCTAAATTATAATCTTTAAATATAATTGGGAGGAACCCAGAGACTTTCTTCATTACTGTGGCTATCACGACTTGCCACTTATTGTAGACTTGCCACTTATTGTAGACTTGCATGGGCTTTCTTGGATATATTTGTTTCAGGGTCTGTATGACAGACTACCATGCAGCCTACATGGTAAAGAATGCATGGATCAATATGGGACAGTTCGTATTTTGATCCCGGAGTATTAGCCTACTCATGTTGACTTGAAGACTAGATTGATAATGACTTTTCTCTTTCAGTGTGATGTTTCAAAACAATTTAGATACAGTCTGCATTGAATATGTAGGATGGGAAAACATGCATTCATTTGTAAATTAATGGACATTGATATACAGACATGTGCTATAGTTTGAGTAGTGTGACTTTCTAAATTAATTTTCATTATCAGTTGTGAACATGTAGTATTTATTACTTGTGAAATAATGCCCTTTTGACTACCTACCTTCCAGGTTGACAAGCAGGTAAAAACTGATTTTGTTTCTAGATTCTTTGCGACATGTAGCATGGCTTTTTTCTGAGTGTCCAAGGACATACCTTCCATTCCAATGTTCGACTTAAGTTTGTCAAGTTTTTGTGTTTGTCTTTTTTCATATGTAAGAATGTTTACAAATACTATCCCTATACTATGTTCAGGTTATTTTATTGAGACAGTTTTTTATGTCCTATATTTCTGAATGTGTTATTTCATTAAGACAGGCAGAGTCAAGTAATGTCAATCTAGCAACAAAATAGCTATATTTTATATAATTTTGACATAATCACTTAACTACCATGTAAATATATCTTTACTGTGTACAGCCATTTTGAATCATATATAAAGACAAATTAATTGGTGATTATTTTTAATGACACAGATCTATTTTAGAACAATTTTGGGGTTTAAGGACCCAACTTTCTGCTGTGAGTAGTTTCAATTAATGTGAAATATTAATGACTACAAGAAATCCAAAATTTGAGTAAATATGCTTGAGCTGATGCTTTTTATGTGACACGGCTGTTGATTGTGTCCTTTTCCATAGCAAGCCTGTGTATTGTGCCGCCGCAGTTTGATTGTTCATGAAGGGCTGTGGGGTAGCATAAATAGGTTAATAGCTCATCACACCGAAGACCCAGGTTTAATTCCCCACATGAGGACAATTGTACAATTGTACATTGTACCCCACATGAGTACAATGTGTGAAGCCCATATCTGGTGTTCCCCACTGTGATATTGCTGTAATATTGCTAGAATCGGGTTAAAACCATACTCACTCACTCACCTGACTGTTCCGATGTCTTACGTCTTGCCATTGTTTTCTGTTTGTTGATTAAAGCTGCAGTCAGCAACGTTATAGCCACATGACATGTCCTTTAATTAACTGTCTGAACCAGACAATCAAGTGACTGAAACTGTGAGCAACATGCCGCTTAGCATGTTTCTTTTCTCAGTAACCGAATGTATTTTTACTGGGGCCACTGGCCTATCATACAAATGCAGACCCGTGAAGGTCCGGGTTAGAATATTGATCTTCAGTAACCCATGCTTGTCGTAAGAGGCGACTAAGAGGATCAGGTGGTCAGACTCGCTGACTTGGTCGACACATGTCATCGGTTCCCAATTGCGCAGATCGATGCTCATGTTTTTGAGCACTGGATTGTCTTGTCCACACTCGATTATTTACTGACTGCCCACATATTACTGAATGCGGTATAAAACTAAACTCACAAACTCACTCATACAAATGAAAACATGTTTCTTCTACAACTTGCTGTCTTCCTGATGGTAACCGTGATAATCCTGAACAAAATGTCTTGAGATGTTTCTAAACTTTACTAGTTTCAGACTAACAGACATAAATTTGATTCTTACAAATGTTCATGACTGGGTCAAATATTTACAAAGAATCCTGATCTAATATTTGAAGACTTTGAACTATGACCTATTAGGCAGTCAATGATTGGATTACCATCCAAATTTTAAAATGTGAGATGGATGGCATTTTAGTTCGATATATTATCATTTTGCCTTTCAAAACATCTCTGTACACAGCTGTCAACAGATCTGGTTCACATGAGACATGAATATTTTTGTAAGACTACTTCTATAGTATACTTAGCCAGGTTAAGACGCAAGGCAATACACATAATGATTTCCCCTGTGGCTTCCAGGCAACAATACAGTGGTGTGTGGGAGCAGTGTGGTAGTTAGGCAGGCTTGGATTGAGATTTGATTGATTATAATATATTTAAGCTAGGTAAGCTACAGAGCATTAGGGATGTGACATATTGGAGAGGAATCCTCCTGTGAATGATACATACTCTTGACTTATTTTTAAGTGTTTATTATAAAAACAATATTCAAAGATAAAGTTGATCAAATGTATAAAGTCGGTCAGTGAGTGAGTGAGTATAGTTTTACGCCGCTTTTAGCAATATTCCAGCAATATCACGGCTGGGGACACCAGAAATGGGCTTCACACATTGTACCCATGTGGGGAATCGAACCCGGGTCTTCAGCGTGTTGACCAAACGCTTTAATCACTAAGCTACCCCACCGCCCTCCAATGAATGCAGAAAAAATTAAGTAGAATAAAGTTAATGTTATTTTCCCTTTCTACACTGACCATCTAAGATCCATTGTGTTAATACCATATTCTCATGTTATCATTGTGGAATTTCTGAAACTGGTACATCAAACGTATGCATGCAGTCAGATTAAAAACTCAAGTCAAAGGTGTACCAAATTGTCATAATCTGTACATACTGCAAGCCTACTATTTTACTGAACAGAAACCTTTGGTATATCATAATTTATTAAGACTGTTTGCTAAAAATTAAAATGATTTATATTCTTCCTTCATTCAGAGTATCATTAACTGATGGTAAACCCAATAAAACAGAAGGTTACAGTTGAGTTCATTATCTTCCGTCTGTTAAAGCTACACCTATGAAGATATCGAGCGCATTGCCCAGGCCTTACTGGCTCGCACCAAACACAGGCCCGTGCTTGGTATAATCTGTGGTTCTGGCCTTGGTGGGTTGGCAGACATTGTGGAGGACAGCGACACTATTCCCTACTCTGAGATCAAGGACTTCCCTGTCAGCACAGGTATGTACAAACTCACTGTCATCTACTGTCTGCAGCTGGCTTATCTCCCTTATCTAGACTGGAGGCAGTCGCTCTTTCTAAAATAACAGGTTTTGCAGGGTGTTTAAATAGCAAAAGTCCACACTGAAATATGCAGTTTAAGTTTAGGGTGTCATAATGACACATTGTTTTCAAAGTACAGTCAGATGAAGTTCTTGAAAAGCATTTAGAAGTTGAATACATGACACATTTTATGGATAACAACTTCTTTTTATTCTTTGTTCAAAGAAGGTAAAGAATAAAAAGAAGTTGTTATCCATAAACTGTGTCATGAATTCATGTACCTTGTCAAGTTCTAAACTTGCTTTGTTTGGTTGTAATAATGCATTAGCCAGGCACTATATGAAGAATATGGAACTATGAACATGAACTATCATGTTATAAAAGGAAATGGGTTGGAAATTAATGAGCTGGTGTTTATTACTTGATACACCAGCTTTAAGACAGGTGATGTGACCTTGTTTCAGTACCCGGTCACATGGGCTACCTGGTGTTCGGCATGCTGTCTGGCAAGTCCGTGGTGTTGATGCGAGGCCGATTCCATTACTACGAGGGGTACCCCATGTGGAAGGTAATGTCAACAGCTGTGAATTAGTCTGCCAGGCACTTAAATTACTGGGATCATGGTTTGTGTTATCTTTTTAATGAAAATGTCCTCCTTGATTACAGTGTGTTATTCCATTAAATACCGTGAACTTCAGTTGAAGTTTTCCTCGAGTGAAATAAAGATTGGTAAAGCAAGTTTGAAATGTGATCCAAGTCATCTTATAGGATAATGCTTTCAGTGTACCAGTGACAAGTTAGGGTTCAAGTGTACATGTGACTGCAGGTGGCGATGCCGGTGCGCGTGATGAAGCAGATGGGGGTCAAGACGCTGTTTGTCACCAACGCAGCCGGGGGCGTGAACCCCAACTACAAGGCCGGTGACATGATGATCATCAAGGACCACATTGACCTGCCAGGGCTGACCGGAGAATGTGTGCTGATTGGCAAGAATGATGAACGGTGTGTGAGGCGGTGCTGTGTTCACAGTTTGTCCCGTACATATTATACAGAGTGACCACTCCAGAAACATAGCTGACACAACAACATGATTGTCGCTGAGACTAAACTTGAATATTTTTTACAGTAATAAGAAAGGAAGTATGTACACTTTATGGACGACAACTTCTTTATTATATCTGCAAAACACTGTCATCCATGAATTGTCCTACCGTTCTTTCCGAGAATTCCCATATTTAAACCCCGGGCTTCAATACGGAAAATCACTGTTCTAGTGATGAAATATTTTAACCATGTTTACAGGAGTGACTGACTGATATCTATGACAGTGACACTATTCAGAGTCAGAGTCTCTGCGTTTGGAAAGGGACGTCACTCCAAACACCCAAGAATTTAATCAAAATTTAAGCCCATCGGCTTAAGTACGGAAAAAATCTTGTATTTTAGCCCATGGGAATACGGGAATTCCCAGCATTTCTCAGCTACTTCTAAAATGCCAATCAAACATATATTTAAAGTAGCTGTTTGTCATAATAATTTAAGTTAGACATTTGTGAAATGTGGACATTCCATTGCAGACTGGATTTTCTGGAAGGTGATGCTTCAGGTCTGAGAAGTTCATGCTTCAGGGTTGAGTAGGTCCTTTGTCTCCCATGCTTCTCTACCTACAGGGTCTCCTGGGCAGACACAAATAGGTTAGAGATAATATGACAGCTATTTTTGCCTTTCAAGGGCAAGTATTGTTCTCACATGAATCATTACCCTCCTCATCAGTCAGGCTTGACGGCAAGATTCCTACAGGTAACAGCGTTAATGGATTTCTATATATATGTCTAGTGTTCCACCTAGGATTGAAAAAGTGCAGGGGAACTTAGAAAAAATAGTGGCACTTCGTAATCTAACATGGGGTTGTTGGAGTCGATTATTGATAAAATAATGACACAAAGTTATACAGGGTTCTATGAGTTATTCTTAAGTTCCATTATTGAAGTAATGGTAATCTCTAGGTAAACAAGGCAATCAGTTCAAAGATCCATATGAAGACACATTTTGAACTATTACAAAACTCACTTAGAACTACATTATTTCACTATGAGTGAGTGAGTGAGTTTAGATTTATCGTCATGCACTCACTCACTAAAAGTGAACTGATGCAGAAGTGAGTTGTGGAATGGTTCAGATTCATGACTCTCACCACACTGGCACTGCAAACACAGCTGAAACAGTTTATAGGCTTCTCTTTTTTCCGGACAATTATTCAGCCACAACTTCATCAGAAGCAGAATGGGCATACATGCTAATCACATGATGCCTGTTGGTGCTCTGTTGCTCAGTCTGTTCCTGTGTTCTGTCAGCTTCTCTCTTCGGAATACACTCTTTACTTTTACAGATAGACAGAGTTGCAGTGGCATGGGTGGACAAAACACTTCTGACAATGACACCGACATAAAACAAGGCAGTCTTGCAATGTTCTATATAGTGTCATCCTGATTTGGTGCATAAATATAATTCATATACAGTCCATGTACAGTATAGTGAACTCCATCATGTGATGTCCAGGTTTGGTCCACGTTTCCCGGCCACTGTGGACATCTACGACAGCAAGCTGAGGGCCCTGGCTGCTGAGATAGGGAAAGAGCTGGGATATGGCGACTACATGCGTGAGGGGACCTACATCATGATTGGCGGACCCACGTTTGAGACAGTCGCCGAGTCAAGGTTGCTGAGGCTGTTTGGGGCTGATGCTGTTGGTAAGCGTGTTATCACTACTCATTGTAAAACATGTCAGGCCAGATTCTACCTTGTGTGTATGTCTCATTGTAAAATCATGATTCAGATACAACCAGTCTGTCATGATTCAGATGTAAACCTTGTGTGTATGTCTGTTGTCATGATTCAGATGCTCTCTTGTACAACCAGTAAACCTTGTGTGTATGTCTGTTGTCATGATTCAGATGCTCTCTTGTACAACCAGTAAACCTTGTGTGTATGTCTGTTGTCATGATTCAGATGCTCTCTTGTACAACCAGTAAACCTTGTGTGTATGTCTGTTGTCATGATTCAGATGCTCTCTTGTACAACCAGCCAGTAAACCTTGTGTGTATGTCTGTTGTCATGAATGGTTAAAATGAAGGTGGTGTTGTCATGAAGGGTAGCCTAATGGTTAAAGCGTTGGCTCGTCACGACGAAGACCCGGGTTCGAATACCCACATGGGTACAATGTGTGAAGCCCATTTCTGGTGTCCCCCGCCATGGTGTTGCTGGAATATTGCTAAAAGCGGTGTAAAACCAAACTCACTCACTCACTTGCTCACCTAAAATGCTCACTTTCCTTGTTACATTTGTCTGTTCACGCTTTGAAATCGGGATTTGAATTGATTTTCAGCCAACCATCCTTGTCTTAAAAGGCAAATAACATGAGCAAATTGTCAAGATGGCTGCCTTATCACCATATCGCAACTGCGTAACTGAAAACTTATAAGAATATGAAGCACAGAACTTCATGATGTTAATCACTGAATAGTATAGATTATTTATTTAGAGACTATATAGCTGCAATATTGCTGAGTGCTGTGTTGAAGAACAAAGAAACAAACAAATCACACTTTGAGCACCATTTTGTCCCAGTGGGGCTCAGTGTTAGCTTGTGAGCTAATTAGTTTACAGTAATGTAACACTTACTAACAATATCAGTTTTACTGATCACTATACATGTTGTCCCTCTGTCTGTGTGTGTGTGTGTGTGTGTGTATGTGTGTCTCTCTCTCTCTCTCTCTTTGGGGGTAAGAAGAGACATAACAGGTGTTTATGAGATATTTATTACCGATATTATTTACCGACGAATAAACAAATTTTCAAAAAATGCTGACAACGTTCATGGTGTTGTTTAGTAGTATATGTATATGGTTGATGCATCTAAGCTTACTAATAATTGGTATTTACTATACAAAATCTGGTGAAGATGGGTGAAGTGGTTTTAGAGTTATGCTCCGAACACAAACTCTACCCTTCAAAAAGATCAAATCCAAATTTGCTGCCATTGAAACAGAAAAAAATAAAATTAAAAGAACAGTTCAAACCCCCAAAAGGCACATCTACATGATATGGAGAGGCAGTATACCAAATGGTTGGTGAAGATTGTTCAGAAAGAACTTTACTTTCAAAAAGACAAAGTCCAAATTGTTATGTTCAGTGAAACAATGGGAGGCGCAAATTTGGTGAAGATTGTTCAAGTAGTTTTAGAGTTATGTTCGGAAAAAACAATATGTATCCCGACCCTTTTGGGGGGGGACATAATTTTGCCTGAGGAAACCATGAAGGCTAGTATCTGAAACATTGATGTGACATGGTGTGTAGTAATACTCTGCAGTTTGATTTGTCCAAGTCTGGAAAATAAGAAAGATAACATTTTTTAATTCCATAGATGTAAGTAGACTTTCTGATGTGGAGCAGTGGTCTAGGAGTGGTCAAACTGTACATATAAAGAAATTCACCTCAGTTCATTTTTATCAAAATCTAGGAAACAATAGATTCTGAGTGTTGATAAGTTGGATATCCAAAGACACAAGGATAAGATTCTGTTTATCATCCAAAATCATTCTTACATGGTTATCATGGTAGCGACCAGTGGTAGAAAGTAGAGTTAACTGGCTTCAGTTGCAGAGATATATGTGATGTCATAGTAACAGACGATGTCACAATAGTCTGCAAAGCATTGTGATGCAGTTCATTGTAGTGATGTTGCATGATGCAGATAGGAAAAAACATCATATCATTTTTTATCCAACAGGAATGAGTACTGTGCCCGAGGCTGTGGTTGCAAAGCATGGTGGGATACGCACATTTGGCATCTCGCTGATCACAGACATGTGTTCCTTTGAGTATGAGGAGACGCAGGCCACGACCCATGAGGAGGTGTTGGCCATGGGGGAAATGCGTGCCAAGGACATGCAGAAGCTGGTGTCCCTGATGGTGGAGAGAATGGAGTTGTGATCATGTCGGTTAACTCACACACAGCTGGCCAGGGTTCGGGTGACTTGAGAGCATAACTGAATAAGGAGCTGCTGGGACAAGGATTCTTTCTCTGATCTCTTTATAAGTTCATGATAAACTTGCTTTCAGTATTACCTTTCTCAGGATTTCGCTAACTATACATAATTCAGAGACAGTTCCTGAATTTTATTTCTTCAAGTTTGGTGATATGGTTTAATATGACAGCTAGTTTTCCATCTGACGAAATCAGCTTTTCAGGACGTCTATTGTCCAAATCATTAAATCACCGTTTACAAACTATAGTCTTATCTCCAACTTCATAGGGGGCTGTGGGGTAGCCTAGTGGTTAAGGCGTTCGCTCGTCACGCTGAAAACCCGGGTTCGAATCCCCACATGGGCACAATGTGTGAAGCCCATTTCTGGTGTCCCCTGCCGTGATATTGCTGGAATATTGCCAAAAGTGGTGTAAAACCAAACTCACTCACTCACTCCAACTTCATAGATATGTAAGGTTTACATGTTCTCCAAATCCCTGCCTTATCTCTATTTTCAAAGAGGATTTATTATACAGAATCAATGTAAGGATGTCAGGATTTTCTCAATGAAGGTTTTAGGGAGTGATGGGTGTTATAACATTTTGTTGAACATCACCTAATAAGTCACACCAGAAAATACTCTAGTAATACTCTTATTGACTAGTCCGAAACAAACCACTAGTCTCAGGACGGTCTATCCCTTTATGATTTATGTTTTACATTTGATTTTGTCTCATACATACTTTCTTATACATAGGCTAAGTAACATACCTAAAGAGTGTGTCAGAATATTAGGAAAATCCCTTTCAAAGGTTGAAAGTATATGTTACTGAGAGAGAGAGGTTTATTTCACCTGAGATTTAGTGATTGATAGTAATGAGCTCTGCTTTTCAATTCTTCCATCAAGGATCAATGTGGCAACACTGGCATGTGTTTGAGTTATTCTGTATCTACAATTATTGATATATCTACAGTTTTTATTAGGCATTATTATTTGCTGGATGCAGCCATCTTCCACTATTGATGGAACAACAATCATCATTAGTGGGGTGTATCAGAATATACTCCATTCATGCAGTAAATAATGACAGTGGAACATTTTTATATCTAAATGATTCTCCATAAATATTCATACTTTCATAAGTTGTATACAATATATTTTGATTATTTAACCTAACCTGGCATATGAGTTTCATACAGGCTCTGCATCGAGGTAGCTAAGCATGACTTCCTTACACTTCTACTTTCACCATTTTCTTTACCAGTGACTTTATGTTTCATATAGTGATATATTTTGTGTTTCATATAGTGATATATTTTGTTCAGATTTCTTATCTATTGTTACATTAGTGTTCTTGAAATAAATGTTTTTGACAGAATTTCACCTGAGAAAAAGAGGATGAATTGTAATTTACACTGCCATCAGTTGTATTATGAGTTCTTAAAGAGTTCTTAGAACTGATGAACATGAGGCATAGATTTTTTTATTTGAGTTCAGACTGGATACTGGATATGGACATGTTGACTTAGTTTCTATGTTGTTTACTACATCCCTTGATTGCTCACTGCCATCTGTCAGGCAACACCCCTTGGCCACATTTCACAAAGGTATCGTAGAGCTACAACGGTCGTAAGTTTATGTTACAGTATAGGAGATACGACAGTCATAGCGCTACAATAGCTTTCTGAAATGGGACCCAGGCTCCTATCAACCCAGTAACCCCTCCCCTCCAACCTTGTTAGATAAACTGTTCTTGGTCTGTTATTATCCATTGTTATCCTGTTATGTACATTGCTCAAAGTGTCTATATACATGTCCATGCCCAGCCTGTATCGTTCACCTGAAGAATTAACTCCAAAACATGACAAATAAAGAAGTTGATATCCAAAAAGTATTAGATTCATTTTTTTTTGTGGCTGTCACAATAATCAGGCTCAGGACACCTTGAGGTGCTGGTAATTACCGCGCCGGAGACAAACTTGGTATAATGGACCTCTTCTTGAGAGGAATCACAGTGGTGAACAGGATGGTACATGTTCTGCCCAATTACTGAGTAAAGGTGGACACCACTTTGAGCTATGGGCTGCAGGGGAGACCCATGCAGATGGGTTCAACAACAAACAAAACACTGCAGGGGACATCAAGAGAGGTTTCACACATCACCAGTATGAGGAAGTGAACCCTGGTCCATGATCCATTTCAGACATGAGACAAAGTCCTCACAGATATTCACTAGTTTGTGTTTGTACAAGGCATAGCCAGTAGCCACACGCATGTGACCAGGCACAGCCATAAGAAGGTCACCTAGTCATCATGTGTGACTGCCAACTTGTGGATTGCCAGGAAAATGGTAGATTCCTGATGGACACATGCAATGGATTGTTGAAACTAGCACTATGTATATGGGCGTAAGAGCGTTATATTTATAGCAGTGATGGCAGACATTGGAAAACCATGTTAGTACTTATTTACACACTTTATGAACAAAATGTACACGCACCAGCTCTAACCACTACACCACGGAGGCGGTCGCACCAGCTTTGAATGTCAACTGGGTGTATGAAACCAAAATCTGCTTCAAAATTTGCACCAATGTTACCTCTGATTAGTGACCAGGAAACATCTTGCAGCAATAACACTTGGGATTCAAGAACCAAATTCAAACAGGTCTTGGCACTACACCTGTAATATCCCCATGGATGCCATGAAGTCTAAACATGGATCTCTGGTGTGATCAACACTTGTACTCCTGGATTACATGAAGAAAAGACAGAATCCTTGGTTTTATTATCAAATTCATTAAAATGATTTATTTCCACTTATGAAACAAAGGATGTAAAAATACAAATGGAAAGAGGTAATGCTTCATGTTAAAATGTTTAGGATGATGGTTTGCCAAATGATGGAATCTCCAACAATAAATATCCTAAGAATATAACAGTCATCTCGATCACTCAAATTGGCTCTTATTCTTCAACAGGTAAGCTGCCAGGAACTCGATAGGATTTGGTGGCCTGCAAAGAGACAATACATAAACATTAGGGCCGTAACGGTGCATCGAACTATCGATGGATTGCAATTGTTGAGTCTCCGATAGCAATTAATCGATGGTAGAAACGAAAAACTATCGATGCATTGATAGTATGTGTGACTATCGATACTTTAGTAATTGACGTCCATTGATAAATGTGTAGCGCAAAATACAGGATGTTTGGGTGCAGACTTGCAGCTTCATTGACTTTATGTTTTCACTGTTTACTTGATCTGGGTTTCAAGTTTCTTGTCCGTTATTAAAGGAGACTGAAACTTGTTTTTATTTCATATAAACTATACATTCATTTGGGAAATGACTTCAAATAAGACAATTCAAGGAGAAAACAAAACTATTGCAATAATATTACAATAGTTGGTTGTAATAGACTATCGCTATCACAACAGTTATTTCCCCCTCAATAGTCACCCCTAATAAACATGAAATGTTATCCCTACAGTAACAGTAACTGCAGATTCAAATATTTCCATACGGTCCACTGATAATTAACATACAGGTAACTAAATCTATTGGCCCTTATCCTGCTCTTGTGTGATAAGAGTGATATAAAATGTTATGTTGCATCTGCAACACCTCCGCCACAAACATAGTAGGATGAATTTCGGTATGTAACTCTGGAACCATGAGTAAACACCAGTCAAAAAATATGAGACCTTCTTGAAGTGATATAATGACCATGTCCATAGAGCTGTATTGCACATAGACATATAATGACCATGTCCATAGAGCTGTATTGCACATAGACATATAATGCACTGTGGAGCTTACAGACCTAGGAACCTGTGAAAATCCAGGTTGGAATTGGCCTTCAGCAACCCATATTGGTCATAGGAAGCGACTATCAGGATTGGGTAATGACTTGATGCATGTTATTGAATCCCAGCTGTGTAAATCAAAGCTCATTACATCAACCCGTTCATTTAAGAACATGGTTATATAGCTGGAAAATTGCTGAGTGCAAAACAGATCAAGGGCATCTGAGAACTGAGATTTCTAACATGGTCATGGGCACATGAGCAAGGGACATAACTCTGGACGATGAATTACAGGTCATAATTACTCAGACAGGTGCCCCTAAGAATTGGTTTATAATCATCAATAAGTGGTTTCATATGCCTACCTTTCTTTTGCCAGAACTGACATTCCTTGAAGTAGGATGGGTACCACTGTTTGGTCCAGGTATGCTCGTGTGGGCAATGACTGAAGATCTACTTTCGGGCGTTTTGCAGGTGTTTCTGCTGCCTCTTTCTCACTTGCAATGATTTTCTGAAAACGGAGAAAATCTACAAGTCAACAACCATGATGAAGCTTGCATTCTGTTTCTACTCTATATCAAGACAAGATGTTTTATAGCATATGTCATATATGAGATTACACTTCCTTGGTTAAGTATAAATACAAGTTTTCTTTGGGGTGGAGTCCCGTCTGGGTGCCTTATTCCACACTTTTCAGAATAAGGCCCCAGCACACAGATTGAATAAAGCCACTAAGCCATTGAGGCTGCCACAAGAAATGGAAGTCTACCAAATACTTTCGTGTGACTCATGATCATCACATCAAAGTTGTATGTGTGTGCAGATTTTCCTGAAGCCTTGTAAGTGAATGTAACGTGTTATGGAGGAAGCCCCTCCTACAGACTCGTCCTTAGTTATGTGTTGCATCACCTTTCCCATGTTTATAATGTGTAAACATGGATATTGTCACCACCTTTACTCCAGGTACTAAATATTACTCCTTGATACCATGGTTATGGGTTCTCCCTACCTGAATGTTATCTGGGATGTCTGGAGCGACTGTCTCTGGCTGGTCTGCCACAGCCTCTCCAGCTGCTGACACACTTCGTACTTGATCTGGAATCACAATGTTTTATATTTTACAGAGCGACAATTTTTCAGTGGTTGAGTTGACAATTGGTGGTTGGACTTAACAACTGAACTTGCCAAAGACAACAAACATTTCTATGATATTTATAAAAGACTTGACTCGTACTACAACCTCACCACAAGAGATCTACACCTAGAGCTGACCTTAAACTTAAAGACTTGTATCCAAGTGACATATTATTTTTGTTTAAACTGACACGTTTTATACAAATAAGACTGCATTTTCACAGAAATATGTCTTCAATGCAACTACATTTATACTTTCATATGACTATGGAATAATAATACATGAAGTTTTGCACAAACTTCCCACCATTTCACAATGACACCAATCAGCACACACAACAAACATTTATCATGCTTATTGTGTACAGACATACTCCTGATTCTTCAAGCATACCCATTGTCATAAGGAAACACTGTTTAGGTAAACAAGCAAACGATAATCCCATAAGACTATTTTTGGCATAATCTACTACCTATGGAAAATGTCAGCACATTTATAAGACATTTGTTGTGTCATAGCAAATGTTACGGTCAAGAACTTAAGATGGAATCCACTTTGCCCTATGTACACTTGAACCTTTCAACTCCAGTGATGGAACAAATTAAAACATATTACACAATAATCGTAAAAACACAGCAGTGGGTTTCATACATATTATTTATCATGATCAAGTTTCCGTATGAGTTGGAAATTAGATATTGCTACATAAATCTAAGCATAATAATGGAGCAACCATTGGACTGGGAGAAGAGGGCGGTCAGAAGATCAGAACTAGTTTTTATTACTGATGAGCAAAATTTCAGGAAAGAGTTCCTTCCGTTCCCCCAACTCTAAACTAACCCTAACGTAAATTTTGGACTTTTAGTCATTTTGTGAGTTCTCTAGTAATTGTTGTGTTAAGTTTTGTTAATAATTGAGTATATTTATAAATATTATTTGGGATGGGGGAAAGGGAGGAACTCTTACCAAATTTCACTGTTTACATAAAAACAAGTAACTGTATTCTCAAGACCCTTAAAACAAACAAAACCCAAAATAATTTTAATTCACAGAGTGTGCGGACAAAATTCATTGAAACGTGCTTTATACCATACATACATGTGCCTGGGAATCAAATGGTTGCTCTTCGCCAATGGCCATTACTTAAATAAACTTAATATTATCATGATTATAGGCATTCAGCTTGTACATAACACTAATAACTCTTCATTGTGTCTCATTAGGTACAAAAAGATGAATGAAAAAGCATCGAATATATCTGGGGGTCTTAAATAAATCACAGGAACACAGCGTTTTGTAAATTTGTTGGATGAAAACTTCCGTCTGTTTACTGTCAACAAACAGGTCGAATTTGAACCTGGCGCTGACTGAGCAAGTTCGTCATAATCAATATCCTCACGAAACATAATCCTACTTATTGATTTTCATTCTTTTATCACTAAAATAGTTTCCATGATTTTTCTCGAAAGATATAATAAAGTTCCGGCTGTTTCACAACCATCAGCATAGAAGTTATATTGAACCAATCCAAACAGAGGCCACTGGGACGAAAGTCTTCAAAACAGGGTCAACTTCAAGGAGCGGGTATCGATTTTTGTCCAAGATATTTAGAAGATGATTCTTCACGACATCACTGCCTATCATTTCCCCCGTCAAAATAATTCAAGCTGCGCAAGTTTTTCCTAACAAAATACCTACCAATTAGGTAAATAACATTACAAAAACATAAAGCTAGGGGCATAATGCTTACCGTCCGCCATTCTTGTCACCAATAGCAATGTCTGAGTACGGCAAGTCGTAAACACGATCGATCGCCTCCCTTTTGAATGTCGTAAACGGGCACCTGCCCAGACTAGATTTTCCTTTATGCGCGAGACGTGACATGCGCATGTTAGAGTGAAAACGCGACTTCAACATAGCAACGCATGAATCTTTGTTAATGTTCTTGTGTACAGAAAATAAAAACATGAAAAAAGAAAAGTAAGATAACAACAGGTAATGTCGCTTCTTAGTGACCTCTTTGATTCTTTATAGTAAACCTCAATCAAATACTTACTGACTATAATGGCACTTTGCGATATCCTACCGTCCTTGTTGCCTAGTATCGCGGTAAGCTTTATGTGATTTTCTTGTCCATAATAGTTGTGCGATAATATGAATGTAGTACAACCTGTAGTAGAACTGTTGTAATGTACCGCCTTGTTTTAGACAGAGAGAATTACGTATAATATAAAATGCTTAACAAATCCTAATACAGTAACAAATTTGTAATATAAATTCCATATTTTAGCACGAATATTAATTTTTGTTTTTGTTTTTTATTCACTGTAATGCTGTAATTAAAAAAATCACTGTAATAAAAATGTATATAATACTCTTAGTTTCCAATTAGTTGCAGTCCTAGTACGGGTTCATGTAGTCAACATAATCAGTTGTGCGTAATCAACCGTTAGCTGACAAGCTAATAAACGAAAATAATTCATAAAAACACGAGGATTCAATGACATTCCATCCATATTAATGATATTCATAAATAGAGATGTAGGTGTAGGCAGTCCTCTGCTACAGACCATCCTATCCCCATCGTTGAAATGAGCCCAGATTCTGTCAGGGAAATACTCAGAAGGTATTAAGGATAATCGTATTATCGTTATGATCAAACGATGTGACCGCATTTTGGAATCACTGTGGTTTCGTTGGCGGGCGAGAGTAAACCAGGCGACTTTTTGGCAACTTTTAATCGCTCGGTATTAATTAACCACAAGTTTTTAAGAACGAATTTGGTGTTCCACTTAAGACTAACCACACGTCTTTCATATGTAATGGTTAAAAGAGTACAAAAAAACAAAAGTTTATTTGTTCTTTAAGTGTTTGTTTCTTGTTTAACGCCGCACTCAGCAATATTCCAGCTACATGACGACGGTCTGTAAATATCGAGTCTGGACCAGACAATCCAGTGACCAACAGCATGAGTATCGATCTGCACAATTATGATGACATGTGTCAATCAAGTCAGCGAGCCTGCATATACCTGTATAATGTAGTCTATACCATCATCTTGAGCTGACCTTTCCAGTCCTGTAACCAGTAAACGACTTACAGTAGCATCAATGGGAGATAGGTCTGTATTGGAAATTGTGCATACACGTACCATGGGCGGATCCAGGAATTTTGAAAGGGGTGTGTGTGTGTGTGTGTGTGTTTGTGTGTGTGTGGTGTGGTGTTCAGGGAGTTCGCACCCTCTGAACCCTCCCTTGGCTCCGCCAACGCAAAAAAAAAAATCTTCAATGTGGTCTTAAGTCATTTTAAAAAAGGGGTGTGGGGTGTGTTTGGGGTTCGAAACCACCACCACCCCACCCACCCACCGCTGGATCCGCCCATGCGTACGACTTAAAATATTAAGGCCTCGGGTAGGAGAGTGGTGCATGTTTTCTCTTTGTAACAGAGCAACCGATGCTTGTCACACTATCCCGTAAAGAATAACGTCGCCAGATATACGTCATCAAGTTTCGAACGCATGGGGCCATTAACTGGATCGGGTGGTCAGGCTCCCTGACATAGTTGACACATGTCATCGTATCCCAGTTACTATGACTGATGCTTATAGTGTCAATCACTGGATTCCTGCTCCGTGCTCGGTCATTTACAGATCGCCGTTATATAACTAGAATGATGTTTGTAGTGACAACGATACAAGAATCTGTATCGAAACGTCGCATCATAAAGTTAATCCTTATATCTTATTCACCAACTTCTGTCAGTGTGAGGGCCTAGGTATCAGTATGTGATTGAGTAGTCAGCATGGTATGTACATGTACGTACATTGTACTGAAGAGAATAAATCCAATGATATACATGTACATGTAAATACATATTTTTCTCCCTTTGTTTACCAAGAAAATAGCTATTAAGCATTAATTTCACGATATAAGCTAGTTACAATGTATGGTACTGTTTGAAAGGTATTCAAGCAAGGAGACATTGAATTATCCAACAAGCTGTATAATCCGACATGTTCCCCGGTCCCAGTGAGTGTCGGATTACAGAGAGTCCACTGTACGCCAGTCAAAGAAATTTGTAGTGGCGCTAAACAACAACAGCTGCAATACTTCTAACTGTATGGTATGTTTAACACTGCATCTGTTGTATTTGTCTACTATAGTGTCCATGCTTTCAATGAACGTATACTTTGCTTTCCTTGCTACATGACGGAAATACAGCCGATGTCATGTTTTAACTGGCTCACATTCGTGCCTTGAGTAAGGTTCATCCGGGCCCATACCCACCACCCACATTTCAGCTCAAATCTACGCCGAAGACTCCGGGTTCGAATCCCGTACATGGGTACAATGAGTGAAGCCCATTTCTGGTGTCCCCGCCGTGATATTGCTGGAATATTGCTAAAAGCGGCGTAAAACCAAACTCAGTCAGTCAGTCAGTCCGTCAGCTCAAATCTACATCCCCGAATGGCTCCATGTCATGCTGCAGTGAAAACGTACCGATGAATTTACAGCCTATACAACTATTCATGAATCACTCTCCTCCATTAGTTTGCCGAGTAATGAACTTAGAACGAGGTCCTTGATCAATAAGAAAAACCTACACGGCTTCTTTTCCCTTCTGTTTTTCTAAATCGAAGTAAACGTCCTCCCTACTAACACAATTGTTGTTGTAGTTAAAAACTACTTTATATTCTTACTTGTATATTTATTTTAAAAAAACAAACTAGAACACCATGAGTGAGTGAGATTAGTTTTACGCCGCTCTCAGCAATATTCCAGCTATATGGACGCGATCTGTAAATAATCGAGTCTGGACCAGATAATCCAGTGATCAACAGCATGAGCATCCATCTAAGCAATTGGGATACGATGGCATGTGTCACCCAAGTCAGCGAGCCTGGCCACCCGATCCCGTTAGTCGGCTCTTACGACAAGCATGGGCTGCTGAAGATCAATTCTAACCCGGATCTTCACGGGCCAGAACAGCATGATATACAAAGAAAGAACATTGTTGTGGTAAAACGTAAGCTCCGTTAATATTGCATGAGTAAATATTCTAAACGATTTCTGTGTAAAATATGAAGCTTGTTTCCAAAATTCAAACATGTTATTTTTCAAAAACGCTTGTTACTACGAGCAGGGTCATCCAACGTATGTATTTCCTTATCGAATTTCTCACATTTGATAGTACTTGAAACAAATTACTACATACCTATAGAGACTTTAATGTTTGCATAGGATCTGTCCTAAGGTGAAAATGGGCAGAGGCAAAAATAAGAACAAACTACATGTTATATATATATCATTTCTAAATGTATTCAATGAAACATCCACTCATACATTCCTTTCCATGGACATGGATCGGGCACAATCGATCCTCAAGACGAGAACATATCAACGCATGAATATTATTCTTTGAAGATATGTCGTTCAATATGACACCACTCGTGTTACTCGCGTGACATTACCGAGTGCGTACAAATACAAACATGAGCACAAATATAATCTAGTTTCGCTCCCATACAACATTCGTATGTTTGAGCAGCATCGTCATCAATACATTTCGTATGCCAGATGGTCATTTAGAACAGGGCACGATAAACTCTGTGTGATGGAGTCACGGACTGGACACGCTACTTTGGACTTCCTCGTTTGGTGATTGTGGTCTGTAGACTTTGATATGAACTGCGGAGTTATTCCTTAAACTGGTGTCTGCCTCTGTTTCGTCGTTGTTTGGTTCAAGGTCGTCTGTAAGTTCGACAGTTGAGGTACGACAAGACACGTCTATTGTCCCGCGACCATTTGCCTTCAGCTGCAGAGCTAGATTGATGGCTCTGTTCACAGCAGCGCCAAGTCCATGAATGTATACTTCATTCCCAGAATCCAGTATATTCTGACAGCGCTTCATCTGAGCTTGGAAATCGGTCTTTCTTGTCACGTAAACGTCATCTTTACGTTTTGGAAGCTTTGGTGGTAGTCGTTTCCTCAACGTGAATTCTTCTCTTTCGAGGAAATCTTTCGTTTCCTTTGGTTTGGTTTTAGCACCGCCGTGGGTCTCCTGTTGCATTTTTATTTCTAGGACGACAAGTAGTTGCCGATGTCCCTTTGATGTGCTAGTCAACACTCATATGACACGTGCATGTGAAATAACGACGACAATGTTTACTACAATATGGCATATGCTTCGAACACTGTTAGTTATAGAAGTTATCAACAATGCACTAATCGCACGTCTCTGTGCGGAGTTCAGAACTTCTAACTTCCGGTACGAGATATTGGAGTGACCTCCCTTCAATAGTGTACCCAACATGAACAAGTTTCAGTGTATAAGTTGTGGAAAGCCAGCAGACGAATTATATCGCGACTTTAAGGGAGGGATAATCAAAATAAGTCATTGTGTAAGTATCACATACTGGTATAATCACATAAGCTTTCGTGTATCTCGACAAGTGTGTCATCGTTTTCACTTTTTGTCAGAGACAGTGATCGGTGCCATTGAGTGTGACAGTGGCTGCTGCTGGTACTTTGTACACAGACTGAACCAGCAGTTACAAACATTCGTGTAACTTTGATTTGTGGGTTGTAGTGACATCTGCTAAAATAAATATGTACACTCAATCCAACGCATTACAAGCTTGCGACTGCATATTAATACCATCTGATATTTATGCTAGTTGAAGAATCAATATTCTTTAATAACAGTAGCCATATGAGACACAGGGTAAAATGTAAGTAATGTATTCTCAAGACTTATCCTATCCGTACATTGGCACAGGAAACGGTCCTTCAACAATACATACATGTATTAAAAATATGGATATGTAGACCCTACTAGATCCGCCATGCACTAACTCCTTGCGCTTGTAGCAGGGTAAGGTGTGGTTTTGTTCAATGAAGACCAACGCCTGCTGGGGTGTGACTTGTGCTACTACTTTATTTATCAAATATATATAGTTGGTTTTGTTTTCACCCTGTAACATAATAACAATAATCAATAAAACATCCATATCACATCTGTACTAATACGTATGGTAGATTACACATAAAAGTTACAATTACTGATAATGGTCATATATACCTATCACAATATGTTCATTGTAATGCAAAATACTTGAACTGCATCAATTCCAAGACAGTATAGATAATACACAAATGCAGTTCACAGAAAAGGATTATATATATAGTACTAAGAAAAATATATGAGCAGCAAAATATGACAATATCAATCATGATAGGGAACACATATCTGTGGCAATGATATATACATGACATATAAACACATTAAAAGGATCAAATACCTACCAAATATATGGTACTCTGGTGATATAACATTGTCCACCTTAGTGAAACAGCATGTCCATCTATAAGTAATATAACACACAATTAAGTATATTACACTAACCTGATTTTATATCATCATGAAACATATCACTCTATAAAACAAACCTACATAATAAATATATACGTATACCTTACAGCACAACATTATCTGTACTGTGATATTCTTATAAATATAGACAATAAACAGTTGTTAAAATAATATGGTATCTCAAGTGGCACAGACATTACATGTACCATCAAGTAGACAACATGGCCGACAAAGATGGCCGCTAAGCAGGCACACATGCTTATGTTTCACCTGACCTCATAAAAGATTACAATCATTACCTATAAACTTATAATGAAAATGCTGATGCAGTAAACATGAAAATCATGCCTATAAACACACAATATTTGACTTACAATATATTCTTAAAACACATTCATACATAGCTTCACATCACACATTTAATATTATAACCTAAGCAAGAATAATGTTTATAATATAACTATATTTAACAGATATTGCATCCTACATAATATGTTTATAATTAAGTTAACTAACCTTGAACAGAGGGAACTTGTAGACGAAAAAGGAGCGGAAACCAGACGTCTGTCAAATTGTCACGTCATATGTTTGAGGTGCCTTTCTTGTGCAGCTGTACGTGGTAGACTGACTAAAATGTGCTGATGTTAGTGAAGAAGAAAACATACAACATAAAACTGACCAATCAGAGATCAAGGAATAGCTTGCCCTCTGAGTTAAGAACAAAAGAACACCCTGCTCTCCCACAATAATACAATAGGAGCCCAGTCCAGCTTGGGGTAATCAAGCTGGAGACAAATACCAAACATATTCTAATAAAAACCTAATCCAATAAAACTACCACAACCAAACTGTTTAAAAATGATACCGTATTTACACAAATAAATAAATAAAATGTAAAATATGACACTGCTACACACTTCCCCCCTACGACAAATGACGTCCTCGTCATGACAACTTCCCGGCCACAAGATCTAAAAGAACATCCGATGCCTTATCACATTTACTGGATACCACTCCTGTAGCTATGAGAGAACTAAGGTAGTCTGCTCTCAAGATCCAGTCCGGCTTTGGTGTTGTTCGAGCTGCCATCACATATTTGCCACTAGTCTGCCACGATGGTTTCTGCCGTTCCCTCTGTGACCTCCTTAGTGGTGGGGTAGGTAGTATCCTCCGCCGAGGTCTATCTTCGGGTGGGGTTCTTGTTGGTGGTGGCTCAGAAGTTTCCACTTCCGTCTGCACATCCTCTTGTGCAGAAGCATGAACATCCTCTGATAAGTTGACAGGTGATACAGATGATCCCAGAACTTCAGCTTCTATCTGCATGTCTTCTGGTGCAGAAACCGCTTCATCACCTGGGATATCTCCAACTTCATCACCATCAACATCTCTCTGGCTCTCACTGGCTCTTCATCCCTGTGATCCTCATGCAGAGCGGCATTTGTCACAACTTCAGCCTTACTCTCAGGTGGCCTATCAGCCGGTACACCAGCTGAAACTGAGGGTTCTGATGAGGTCACGGGCACAAAACAAATTTCATCTTCTGAGTCGTCCTCTTGATCCTGACCCAAGTCCTCCTGTTCCTGGGTTGATGATCCAGATGGAGCAACTGGCGTCTTGGATTTCCGAGGCCTTGGAATTGGGACGGGTACACCTGGGACTGCTTGTGGCAGAGATCCTATGGGAAGAAGTAAATTCCTGTGGAGGGTCCTCCGTTTCCCATCGTCTCTCTCCTTCCCTACTACAAACAGGTATCGCAGGATCAGGCTGATGAAGAATCACATATACATCCTTTTCCCACTTGTCAGCGATCTTGTGTTTCCCATCAAATGCGACGATCTTAACAAGCACCCGATCTCCAATGTCCAACATGGCAGCTCTGGCTTTGATGTCATAGTTAGCCATCTGTCTTGCTTGAGACTTGGTGGCAGCTTCAGCAGCGAGTTCATATGCCTGTTTCAGTCGATCTTTCAGGGACTTAGTGTATTCCAACAGAGACTTGGCCTTGCTTGGTTCAATATCTAGTCCAAATGCTAGGTCTACAGGGAGTCTTGGCTGTCTTCCGAACATAAGAAAGAACGGTGAATATCCGGTTGTCTCGTGCCTTGTAGAGTTTTTTTTTTTTTTTTTTTTTTTTTTTTTTTTTTTTTTTTTAATATTTTTTTTTTATTCATTCAAAATCAGTAGATACATGTATACAAAGCACATGATGCAACAACACTTGTACACCGTAGGAAAGAAATTCATATGGGTTGGCATTACACATATTGGGATCTTCATTAGGCTGGGAATGTGTGCAGTAGAGATGACCATTTTCTGTCAAATTGTAATATGTTTTGATTCTTACTGGCAATAAACTTTTCTGTCTTGAAAATATCACTCAATATTTTTACAAATGTATCCAGTGATAATTTATTTTTTTTAATACTTGATATATGGATATATTTTTTACTGGCAAGAAGTATGTGATTCATAAGGTCGTTATTATATCCGCCAATTAAGACTGTATATTTTGTAAGGGTAAAAGTTTCTGATGATTTATCTTCAATATATTCTTTCACTTTCAGCCAGAACGTTTTCACACATTCACATTCCCAATAAACATGTATCAAATTTTCTGACATTAAATTACAAAATGAGCAAAGTTCATCATCTACTAATTTCATTCTCAATAATTCTTTCTTTGTGTAGACAATATTGTGGATAAATTTAAACTGGAAGTCAATCAATTTGGTATCTTTTTTGTACATCTTCTATATTTTCTAAAATATCTTGCCATGGAATTGCAATATCAAAGATATTTTGCCATTTTTCACATGTTGATGGTAGGTTTTCAGTAGTTATAAGTTTGTCATAGAAATATCTGGATCTCTTTGGTGCTGAAAGTAAATCTATCAGTGATGTGTTAAGATAATGATTATGAACAATCAATAAATTCTTTCTTATAGTTTCTTTTCCATTTCTGGGTATATTGGAAAGAACCTGGTAATAGTCAAGAATTGTGCCTTTAATTTTGTAAGTTTTCTTAAGTTCACTAAATGGCAAAATACCTTGATCATTACACAAGTCTCTTATAGAAGTGAATACCTTTGAGATGCCAATGTCTTATAATGAAATTACTATTTTGGAATTGGTGATTGAACCAAAGGGGTTGAGATAAGATTTGATCAATATCTGTAAAATCAGTTTGATGTGTTTTATAGAATATTCCCATGCAGCCAATACATCTTTCCAATAGGGATTTATAATACTGACATAGTTTTCAATATTGGCTCCAAGCAGAAATATATCTTTAAATGGAAAGATACTAGGGATAGAATTGCTATTATTTTGAAGATATTTATGTAAAACTGACAGTTTTAAAGAGTTTATGAATACCTGTACATTAACCATTCTGAGTCCCCCTCTTCATATTTTCTAATAAGTGTCGTTAAGCTTTATCTTATCCCCGCTTATCATTCCAGATGAATTTATAAAATATATTGTTTAATTTGTCAATGAATTCCTTTGGAGGATTTGGGAATTGAGGTGAATATATGCACCAATGATGAAAGTGCTAAAGTTTTAATAACAGTTATTTTCCCTATTAATGTCAACTTTCTTTTCCTCCAATTCCCTAGAGTTCTATTAATAATTTCTAGTCTTTTCTTGTATTAATTACCCAAAGGTTATTTAAATTAGGATTAAGTCTTATTCCTAGAATATCAAAGTCCTCATTATGCCAATCAAGCTTAAGGTCCTGGCATAAAAATCATGCTACTACCTGCCATTGAGCCTATCCACACTGCTTTCGTTTTATCTATATTTATTCTTAAACCAGACATTTTGTAGAAATTATTGAGAGTGTCAGTTGCTGCCCATTTTAAACTTTCTTAGCATACCATCGAAATAATTCAGTATCATCTATGCATTGCTGTCCAATTTTATGTTCAGTGTTATTCAATGTAATTCCTTTTATTGCAGCGTTGTTACGGATCATTATTCCTAATATTTCAGCCACTAAGATGAATATATAGGGAGACTAGGTCCCCT